GAACATTTCGAACAGCTCATATACTGGTTTACCAAGTCCGGTTGGGAAGATGATCGTTGTTCCTTCTCCCTTATAGAGGTGATTAACGCGGAAGTCCCAGAAGAGATCCTCTCTGGCCTTTTCCCACATGATTCCTTCATCGAACACCTCGACTATTTCTCGATTTAGTTTCAATTGGAGCTGCTTAACTTTCGGGTCTGATCTCCCTAAGTTCGCAATCGAGCTATCAACCGTGTTATCCCAATGAAGTAAGGATCTTCCCCTTGTTAGGATGAAGTTTCGAACGCAGGATAGCCATTCCTTATATCGCTGCCAATGATAGCGCTCGATATGCTGATTCCACATTGAGTTTGTCCTGCTAATGCTTTTAACTTCCTTTTGGACATGGTTTTTCATCTCTTCAATTGCTGCATTGCAGCTTGGCCAATCTCTGAGATCATCCTGACAAGCATCTCGACGACATTCCTCACATCTCTCTTGAGGTTGCACTCGACACGGGTTCTCATTATAACCGTGATGACAACTGCTGATACGTTCTTCCAGTGTCATTTTATCGAGGCAAGCGAACGGGTTACTGGTATCGTCGATTTCCTTATTCGAAAACCCATGATTCGATGTCCGTTTAATCTCGTCAGATGAGATTTCGATGATCTCCGGTTGTTTTTCGGTTCGATGATCTCTCAGCTGTTCGATCGCTCCATCTCGTATCTCGCTTAAGAGTATCTGCTCATCTTGTGTCATCTTTTTCGGAGCGTCTAGTTCCTTTTCGAACTTCTTATCGTCCCATACTTTGGCAACTTTTATTCCCAGTGCCTCTGGTACTGGGATAGACTTTGCCCACTCCATTCCCGGTACGAGAGATCGTTTCGATTCAGCAGCTGCTTCCTTTTGTATGGCTGCGATCTGCTCCATTGTTAACAGCGTTTCATCGTTCATTCCCAGTGCCTCTGGTACTGGGATAACATCTTTATCCGTTACTTTTTGGTCATCTTTCGTCGTTCCCTGTGCCTCTGGTACTGGGAGAACGACGTTTGCCCGTTCTTTCGGTTTAACTGATGACCTCCCTAATCGGGTCGCGATCTCTTTTTGGATGGCTGCCATCTGTTCAATTATCGACAGCTGAGCAGGTGAACCTCCCCTTCGTTGGTTCATCATCTGCTTTCCCGGTGCCTCTGGTACTGGGATAGCCTTGAGATCCGATTTAGCTGCTCCGAGTCCAGTGACCTTTCCAGCTTGTACTTTGACAGCTGATTTCGGCTCATCTTCAACTTCCTCCTCCCCATGATTATCGATCAGGACGAACTTTGTCGCCAGAAAATCATGTCCCAGTAGAACTTGTACATCATCCGTTTTGGGTCGGACATAGAAGGAGTGTTGACTGGTCCGTTTCCGCAATGTCACTGGTGCTACGCAATAATGCGTCACGTTGAAGCCTGATGTTCCGCTGATTCCATTAATTCGCACCAATCGATCTGGTGGCAGCGGTAAGACGTGAAGTCCGTTCTTTTCGCAAAACGGTCGGCTGATTAACGATGTTTCTGCACCAGTATCCAACATCGCTAAGACCTTTATGTCGCCGATTTTCACCTCATGTGTATACGCTTCGATCCTTTTCGGCAGATTATGCTTCGATCCATTTTGCACTTTAAGCGTACGAACAGTACACTTGACTGGGATGAGCGATACAGATCCCGGGTCCATATCAACTGCTGAAGAAGACACCTGCCCCTTCGCTAAGGTGTTGTTCCTCCTCAGTATCGAACTCAGATGATCGATCCTATGTGGGACATCGGTTCGGATATCGTAAAATTGTCTCTTCTTTTCATCTTTTGAACTTTTTATCATCTCACACCCCTTTTTCTTTGCAGCTTTTTCATCGTTGATGATCTTTTCGGTTTCGTTTGGTTGCCCCTTCGCAACTTCTGAGTGATCTTTGATCACCTCAGAGATGGTCTGATGCAATGTGACATCATCTGATTTGTCACGCAGATGCTCAGCGATCTCATCTGTGATCTGGTGAACTCGTTTTAGCTCATCTTCTTCGCTGTCCGGTTGATCTGGTGATCTTTCATATGTGACCATCTCATATCCGTTTTGGGTCATCCAGTCGATCACTTTCGCCGATACCTCACTGTTCGTTTTCGTCGGATCGGTTTGTGAAGACATCCCATCTGTTCGAACTGGTGACTTGTCATTGGGATCTTTCTGCAATGCTTCGGTAAAGTCCCGTGACCTTTCAGTCGGTTTGATAGCGAATCCGCCGCTTGGCAATTTTTGTAACGGAACTTTTTCTCCATAATTCGGCGGTTTGTCAGCTGGAGGAGCATTTCGGTTTTGGTCAACGAGTGTCTTTTTATATTCGATCTCGTTGAACACTGGGACAGGGTTCATTAATCCTTGAGCTGGTTTCCCGGTAACCAACTCATCGAGACGTTTTCTCTGGAATTGCGTTCGCAGCTGCTGCATGTCCCAGTAATCTTCTTTTGACATCCTCGCTTTCTGAGATGCTTTCGGCGAAACAGGTATCCACATGCCGTGGTTCCCATGAGGTCGATATGTCACCTTTTGCCAGTCTTGCTTCCGCTGCAGCATCTCTGCATCATCCAATGAGTCATCGGAGATCTGTTGTGCTTGTTCGCCCTCTTTAAGCTGCACTTTTCGCAGCGTCAGTTCCTTTGCCTGACCTGTTGCAACGATCTTTTGGTCGTCGCTTTTAGCGTTAGCACTTGCTCCACGATCTCCCACTGGTGCTTTCCTTATAGGAAGTGGTTTTTCATCTTTGCTGCCCACTGTGGCGTTCTGTTCTAACCACTTTTGTTTTAGTACTGTGTCATCTTCATCTTCCGAACAATTCCCAAACGTCGTTTTCGTCTCCGCATTCTGTTTAAGTAGGAATTCTCGGAATCTGGAATGTTGATCATTCGTCTCTTTTTCTTCCAGTTTCTTCTTCAAGTTCGCCTTTCGAATGATCTCGTTACGTTGAGCGCGCCGTTCTTTTAGCTTTTCGGCACTACATTTTCCTTTATTTATCAACTGATCATCAGCAGTACTATTCTGCTGTGGTTTCGCAGTTCCATTCTGCGCAGGTGGTCCTTTCTTCACCTGTGATGGCATCTTTTGAGCCATCTCACTCACAGTACCATTCTGTGGTGACTTCGCAGTAACATTCTGCGGAAGCGGCCTTTTGTCCATTTGTGATGGCATCTTATGAACCATCTCTTTCAGCTGATATGACGGCATCTTATTAGCCGTTTCGCCTACAGTCCGATTCTGTGGCTGTGGTGCTTTGCCCACTGATGATGGCATCTTATTAGCCATCTCCTTCGCAGTCCGATTCTGCGTTTCCCTTTTATCCGGTGGTTTTGGTTCAGGGAGATCAGCAGGCTCACCGGCGCCTACTGATCTTGGCCGTTTCCCTGGTCCAACACCCGCTGTTGCTGGACTTGTTCATTTCCCCGGTCAGCGCCGTTCGCGCCGCCACCGTCGTTATTATCGGCGCGTCCGTTACCGCCGCCGTTCCGGTTGCCGTAGCCGCCGCGTCCATTGCCGCGACCTCGCCCGCGGAAGCCACCTCTTCCTCCGCCGTTATATCCGCCGCCGCCACCGTTTCCATTTCCCTGGCCGGCGCCGCCGCCGTTCCCCTGTTTGAACGCGGCCCATCGGGCAACCAGATCGTAGCCGTTCGCTACTGCTTGTCGCCAGCCGCCTTGGGCTCGCAGCCGTTCCCATTCTCGGGTGGCGAACAAGTTCGGGTTCCGGTTCGGTAGCATACCAGCGAACATGCAGTTCTGTGCATCGTGGTTACCGAATCCACAATTCTGGCACAGCTGCACGCCCTGAGCGATCCATCCATCGATTTGACCAAATTTCCATTCTGTACGGAAACCCTGTTGTGGCTGATAGTTGCCTCGGTTCTGTTGGTAGTTCCCTTGTCGGTTATTGGGCTGATAGTTGCCCTGCCCCTGGTTTCGACTGAAGTTGCCATTTCGTTGGCCACCATTCCAGTTTCCATTTCCGTTTCCGTTTCCATAATTGGACCTTCCTTGTTGTTGGGGCACCCCTCCCTTCAGGGGACTTGGCATCACATTTGCCGGGGCCATTGGCCTTGCCTGCGCCTGCGCTTGTATCGCGGCGACCATGGCGTATGAGATCGGCTGTCCAGTTTGGCTGTCGATAAATGTCATCTCCTTATGAGTTGGGGATGGTGATCTCGCCTGATAATCCACTGGGGACGGTGTGGCTGCATATTGCCTCTGTGCCATCTCGACCTGTCCCGAGCGGATGGTCACGTAATCCGGTTGATTACGTTGACCTTCGACCACCTTGTATTTATCCTCGCCAGCTGCCCAAGATCGGAAGAAGTCCTTAATCTCTGTTGGCGTTCTGAACCCCTTCGTTTTCAGCGCCTTATAGAGATCGTTATCAACTCTGCATCCGTCGATAAGGAATGCAACCGCTTGCAATTCGGTGATAGCTTTCTTAGCTTTGAACTTCATGATCGCTTGGTAAAACTGCTCAAGCGTCTCTTTTCCAGGTCTGAATTTCCTGTTCATGGCTTCACGTAAACCAAGGACTTCCTCGTTTCGATCTCCAAATTCATCTCTGAATTTGTTTAACCATTCCGTTACTGTATAAGCTTCCTCTTCGGCCTCTTCGATGTCTCTCTCGCTATCGAACCAGATCTTCGCTGGTCCTCTAACGGCGCTGGCAATATCGATGAGTATCTGATCATCAGTTAAATCATATGTTCGCTGTGTTTCTTTAACCAGCCGGATCCATCCGCCTACCGCATCTCGGTTACCATCAAAGGTCGTAAGATCGGTTTTACGGCCCATGTTCCTGATGGATCTGTTGAATTCCCGTTGTCCTCGATTTTCATTTCGATCATCCCGTTGATTACGTTCGTTCTGATATTCGCGGAAGTATCTTCCGTCATGTTCGTGCCGCGGGGAACGTGCATCTTGATTTGCGCCGTCTTTGACTGCTGTTTCGATGGGCCGTTAGAACTGTGAAGGGTCACCCAAGCTCATATATGTTTGGTGACTACCTGACGGTTTCTTATTGTCCGTGGTTTCTCCATTTTCTTCCATTTTCAGCCCCCCTGTGCCGCCGCCCGTTCGCAGCGGCATCTCGAAATGGAAGCTCCCGCCCGCTTCTTGTGCCTTACTGTTGCTAGGCGGGGGCGTATCAGCCGTATCCCTTTTTCCACTTCCTGCTTGCAGAATTAGCTCTTCCCTGTGTTTATTTGTCACTTTCAGGCCCTTGTTCTCGTCTTCGAGACGTTTGATTCTGATGTTGAGCTGCTCGTTTTCCGTTTGCAGCTGATCTCGCTCCTGCTTGAGCATATGGGCGAAATTCTGCCGCTGAATCGTCTCCGCGTTTAACTCCTTTTCGTCTGTCTCTCTCGCTTTGATCTGGTCGATTAGCTGATTCATTTGCTGTTCCAGTTGAGCATACGCATCAGCTGCCGATTTCAGATGAGTTCTCGATCGGGTGACTTCGTCTTGGTGAGTCATCACTGTTTGTGTCATGTCGACTATTTCCGTATTGAGCTTTATATTCTCATCTGTCAGCTCACGGATCTTTTTCTGATGTTCTTTGCTTTCCACTTCGACTTTTGTCACCTTCGTATCTAGTCGTCGTGCTTCATCTTCCCATCTTTGGCCCCATTCGGCCGCTTTCTGACCAGCTTCTTTGAGCTGTGCGTTCTCCTCAGTGACTTGCCTGATTTCATCTTTAAGTCGTCCCCCTTCAGTAGCTAGGAGCTCTCTCAGGTCTTGTGCCACTTTAAGAGCATCATCAGCTCGTTTCTGGTGATCTTCCGATTCCCTTTGGAGAGTTTGAATATTCCCATCTTTCAGCTTCAGGTCCTCTCTGAGCTTAAATATATCCTTATTCACCGCTGTTAATCGTTTGGTTGCTTCCGCTAATTTGGTTGCGTATTCGTCTCGCTTCGCTTCAGCTTCATCTGCCTTTTTGCGAAGTTCATCGCACTGATCCTTCAATTCGGCTATGTGCCGTGACCTTTCAGCTGTCTCTTCGGACATTCTCTCGTTAAGTTCATTTACGGCTATGTAGCCTTCCATCTCTCTGTCATCAGCGACTTTCATCGATTCTTCAGCGATCTGTTTTTGTCGTTCATATCGAACTTTCCATTCATCTGCTGAGCTCTCAAGAGCACCTTGTTGCTGTTCCAAGTCGTAGATGCGCGACTGCAGAGATCCCAGTTGAGTTCGATATTCCTGTTTTTTCTTGATAACCTGGGCCTCTTTTTCTTCCAATAAGGTTTCCAGCTCTCGGACTCGTCGTTTCAAGTTTGAGGTAGGGCTGTTCGGAGATGGAGATCGTACGTTGACGATCTTCCCTGTCTGATTCCTTTCGATCAGACTCTCGGGGATGTCCTCAAAAGGTGTCAATCCCTGAGCTCGATCAGCTTCCTTCATTGCGGTTTTGAATGACATATTCAATGTCATCTCATCCTCAGTGAAGTACGATTCTTCATTTCCGCGATTAGACATCATCTCATCAGATGCCATCGGACTCATGAAGAGATCCTCGGTTCCAGTTTCATCTCCAAGTGTGAGATCGTCTAGCCTGAGTTCATTGAGATCATCTGATGTGATCTTTGGCTGCTCCGTGAGATCGGTTTTGACCAGGTTCTCCTTCTTATCCTGGTCTGATATATCCTTTTGCGATGTCTGATCCATCTCCGCGACTTTTTCCGATTTCGTTCCTTCTTTGGTGACCTCCTGGTTCACCTCGCTACTTCCCGCCGCAGGCGCGGGAAATCGTTTCAGGTCGTCGCTTGAGCTCTCCTGAGCTGACACTGCTTCGAGTGCCTTCTGGTACGTTGCGTCCGACCCACGTGAATTCTTCTTCACGGGGACTTTTGGTGCTCGAGTATTTCGCCCGTGTTCAACTGGGCGTGAGAACGGGTATAAGTCCTTCTTATACGGGTTATGTGCACTTTGCTGTGACCCGTGAGAGCTACGGCTCCCCTGACTACTATTCGATGTCGGTTCGATGATCTCTTTGTCCATTGTGATCGGATAACTGTGACGCACCTGTTGGTTTTGCTCACACACACGTTATTATGAGATCGGTTTAAGTCCCTGAGATCACTTTTTAGCTGATCTACTTTGATCGAGTTCGATTTTAAAGGTCACTTTTTCGATAAAAAGATCGAGAGGTTTGCCTCAAAATGATCTCGTTCAACTGCTAATATCAATAAAACTGCTGGAAAGATCGTTTTAGAGTTCGTATTCGGTTGAAATAGATGATCTCAGCTCATCTGTAAAGGTCACTCTCTGATCTGATCTGATCTCAAAGGTCACTGACGATCTCGAGATGATCGATCTCCGAGATGGTCACTTTTTTTGGTCACTTCAATTCAATTAAAACTAACCTCCTTTAGCTAATTTTAGATCGTTTCCGATGAAAAGAGATCGATCTCACTGCTGGGAGATCGTTAGGAGATCGTTTTAGATCGACTTTACCGTTAAAAATTTTGACCAATCAGAGCTCGTTTAACTGACCAATCACGTGTGCCTGTTAAAATTTTCTGACCGGCCTGACGTCACAGATCGACGGCCAGACTTGCGCGCCGCGTGCAAAAACTACGCCTACGTCTAGCTCAGCTCAGTACCGACCAATAAGAATTGCGTATTTTACACCTCAACCAATCCGATAATTAATAACGGGTTTTTACCTGTCTACCGTTCCGATCCCACGAAAAGATGATCCAGATTACGAAGATGATCCAGATGATCTTCTCCACAGTCCGATCCCGCGCAGCCGTATTCCGCACGGTTGTGGCGCCTTCCTGTCCGACCTATTCAGCCTTCTGCTGGGCTTGTCAAGCCTACCAGCAGGTCGCTCTACAACCAATTTGATGGAGCGCGTTAACTGATCTCTTGGCACCTCATTCGGTGCTGCCAACTCGTGGCTTCTCGGCTCTTGTGCCCGACAGCCTTGACCCCAACAAGAGGTGCTCGCTGCCTAGCAGAGGAAACAGCACAAGTTCTCCGACAGGAGAGATCTTGCACCGCAGCCTTCTGCCGTCTGATTGGAAATGCACGACGAGTTCTCCTACAGGAGACTCTCTAGTCAGTGCAGCCGTTGATGCTGGCAATCCGATCGATGAGCGCGCCTTGCTTCAGATGAGAAAAACCACTGCCTTACTGGTGTAATAAGATCGATATGATCCAGATCGATGTGGCCGTTCGCCAAACAGATGATCGTGGCCGTTCGCCAAACAGATGACTATGGCCGTTCGCCAGCAGATTACTCAGAAACCGTCTGTTCACGGCTCTGCTACCATATCACCGTGGACTGTGAAAGAGTCCAGGACGGTAGCCCAGACTGACAGGACTCCGTGGAGTGTAATACGTGACGTTTTAGGGAAGAAATGCACAACGCACGATATCCAGTCTACGTAGTACACTTTATTAACGTTCTCTATCATGAAAACCAACACACTGACGTTCAGTCAACTCAGAGAGCCAAATTCCACCTGCTCTCGACAACTCTAAAGCACTGCGCAGCAGTGAACACAATGAACGGCAGTAGCCGACCAATCAGAGAGGCGCTGCGTCACAGACGGCAATTCCCCACGGAGTAGTGCAACGAAGCACTCCTATAGCGCCAGTAGCGTCGCGCAGGTGGACGCAAGGGAGCCATCGCCTCACACCAGGATATTTATTCAATTTTTAAATCGCTATCACCACGCGCAAACGTTCGTCCAGTACTCGCATTGTATAGCCTTGCGATTCATTGAGTAACAAAAATATAGTTTTGGTGCAAAAACAAAACTGTCGGTCAACCGACATAAATTACCAAACATTGCGAAATAATCGTATACAATTGCAATTTTTTAAAGACTGATACTGTAGCCGTCCGCGCAAGTTGCCCACAGAGAGAGGTATTCGGATATTTGCACCCACATTGCTCGCTGTTCAGCGCCGTGTGTACAGGGAGAAGGCAACGGCCGGATCTGCCAGTGGAGCAACTTGTGCGGGCGGCTCCAGTAACTGTTTACTTCCAGATGCAGCTATTCAAAAAAGTTTAAGCGCGCAATAAAACTTTCGCTGCTGAGCTAAGTCAGTAAAAGCTGCTGTTGCGCCTCTTCTGATTGGCTCAGCCGCAATTTCAGCGTTCACAGCACGCTCACGTTCAGCGCCGTTGTGCCTTTTTGGCTTCTGAAAACTGACTGCAAAAACAAACAGTCTTTGACTTTCTAAAATTCACGTTTTTTAATTTAAATTTTGTATCAACATCTCGAGTTTTTAATTATATGGCTGTCGACAGCCAGATCGATCTTCAGCATTACCGCGAACACTGAAACTGTTCGCATTTTGTGCCTTGAAGCGGCCAAGCGCAGCACTTTTATGGAAATGCGCGCAAGACCTGGGCTTGTCTGCAATGCTGTGAAGACCTCAAGGAGTTTTGCGCTGATCCTTCGGTGAGATTTCCACTAGCAGCCTCAAATGTCAAACACCAGATAAGTAGAAAAATTATTCTGATTTTGTGTCGATGATTTTGTTTGTAGGATTTCGGAAAATGTTGCCCAACGGGATAACTTTGCATGACGACGTGCAGTAGGACAGCAGGTGCGCGTCTCATAGATCATCGTAAACAACCCGCATTTAGTAGCAGTTTTATTTAGGATGGGATTATGTCCCAAAAAAATTATAGCTGATTGAATCGCCAATAAAACCTTCAAGCGCTGCTTTAAATTGCTTAAGACGAATTGTCCGCAGAAATCTTATTTTGTATTGGTGCATGTCGACATGCAAGCGCTTAATAACTGAAAGTTTGAATGTAAAGTTATAATGATATATAAAATTTTATATGTTTCTGAGGTTAAGCTGCCATTTCTGTAATTTTGTTTTAAAAAATTAAACCACAGAATCGTATAGATTTGTTGTCAGCATTTTGGCTGACAATAACTTGAATGCCGTAGAAATCTTCCTCTTCAAACAACTTTAAAAATAAAATGCTTTTAATCTTAAAATAATCTATTTATTTTTATTTGCTTTTTAATTGCAGCAGTGATTTTTATTTTGTATTTTTCATAATGCAATTGCATGTCAACATGCATGCGGTGCACAAAGCAAACCTAAATAATTTGGTGCAGTATAGGGAAACTTTTCGTGGCACCTGAGCGCACTCTAAGTATTTCCAGAACCATTTGATCTATCAGTAGTATAAATGCGCTGATTAAATATTTTGCATGATCGATGGATGATTGCGTCGGCTTCCCAAAAGCAGATTTGCCGTGAAATGCATGGATGTCGACATCCAAATTTGAATGCAAAATGCCTAGTGCTACCTTTTTCAGGGTCTCACGCTGAGCTGCTAAAGCTTTTTTATTCATACACTATCTGGTTTTGTGTGATAAATGTGTAACGGATCGTGCTTTCATTGCAAATGGCATCATCGCTGTGCTTTAGACAAGCTCGCTGGTATATACCTGAATAAATATATTTTACATCTAGTACTCATATCGAAATCGGTCATTTTGGTATAAATCTAAGTATTATTACATTACCTATAACATCTACATTTGATTCAAAAGCTACCAATAAACTATATCACAATTCTGACGAGGGTAGCACTTTGCTGCTTATTAAAACACTTGTCGAAATTGTTGCGATAAATCGTGCGAATATATCCGGTTTTAAGCAGGCGGAAAAATATACCCTTTTTTTTGGTTTGGACGTTTATAGATGGGGAACACGATCGAGAAACCTACTGGCACCGATGTAATTGGTAGCAACTGCCAGTACCACTATACTAACGCGGATTATCTTGGCCATGGACAGTATGGTGTGGTTAATGAAGCGGCAATTATCGCACGAGGTGATTTTACCGGGAAGAAAACTGTCGCGATTAAAGTCGTGCATGTGCATTGTCAGAAGGACGGCACTGCCGGTTCCCCGGAAAACTGAGTTAAATGCTGTGACAGACTGAAGAGTCTTATCGAACTGCGGCATGACCATCTGGTGTCGTACCACAAGATCAGCATCAGCGACGCCCCCACGGGTTGCCGTACCATCGAGCTAATGATGGATTACCACGACGGTATGTACATATATAATGAACACATGTAGCCGCGGCAGATATATTGGCCTGTTTCCTATTGGCGAGCCCGGCAGGAAAGTGGTTTTCCTCCCGTAATTCTGCCGAACTGCGCCCACATTTCTGCCGACCCGACCCTATGCATTGCCTATGGGAACTCCAATATATCAGCCGAACCGGCGCAAAGTGAAATTTGATACATTTATTGAGCGCAAGCCTGCAATAGCACTGTCTTGGCTGCATCATATACACATACAGGCGCCTAACAAGCTAACCATAAGCATGTAAGCATATTGTACCGGCACTAAACAGAGAGAAGCCCGCGATTTCTCTTGCGCCGTGTCGAATCTTTGCAGGAGAGCGTTTCTGCCGAGTCCATTCATGCACAGACACTATCGCGAAAGTATAGTAGATTATCGAGTATATTGATTATTTTTTCTACAGTAAATAACCATTATATCATGTTTATGCCTACAATCTATGGATGGTGTAAATTATCCTTAGACTGTTTGATTTAAAAATTATCTTGTACTTTAAAAAAATTAAAAATTTTGTAATAGACAATAACCGCTAAAATAACCACGGGCTGTATCTGTATTGTAACCTTATTCCGTAGGCGACCTTGCCACCCTCTTGAGCGAAGCCAAAGAGAACAAGCTCCTTGCCGGTAATTATGCCAAAATTATTTGCTATGCCACGGATATGGCGCGCGGGCTGATGTTTTTGCATCGAAACAAGATTATTCACGGAGATTTAAAGCCGGCCAATATACTCGTGGAGAGTTTGTCAGGTACCGACGAGAGACTGCTGATCGGCGACTTGGACGATCTCGTGCACGGAGAATAATACCTGCTCGGCTGATCTGTCGCATCTGCGAGGCACTTTGCGTTACATGTCCCCGGAGATGCTGAGAAAGTTTACTCAGCTGCCCTGCAAATCGCCGGGGCGAAAGACCGATATTTGGAGTCTGGGGTGTATTTTGCTGGAGATCGCTGAATGTTTTCTGGACAACAACGAGAAGCGTTTCCAGAAAGGCAGGGCGATAGTCAGCGTGGGAAGCGATATGACCGACAACACTTATTTCCAACTGATAATGGAGGACTATGGTCCCTTTGTCAGTGACGCCGTACCTAAGAAACTGGCGGCTCCTATACGGTAAGTGCACCTCAAAGCGGTCTAAATTCGATATTTCGTCGAGGTCAACTATTAGGTTCGAGTCTGCGTGTAACTTTACGCCGATACATCTCGTTTATGAAGCAAATATTTTGATCGACTTCGAAAACAGTCAAGAAAACTTAGAAAAAGCTAAGAAAACTAAACCTAAGAACTAAGAACGCTAATAAATCTAAGAACGCTAAAAAACTAAGAAACCAGGTTCCAAAAAATTCTCAGCCGAATGCTACGCTCAAAATAAGTTTATTAGATCACGTTACATAGTCATAACATGGTGACGATAAGACTATTACTCACGCAAATGTACTAATGCTATTATGTAGATTTGTGCTTCGAAAAAGCGGAAAGCACGGTAAGCACCTAAATTGTTTTGCAGAGTTGATCCACTTAACTATATCGCAGCGGCCAACTCGGGAGACAAGATATTTTATGCCGGATCCGTATCATCCTCATCGACTTCCGTTCTCTGCTATGATACTGCGCGAGAGGAATGGGAATCGTTTCCCGATCTTCCACTGACAACAAGGGACTTTGCCATGGTTGTGGTAGACAAGTGCGTCTATGTACTGGGAGGAACCACTGGCCCGGAAGGGGAGACCCGAAAGTTAACAGCACGGTGCCACAAGCTCAACTGCGCAACTGCAGTTTGGAAGGAGATTCCACCTTTACGACAATCGAGACATCGTCACGCGGCTTGCTGTGTCGCCAACAAGATATTAATTTGTGTATGGCGGAGAGACCGATGCCATGGATGCAGGGATAATGGAAATGTACGATATCGAGCGGGACACCGAATGGTCCACGGTTAGCCTGGTCGTACCTGCAGATTGTTTGACGGAGAAGACATCGAAAGACTTTCGCTATGCATTGGCGGGAATTCTCTGCTGCTGATAACGTTGTCCTCCTTCAAACGTTTTGCGATCGTTTTATTGATGACTGACTATCGACACTGGAGATCAGATTAAGGTCACTGAGTTAACGCAACTGCTGAAGTGTAGAACTGTTGCCTGAAATTCGGATTACCGTTATCAATTGTCGGTTAAACCGTGCTCCGATCAGGCTTAACCAACCTTTTTGTGGTGTTGTTAGTGGCAGCGATGTCTCGAGCATGTGATGTTCGCTGTGATCTATCAGTGTTGTCCGTTAAGTACGTACTGTACTCATTACTGGTACTTGCTATTATTTCCTTGAACTTTTTAGAATGTTCTCTGTGATTCTGGGCGGAATTTTGGTTTTCTTTTTGGATACGCTTTGCTATTTGGATACGCTTTGCGCCTGTAGAAGTCCGTTAGTGGCCCTACTTTGGCAATTGGCATCCACGTACAATAATCAGTGTCCTCTCATCCCTCAGTTTGGCAGTCGTCGGAGTTTAGAATTATTGTTGAAGATATGTGCAAAATGTATAACAAAACAAGCTCGATGCTGTTATTTTTATTAATGATTCCCGAAATTTATAATTAGCGTGCCGTGAGTGGCCTTGTGTCGGACGAAGGCAACTATTGCCATGTGGCAGTCCCAAGATTACGTTTTCTTCGTTCTCCTACACTCGACAATTCCCCGACCGGTCCCACATTTCACTACCCACACACTGCCGGCACACGAACAATCCTTCAGGATCCACCCGCTTCTTCACATCCAACAACCGTGCATAATTCGCGCCCCAGAACGCTTCCTGCCAGCTCGGTTCCTCCGTAAACGCTTCATTAAAATACGCCCCGGAATCCGGGTAAGCCTGGCGCCACACCTCCGTCCCGGCATTCAACGCATCCAACAAACGCGTCACCGTCTCCTGGGAGGCGTTGTGCTCCCACACCGTAAATAAGACCGGGTGCCAAGCAGCCTGTCTCCACGCCGGCGTAACCGACGTCATATTCGCTTCGGGGTTGTTTCGTACTCCGTCGCCCAGGACCGCGTGTCCGAGAATGCCCCACTCAAAACCGTTACGCTGCATCCCGGCGACCAAGGTCTTTGCGACCTGTCGCGGGTCAGATAAAGCGGCGTTGGGGATTAAGCGGGATCCGCCGACCACCCGGGTCCCGGCGTTGTAGTGCATGGCGTACACATCCGACGCAATCCACCGATGCCAGTTTTGAAATTTCCGGAAGTGCTGCAAAAATGGTCGGTCAGAGAACGTGCTAACGAGAAATCCGGAGGTTGACTGCATCGCGATTAATTCGTCTTTTAAACCGTCCATCGGTGAGCGATACACTTTATGAGGAGTAATATAGTTCAAACTGAATCCATACGCCGGGTTGTAGTAGAAGAGACCGCCCCAATCCTTCTCATCCAGTTCCGGTGACCGTCGCGCCAGCACTTCCGGGATAACTTCCACTTGTTGCTGCGTCAACACGCCAGAGTTGTTGGTATTAGTTATCTGTAGAGCAAAATCAGTGAAACCATTAGGAACTGGATGCAGCTGGTAGGCGACGGATACAACCACCCCGAAGGTCCCTCCACCGCCACCGCGCAACGCCCAGAACAGGTCCTGGTTTTGGCAGGGGTTCGCCGTTACGAATTTGCCGTCGGCGGTCACCAGCTGGATTTGCAGGACGTTGTCGACAGCTAAGCCGAAAGAGGGGCCAAGAACGCTATGCCCACCACCCAGGGTGTAGCCCCCCGCGGCGCTGATGGCGTGACAGATGCCACCGACGGCGACGTAGTTGCTGTTGAAGTCTTCATCCACCTAAAATGCATAATTAAATAAAATATAATTAAATAGGAAAAGAAAAGAAATGTGCAATAAACTGGGTCTAATACAAAAAAGTGAGCTTTTAACGTACAAATATTGCTGAATATATTCGTGACCTTTTTGTACACGTCGTCCCAAGTTTTCCCTCCGGAGACTATTACCACCGGCGTGTTTACGTCGTGATCCGTTGAGCAGCCATCGGGGTAAAATGACGTGCGGGTCTCCACATCGGACAACGTGTGCATCCGCAGAAGCAGCGATCCCGGTGCGGCACTGCGTCCCAGGTAATCGTGACCGGTCGATTTGACCACCAGACGTAAATTATGCCGACGGGCAAAACTCACGGTCTTCCGAATATCCGCAACCGAGTGAACCGCGACACCGAACACGGAAACGCTTCCGGTTTCGCACACTGCATCCGGACTGTCTGCGGCTTCCAAAGAGCATCGTTTTCCATCCAGATCTTCCCAGTTAAAATTCTGCATACTTCCTGCGCGATCCAGGAGAAATGATGGACGCGAGAAGTTTACGCGAATGGTCTGGCAATCGGGCTCGTTGAAATCAGGACCCGCATAGCATGGATACGCTGCAATAAAATTCAGTTAGGTTCTCGCTTCCAAACGTGCAAATGTTTCTGAGGTTTCTTGGACGTTATTTTTGGCTTTAGTTTACGCAATTAGACCGTGCTATGTTTATTCCAAATTTTCAGCAAATTATGATTTAATATGCAACGAACCCGTGGGTCGCGGAAGGATGAGCCGGCCCTTAACTGTGGCATTGAACTCTTCCCATTCCTGCGCGGATGGCCAACATTTATGTCCCGGTAAACAGCGACATCGTGGGCTTCCTCCCACAATACCGACAAAAACCGCAGCAATAATAATCCAGATTGTTTTGCGGAGTTCCATTATTCCGACTCACTGATCTTTTTCCTACCACTTTTAAAATGATTGTGAAACGGTCTATGCGTTAATTTTGTCGTCGTAGTTGATGTGATCGATAAACACGGTACAAATTTCACAACCGTGTACATTTGAAGTATATGTATCGCCGCCGGCATGCAAGTGCTGGAAACTTCCAAATATTAATGTACGTGAACCATACCATAGAGTATACAGTACGTTGGCAGTGGTTTTAATTTATTTCGAACGTGGTTAAAATTGTATACAAAAACAGTTTCCGTCTTCATCCGACAGTGGACCATCGATTAATTACAAGCAACACCCTTCAATGGCTTTTGCAGCAACAGCAGTTCTATTTACGCGGAATTAATCGATTTCAGCGCCCGATAACACTCGACCAACCTTTGCCTAACACGGCGACAATATACACTCAAAATGTTTGATAACGGTTACCAGCACAATAACCGCTTGAGTTCCTCCCGCAACGTTTTTAGCGCCACGGCAAACAGCAACGGATCAAAAACCGGCTCAATTTCCCACAACACCCAGCCTCCTTCATACAGCCCGCCCACATCCACTTCGCCGAAAACCAGGAGGTCGTAGTATACGGTCAACGGTGTCCAGCACACTAACACGCTGATGGTTAACAGTGTCAGGACTTTGAAGGAGTGAGAGTGCTGTCGGCGTTCGTCTTTGTCTGATGGAAGGGACGTTGGTTCCTTCTGGGAGATGATGCTTTCCGTTGGGCGGAGACGGCGCTGTCGCTGGCGTTTGTACCAGATGAGCGGGTAGGCCAGGATCACCACGAAGATGGGGAGGGTGTAGACGATCACTTGGGCGGCCATGTTCCAGTTACGCTGGGCGGGGATGGCGTTGTTGAGCATGCAGTTGGAGCCTGTGGCTACGTGGTACCTAAAACAATGAACAAAATCATAGCTTTGCTATCACCTTAACTGCCTTCGAAAATTACCATTAAACCTTTTTTCAGAATATTTTAAGGCAGAACATTGTATTTATGTGCATTTAGCTCCAGCAAAGTTTTTAAGCAGAACGAATTACTCGTATAAGGACAAGTTTGCCGAAATATCTGCATAAATATTAATCACGGTTAGTTGGAGTTTGTGAGTATTACGCTTTGCTTTACCGCTAAGCTGCTTTATGCCATTAATGAGAATTGACGTATAAAAAAGTTAAAGAGGACCGGACAATACTCAACGACAGTAAGAGTTACGAGCATAATAAATTATTATTTTATGAATCGTGCTTCCTTGTTCAGGAGCATAATGCTTCGTTTTACCGCTAGGCTGTTCTGTACCATAACTGACGATCGATGCGAATTATGAATCGTTTTCTCAAGGGATGCTCGTTACTGAATGCAGCACAATACGCTGGAATTAACGTACCATACTCCATCGACAATAATCCCCGGCAGTAGCCACACAAACACATACACCCACATGGCCACGCACAACACCACCGCCGTCCGCCGTGAATGGTAGTTCCGATAGCCCACCGGGAACGTTATAGCCCACACCCGGTTCATGGTGATCAGAACGTGATTATGCATCATCACGGCGTTGGACGTATAGCCCAGGGCGATGAGCGTGGCGCAGTAGGCGGCCGACTGGTCCTTCCGAACGGCCAGATGCTGGATGATCTCCACCGGGGCGGTGAGGGCCTTGAAGACGTTGCTGATCAGCAGATTAATCAAGTATAGACTGAAGGTGTTGCTGCGTAATTGGCTGCAACGGGCATAGACGAAGAGCGTGGTGCCGTTGGTCAGTAAAATGGCCACCAGATTGATCAAGGAGAAGATGTCCGTGGAGGTCCAGAGTGTGGAAAACGGGGCGGTGGCCTGGGACGTGGTGTTGTTCAACAGCATCGTTGCTCTCGATTTTGACGTGATTTCGACCGGTGAAACTGTCAGAGAATGGTATTAAATCCGGCGACTTTAAGGCAAAATATATTTGCAACGGTCGCAGCTTATGAACACCAAGCTGCCTCGGAAGATTTCACGATACTTGTACATCCACGAAACCAGGGGAAATTTATCTGTACAGGCAGGAACACGTTTAACTAAAAGACATGTTAATAAAAAAAAATTCGCTGGAATGACACAGATGCCAAGAATGTTAGCAATAACGACCGCCAGTAACTGGGCTGAGTTAGCATATCTTCGGGCATGTTGATAGCCGAGTATTGCGCGCTGTCGCTGGTCGGTTTCAAGAGGATCATGTGATTGTGTCATCGGGCATTCATTTGTGTTCTGGAGCGAAAGTATCCGCTGCGATGACACCGCTACTGGATACATAGCGCCCACGCAGCTTTCATTTATTATTCATCCAGCAGCAAAATGCCGTTGTGGTTTGCGGCGTACAGGCTCGCAGTCAACCGGAATGACTTTTTCTCATACCGCTGCTGGATGTGCATTCGAGAGGATCGTGAAAAGACCGGCACGTAATTACTATACCAGCATGGAACATAATTCATCGGGGAAATGCTGGGTAGTAGGAAAATAACCGATACGGTCTCCCACTGTGTGTTTCCGGTTCACTGATATGGATGTTTTGTGCTCGTGTCAGTGATCACTCAGTGTTAATAAATAATCAACAACGCTCCGGCTGTTCTCGGTAAACGTCTTTTTACAGAATGATTATCATGCACTTATTGACCTTCACTCAATTCGTAAATAAAAATAGCAAGGTCCAAGAAAAGGTGAAGAAAATTATTTTTTAAACCAAGCGCAGCGAGATGCTATTATGTATAAAGCCGTAATTGGCGTACACAAAATTTGCTGTAACCATGAAGACCTGTACGTAAAGCTTGCCAAATTTCAACAACTTCAGTTTCCACTGGCAATGGAAATGCTCGCGGCTTTATGTAGACAACTAATTACTAATTGCAACGTGTTCTTGCTGAGTACTGAGTAGTGAGTGACGGTGAACATAATAACTGACGCTTCCGGTGATGCTGTTTGAACGGAAGTTCAATTTCCCAACATACCGTTCCACCCGGATATAAAATCGAAATGGATACAGCAAGAACACAATTTGAGATATGAAACGTCCGCGAAACGTCTGTCCGTGACGCAATGCCTGTTCGCTTTCACACCTCGACGGAAAAGATACCGTTCGAAAGTAAAAAAAACGCAGTTAGCCACAGTTGGAACGGACAAACAGTATGTTGTTTCCGTCGGTGAGGATCTGAGCCGAAGTAAACAGTAAAAAAGTACAGATATGTGCATAACTGTAGATCGGCTAGCTGCACTGGCAGCAACTCTATTACTGTGTACATCTGAGATCTTCGCTGACCAGTGTCGATGCCTGCCTGGAAACAGCTGTTGGCCGACGCAGGCGGATTGGGACCGGCTTAACGCGACGCTGTATGGCCAGCTCATCATTCCCCGACCCACCGGTAATAAGAAAATAATTATTTACGCATTCCAAAAATAACACCTTATATAAAAAAAATGATACAAAAATTAATGGCTGTTTTTTCAAAATACTTTTGAGTGGATTTTCAAGAATTTCTTGGAAAAAGAGAAAATGTTAACTAGCGCTGCATTTATTCTGGTACTTCTGCAACCACCTTAATTTACCATCAGTGTTGGTCCTTTTTGTCAGGTTATCCGTGCTACGCTGGACCCAGTTTCGATGCCGCTGCTTGCCAAACCGTTCAGCAGAACTTCACCAACACATTCTTCGTGGTGAACAACCCCGGCAGCACACAAGCCACCAACTGGGAGGAGGCGGGCGATATGCGTTGCGCCTTCCAAGAAGCCGCCGTCCCCAACGCCGTCTGTCAGGTCGGGCGTGTGTCCTCCTACGGGGTGGCAGCCACGTCAATCGCCGACATCCAGAACGCCATTGCTTTCGCCCATCAGTACAATTTGCGCGTGGTCATCAAATCTACCGGGCACGATTACTTAGGCAGGAGCTCCGCACCCGGGTCTTTATTAATCTGGATGCATAAACTCGCGAACATTGAGACGAAGACGAGCTTCACTCCATCCGGATGCGATGGCGGTCAGGCGTCCAACGGACCGGTGGTGACGGTGACCGGCGGAAAAGTGTGGAAGGACGTCATCAAAAAGGTCACAAAGCGTTACGCTAAATACATTTTGGAACTTAAAAAACGTGTAAATCAGCCAGTCGGTCCGAGGTTCAAAAAATTTATTAATAAAATCAGCAAACATTGCCCAATGCGCATAAATTGTCAGCACTGGGATAGGACAGAGAAACTCTTGTTTGCGCCAATTATGGTTAAACAAAGTAAATCTGCCTTTTTGTTCTATTTTGTAAAAACTGCAACTGGTTACTTTTGTTAAGAACTGCGTTTTACCCTGAATCAGGTAGAAGACGATTTTAATAACGGCTACATCGTGGTGGCCGGTTTCTGCAACACGGTTGGCGCAGCCGGCGGTTACGTTCTCAACGGCGGCCACGGGATTCTCTCTCCCTCCTTCGGTCTGGCCGCCGATAGCGCCCTCGAATTCCAGATCGTCACCGTCGACGGGGAGATACTCACGGCCAACGCCTGCCAGAACAAGGACCTCTTTTGGGCGTTGCGCGGAGGCGGTGGGGGGACCTTTGGGGTCATGATTTCTGTGACGTACAAACTGCATAAGATCGACGCCGGTTATACGTCGTATTCGGCGTTCATCACCAGAACGAACGGATCTGGAGCACTCAACGCCACCCAGATGGAGAATATCCTGGAAGTTTTGGCGCGGAGGTCCGCGGAACTGGATGAAGCCGGTTGGGGTGGATACTTTTATTTCCAGCCGGCGTTCGGGATCGGATGGGCGTTTTTAATCCCAGCTGATCGGCCGAACGCGCTTCCGGCCATGGAAGGATTTAAAAATGAAATTGCCGGGATGGGAGCGCAGGGCGTGGCCATTACGCCGTTTCCCGGGAGGAACTTCTCGCAGCATCACAACAGTTTTCAGGTAAAGAAACATATTTTGTCTCCGTCACGCAGAATTTCCTTGAAGCCTAACCAAGTGATTCTCTGCTCGTACGAAGCGTACAAATGTTATATAATATGTAAAAATCGTTTTTTTAACGAAAGCTAAGAGAATATTTTGTTGTGCGACCGACGTGTGTGTCTTTTGAAACTTTTGTCAGCTGGTCTACTGAAAAAGCGGTGCGAGGGAAAGATAGTAATGTTTAAATTGTATGTATCTCCAGGATTGGCGAGGTTGGATGGATACCACCGCTGTCACCCAAGTCCACAACTCCGGCGGGCGCTTCCTCCCGGGTTCCCGCCTTATCCCACAATCGGCTTTCGCGAACCCGCGGGTGGTTGCCCAGACGGTCGTCGCTGCCATGAATGCCAACGGTTTCTCCTTCGGCGTCCTCGGTCACCTGGTATCAGGGAAGGGCGTCCGGGAGACTCCTGAAGCCAACAATACTTCGTACACACCAGCCTGGCGGAAATCCGTCTGGCTGCCGGTGATCTTCACCGCCTGGGATTTTAACGCTACGAACGAGGAAATTGCCGCCGGGAAATCGCGGCTGAATGCCGGGTTGCAAGTACTACGGGACGCTTTTCCGGATTCCGGGACGTATGGGAATGAAGGGTACAGTGAGGAGCCGAATTGGCAGCAGACATTTTGGGGAGCGAATTACGACCGTTTGCTGAGTATTAAGAAAAGCATGGATCCTGGTGGGTTTTTCGTGTGTAATAGGTGCGTAGGCAGTGAACTGTGGGATACATCGGGAAACTGTCCACTGTCAATGTATCCTTACTAACTGCCGTTTCTTTATTTAAGGCTGTATTTATTATGTATTGTGTGCGCCCTGAGAATGTTGTATGACCTGAACTCAAGTCTGCCGCAGCACATAAAAATCCAGCAAGTATTGTTAAAATTTTGTAAGAATGGTTACGAAAGTTCTCGCAGACCGATGCCTCCATGCCGCTGTAGTTGTCCATAGAATTCTTTCTGGATGTCTAATAAATTATGCAGTTTGTATTTCTGTTGGGCTAGATGGTATTAGTTTATTGGCAACCGATTGTCTGATTACTCTGCCATTAAATGTAGCGATGAGCGATAGCGATGATGGGCATTAGTTAAAAGTCCATTGCGGTGCTACCACTGCTGTCCCTTGTAGCCTGTTGTCTAAAATCATTAAATGCAGTGTCAAACCACCGTTCCAACTACCTACCGCATCTACGGCCGTACTTCTGAAATACTCCTGCCGCTGATGGCACAGCAGTGGGCAACGTATGCCACGTACTGATACAGGAAGATTTTCATGTTAGATACCTGCGTTGATTGATTGTTATGTCGGGTTAGTTGATCATTCGATCCGATATCCTTCTGAGTCTACTTGTTTTCTGTAAATGCTTTAACGGTATAGCACACATTATTCTGCCGATCAGTTGCGAGCGGCCCATCGACACTTTAAACGTCCCCTGTTTTATTTCGTTCAAAGCCGCCTTGCCTTCACGAACGGTGGGTTAGGTTGTGACCTTTTCATACTGGCTAAAGCTGCTCTCCCCTTCCCCTTCGGTAGAAGAAGAATAGGTGGGGGATGCATATAACTAGGAAGCCGGGAGTTGTCCATTTAATTTCGAGACGTGTGTCTACATCGGTTTTGACGTGGTTATCACCTTAAAATGGTCCGGTTGGTATACCCTGGCCATTTTTATGTGACCACCACATCTCAACACTGTGATCCGCTAGATTATTGATGATCAACGACTTTCTCACCCGTCCAGCGGATCGACCGTTTGCTTAAATATTCTGGGTGAACTTTCGGATCGGAATTTTCATCCTGAGTATCTTAGCTAACGAATCCGTTCTAAGCCCGTAGCTTTAAGCCCTATACGGATAATTGATAAACCGCGGTTATCGTCGGCAGCAGGTTGAATCTGGCCCATCGTTCATGTTTGCATTGATTTTAAGGAACGTAAGTACGCAGGCGAACCGTTATAGCAAACGAAGGTACCGAAATACGTGAAATCATTTCCTATGCATATTTGAATCCATTATTCAGCAAAAGGCGATACAAGTACAAAAATAATTGCACTGGACAGTAATTAAAATGGTGCAGAAAGTATTCACTGAAAAAAAAAACATAAAATCGTTATCCGTGGCCTTAGAAAGCATGCTTCGTTCTACAGCATACATTTTGTCATTCTTGGTGTTCCTTTCCGATGCAACAGGCAAATAGAACTAAAAACGTTACAAAACGGTCTATGTATATTGCTCCTTCTGTACTGTATTTGTTTCGTTTGTATTACTCCCACTCTAAAATCTTTCCCATAATTAAGACTGCCTAAAAACCTTAACAAAAAATGCTGACCGTGGGTCACATACATAAAAAATACGGCTCTCACCCGTATGAAATCATCTGCCCAATTCGACGAACCGGTAGTCCAATGGCTTCCGATAAATTATTAATCAGATATTATACGCGAAGTAGCTAATTACCGGTGATTTTGGCAGCAACCTTAAAATTTTAAAATATCATTAAAAATTATTATGCATGTAGGGACAATTGTAAACATGGAAGTTTCAAAGCACATTTTTCCGAATTCCATAATTCATACCAACTGTGATAGAATACAAAATGTGCGCCGAGAAAAGATTTACACCAGTTAATAATGACAGCTTGTTTGCTATATTGCTATCGGCAATTGTGATGAATTTCTCGAGCGAAATGCCTGCAGATTTGTACATGGTGTCAATATTATTATAAGGTAAAATTTTTCTATACACTTGCATAAGTGGCGTCAGCCACCGTGGGCTGGCGATTGGTGAATAAACATTAGCCGGTTGAGAGTGGAAAACAGATTTCAAAAGATGATGCATACGGTATCATGGTATACTGTAGCTGTATGTTTATTGCCGAATGCAGCCGAAGAATCGCAATGCCGCTCGTTCACACTGGCATAAAAAGCTGTAATGTACGGCATTATATACGGCGAATAAACATTCTAATGACGCTGGCAAAAATGTTGCAGCTTCTGTAATTATGACTTGAGCAAACAGACTGTTAGACGACAAAACATATGTAGAAAAAATTTAGCGGTCAGTGATTTATATGATGATATATGGGGTCCGTTTGTCTGCAATGGCGCAACCCTTGTTCGTTTTCTATAACGCAGGGTAAATAATGATCGGCTGGGTACGACAGTTTCGAAAGAACCTAAGATATTCGGAACCGACAAAGAAACAATTTTTTGCACGTTCTTTGTCGATCCCCAAGCAACGGCTACTTTAGACTGACAGTAACGCTAATCATCCTACTCAAACGTGGTGACTTCCGGTGACATGTACGGCTTCCGGTTGCGGGTGATCACTGCGGTGATCGCGGTATTAAGTACCGTGATCGATGTAATTAGTGGTCAGTGTCGATGCTTGCCCGGAAATAGCTGCTGGCCGGCAGAGGCCGATTGGGATCGGCTCAATGCGACGCTGTATGGTCAGCTTATCGTTCCAAGACCCACCGGTAAAATTTGTCAAAATCTTGCATTTTATTTAATTTTTTTAAATTTACTTTACAGACCAGTCATTTTGTTTGACTTCTGCAAGTATTTCAGTGTGTTTTCAAGTTTCTTGCAGTAGTACATGTACAGTGTAAGAGATTTTATATTATTTATCAATAGATTCATATATCCTTACGTCCTTATTTTTTGAAATTATCTCCTAAATCAAGATTGATTTTTTCAATAAGGTGATAATTTTATAAAATAAAGCATCGCACAAACATTCCTACCTTTATCTTTAGAAAAATCTTAAGTTTTGGAGAAAGTCTAAAAAAATTTTTGAAGGTTGTAGTACTTAAGGGTTGTTAGTACTTAACGGTTGCTAGTTTTGGAAATTATCTACTAAATCAACATTGATTTTTCCACTAAGTTGTTAATTTTATAAAATAAAGCATCTTCGAAAGCTTCCTACCTGCAGCTCGGAAAAAAATTTGTGGTTTCCGGAACGTTTTCAGAAACCCTTTCAAACTTTCTGTACTTAGCGTTTAAACTTCATAGAAATTTCCAGTAAATTCTGGAAACGTTTCGAATGAGCAAATAAAAGTTTAGCAGCTTAGCAACCTAAACTACAGATCTGTGTATGTTATTTAAATTGTCAATTCCATCAAAATTATAACTTTTTCAAATTCTTGAAATCTTTAAGATGTTTTTAAAACATGTTCGAATACCTCAAAATAACTATTAATTTTTCCAAAATAACTATTAATTTTTCCAAGTCGGCTCCAAAGCTTTTACATTTCCAGAATTTCTAAATATTTCGACTCGGCCCCGCGCAGCGGGGCCGTTACCTCTAATTTTTTGAGCCTCCAAAGTTTCGAAATTTTAAAAAATGTCTAGAAATGTCTGAGTACCTCAATATCTCGCGGTCTTAAAGGATTTGGCCCGGTACATAGCACCAAATTTGTATATATCCACGGCAACTTCCGCTGTCGCGCGCTCCCAAACCCTTATTCTCATAACGGTCCTCATACTTATCACCCTTTTCCTAATTCAGAATTCTTACTCAAAACGGCTTTCATAATCATAATCATACTTTAATCCTACCGGTTATCATATTTTTGTTCATAATCATAACTCAAACCTTTACCGCTACTCATACCAGTGCGCTACTGCGCTTAATGTTATTAGTAAAAGCATTATATTATTTATTAATCGTAAAAACCGTATTATTGACACAAGTAGTAATAGCTGTTGCGCAAGTTGTGCACCGTTCTTGAATTTTTTAAAAAAATTTTCTTTGATATCTGCTTTTGTCCTGGCTAGCAGCGATTATATAAACTGCGTTATTACTGTTCCTGTGTTCCATTGCTGTACGGTGTACACGATGCTTTTGTCGAAATTTAGTTTTGTGGAATGCAAAGTTAACGGCCCGTTCACTTTTTGTTTGGTGGAAGCTACGTAGTAAGCCCATTACCATTTCCGGTTTTTTTATCATTAGCACTGGTTTAAAAAATGGACGAAAATGGACAATGGTAAATTTTCTTGCTCAGTTTTTATATGTAGATTAAATTACTTAGCTTTCGTAACTCAGTTCAAGTTTACTGAAGTCATTTTATAACGAAGCCATTTTCTAATAAATATTTTTTCGCTACTGATTCAGATGAAATAATTTTTACGAGTGGACGAAAGCGGGCGGTTGAGTAGACTTACATGAACACTTGGTTGTAATTGAATATTACATTTTTGACACACCAGCATGAGTAATGGTTAAGATATGAGCTATAATTATGAAGAAATTAATATGATAACCGGTAGGACCAAAGTATGATTATGATTATGAGGGCCGTTATGAGTATGAATTCGGAATTAGGATTATGAGTATGAGTATGAGAGCCGTTATGAATATTAGGTACTGTACATACCTAGCCATGCAAAAAAGTGTTTAGGATTGCGCGACAGCGAAAGTTCCCATGTATGTACCCGAATTTGGTACTACAAATGTGTGCCGGGCCAAATCCTTTAATTGTCTAATTTATATGTAATTCCTAAATATCTAAAAGCCGGCCCGCGGCCGTTTACCGTATTCACTCACATGGCGGCTCTGTGATACTGGTGGTAGCTTGGGAATTCACTAACCTCGAAATCTAATAAACATGTATTAATTTTATTTTAATAAATACTGAAGAGCTTGACTGATGGTTAAAAGATCTTACAATTAGTATCTAAAGATGCAGCCTGCAAGGACACCTTGGGCGACCGTTAACGGTTCCCGCAAGTTTCCATTAATTCTGCGCTGAAAAAATGGTATTTTATAGGCATCGTGTACAGATATATGACCCCACTCAATCCATTTTATCACCGTTAAAATATTATCTTAATCTGTGGTACCAAAAAATTCAAGTTTTCAGTTCGTTAGATCGGTAATATAAAGTTACATTAAAAACGTTACGCGATAAGTTACATTAAAAACGCGAGCTTGAAAAAATTCCGCATTTCTACATGTTCAAAATATTTGCGTAGCTGGCCTCGCTGGGTGTTATATTTGAAATATTTCTCAAAATTTTTTTAATGCGGAAGGAAGTATATTTTGTATTTCTTTCATTCTTCCATACCTCAAACACAACTGGTCGCGCGCTAGCGCGACCGATACTTGTACATTATTAGTTTTAACTAATTAATTTCATATACCGATCTTTTATATTTCTCTTTTATATACATACGTTTTTTATTCTATGTAAGAATTAGCTGTAGATTATGAATATGAAAATTTATAACACTTGACTTGAATAAAAATGAATTGCAAATAAATTTTAATATTTAGGTTTTTATTACTACTAAAACGATAAAAATATATTTAACAAGAAATTAATGTGTATTATTTCGTACCAAATTTTTAGATTTAAATTATTGAACTGCTTATTTTGGGCATACTGTACTCTGTAAATAAGAATGCTGAAATTACAATGTCAGTAGAAATTACAGTGTATCTTTAATTAGGATATCCGTGTTATGCTGGAGCCGGTTTCAACGCCACCGCCTGTCAAGCAGTCCAACAGAATTTCGCCAACCCATCCTTCGTGGTCAATAATGCCGGCAGCATGCAGGCCACCAATTGGGAGGAGATCGGGCAGGCGCGCTGCACCTTCCAGGAAGCTTCCTCACCCAGTGCCGTCTGCCAGGCCGGTCGCGTGTCTTCCTACGGGGTGGTGGCCAGCTCCGTCGCCGATATCCAGAACGCCATCGCCTTCGCCCACCAGTACAATCTCCGCGTGGTCATCAAGTCCACCGGACACGACTACCAGGGCCGCAGCGCCGCACCCGGGTCTTTATTGATCTGGATGCATAAACTGGCCAATATCGAGACGAAGACAGCGTTCACGCCCAACGGCTGCGATGCCAGTCAGGCATCCGATGTGCCCGTCGTGACGGTGACCGGCGGAAAAGTCTGGAGCGAAGTGTACAAAAAGGTCACCTAACCTTTATAAATTTATCATCTCTTGTTTAATGGTCGTTCTATTATTTCTGGCTGATCAGAATTATTTTATTTAAGAAATCGTAATTTCGATCGTAATGAACTTTATAGTGGTTTAATAAAAATTTTAAATTGACAAATACTACACATTTATGAAAAATAGAAAAAATATCACATTATTTTTTTCTGTTTTTAAATTTATTTCTGTAGTAATTGTCAGTTTAATTATTATTGAATGTAGTCAATATTTAATCGATATTGAATTATGAATCAAATGCAGATTAATCTAATTTTATTTTAGCGGCTTTAATTCCTTTAATTATGTTTGTTTTCCGTTTTTACCAATTTCTGAAGCTGACGCAGCAATTTAAAATACATGAATTTTTTTCGGCAGGTGGAGGATGATTTCAACAGCGGCTACATCTTAGTCGCCGGTCACTGCACCACCGTGGGCGCGGCCGGCGGCTACGTTCTCGGCGGCGGCCACAGCATCCTCTCACCCTCATTCGGCCTGGCCGTCGACAACGCCTTGGAATTCCAGATCGTCACCATCGACGGGGTGCTGCTCACCGCCAATGCCTGCCAGAACAAGGACCTCTTCTGGGCGCTGCGCGGGGGCGGTGGCGGGACCTTCGGCGTTTTAATCTCCGTGACATACAAACTGCACAAAATCAACGCAGGTTATACGGCATACTCCGGCTTGATCACCAACACAGACGGGTCAGGGTCATTAAATGCAACGCAGGTGGAAAATATCCTGGAGGTCATGGCGCGGAGGACGGCGGATCTGGACGCCGTCGGGTGGGGCGGTTACTTTTATTTCCAGCCGGCGTTCGGGATCAGTTTGACCTTTCTGATTCCGGCTGATCGAGCGAATGCGCTGCCGGCCATGGATGGGATTAAGAATGAGATCGCTAGTATGGGAAGCCAGTGGGGCGTGGTCATTAATCCGTTTCCCAATACGACTTTCGCCCAGAACTACACCAAATTTCAGGTACGAGGCTTTTTATCGTTTTTCATATATTCAGTTGACTGGCTAAATTGCATATTCAATCGTGACTAAATGTTAAATCTGTGGTGATTTATACTTCACAAAGTATTGAGTGATTTTATTTTTATGAACATTTGAAAATACTTAAAAACATAATGAAATTATTTGGAGAAAATTATTTAATAAGTTACCAGAAAAATCGAAATTGAATTTATTTAAAATTAACCAAAATGTTTTTTTAAAAAATTATTTTTCACGGTAGGTAAGTTTTTTAGCATAGCCTAGAGATGCCTAAAATCTGTCTACATGTATCTTAGTTTAATAATTTTCTGAAAATGCCTAAAAATGACCCAAAATTAATTACAATTATGCAAAAGATTGTCATGGAAGCTGAAAATTATTTTAATAACAAAAAGTCATTCTAAAAAATATATTTAATAGGATTGGCGCAACTGGCTGGACTCCACCCTGGTGACCGGCATCTACAACTCGGGCAGCCGGCTCCTCCCCGGCTCGCGCCTGATCCCCCAGTCGGCCCTCAGCAACTCCCGCGCCGTCGCCCAAACCCTCCTCGCCGCCATGAACAAGAACGGCTTCCCCTTCGGCCTCCTCGGGCACCTGGTCTCCGGCACCGGGGTGCGCAACAACCCCCAGGCCAACAGTACCTCCGTGACCCCGGCCTGGCGGAAGTCCGCCTGGCACATCGTTTTATACAGCGGCTGGCTGTTTAACTCCACGGATGATATCATCGCCGGCGCCACCGCCGGGATTAACTCCGGGATCCAGGTGCTGAGGGACGCCTACCCGGATTCGGGAGCGTACGCTAATGAGGCGTTCATCCAGGAGCCGAATTGGCAGCAAGCGTTTTGGGGGGAGAATTATAATAGGTTACTGGGGATTAAGAAAAGTATGGATCCCAGTGGATTTTTGGTGTGTAATCAGTGTGTCGGGAGTGAATTGTGGGATCAGGCTGGGAACTGTCCGGTGCGCTCCAGTTCATACTAAACCGACTGCCAATTTTTTAGGATATTTTTTCTGTTTTTTTTTTAACTTTTTCTAGTAAATATCTCAAAACCGTGAACTGGATAAAGTGTGCCGGCATTATTCTTATGCAATATGCCGTAACGAGTCGTTCACCCTAAAACGTGTTCTATTTAACTGAACGATTTTTTCTGTGCAGTTTATATCTTTTTAATTTCAACTATTTTTGTCTAATAAACATGTAGTAACGGTAAAGATCAATTAAATGGTTTTATTCCTGCATAAGCCGATAATATTTGTATAATAATAATATGCTTTCGATTAGACGCCTATATTGTTTGTCTAACAAATATACAAATTTTTAAGGTCAATTTGTAATACTGTTAGGATTGGAAATGTATTACGTGTGCGTAATCAGTAGCTGATCTATGAGTGTACAATCTTCATAGCTGATCAGTGAGTGTAACGTCCACTCAGTACACCTATCCCTAATGATGATCAGACTTCTGGGAGAAGTGCTGACTAATGTATGACTGTTATGTTACCAACTGTGCTATATAAGCGAGTGTTGTACAGAACATCTATGAACATCTTGTGGACATCACTGAATGAACAACTGCGAATGTATCTGAGTTGGTTCGTTAGTACAGTTAGTACGGTAGTCAGTTATCACTTTCCTACAGACCACTATTTAATTTTCAAGAAATACATTTGTCACTAATTTAATAATCCAGCGTAAGCAGCCCGCGAGTTCAACGTGCAGTCTATATTTTTCAGATTTTCTAATTTGTAAATTTTTTTCCAAAAACTGAACCGGCAAAATCATGACGGTTCTTTTTTTCCGATGATTTCTGTACATATTTATGTTCCTCTTCGACACATTGAGCAATGACACAAATACTAGGACAAAACATGGGCGTCCTTCACGTCATAATTCTGTTCAGTAAAGGGTTTATTTGCCGATGCCACCAAAACCACCGCCGCTAAAGCTGCTGAACCCGCCACCCCCGAATCCGCCCAATCCGCCGCCGAAGCTGTTAAACCCGCCGCCGAAACTGTTGAATCCCCCGCCGAGGCCGCCGCCAAACCTGCTGAATCCACCACGCCCACCGTATCCCACACGGCCGCCGAAGCGCCCTCGTCCACCACGCCGGCAGTTTCGTCGGCCACGGCAACGCCGACGGTTCCGGCGCCCGAATCCTCCCCCAAATCCGCCCAATCCCCCACCGAAACCGCCACCGTATCCCATACCGCCACCGCTGAATCCACCAATGAACGCATCGACGCCGTCTATTACAAAATAATTCAAAATGTCAGTTGGCCATCAGAAGTATCGCAATGGATAATGTATGTAAGCACACAAATAATTATTAAAACAACTTAGCAACTTAGCGAAAACAGCGAAACAACCTATGTTTAAAATACAGCAACGCGGTCACTATAATTTATAATGTTTTATGGAAAATTTGCATTAACGTAAATTTCCACTCTAATAAGCCTATATTTATTTCCACACAAAACGATAAAGAAAACGATAGAAAACGAAGAAAAACGTTAGAGAAATTAAACTAATAATTCGTATGCACAACTTTGTATTTGAACTGTACATACAGTGTATTGTACATGTACAATACATTGTACCGTATTCTGTACCTGGTACCACACATATTTTCAAAATCACCGTATTACGAGTACGATATCGTACGAAACTGGCGTTGTAATATTACAATTTAAAATATATGGAGTATTGAATCGTGGAATTGTCCTTAAGTCCGACGACACACAAAAATAAATTTACGAAAATTACGCTTAGTATTTGTTTATATAAAAAAAAATTTAAATTGAATATTAACTGATTCAGTGCGTTGCTTGCGCAGCGTAACGGTGAATTCGTAAATGCAGTTATAATAAAGCGTAGTACGTTCGCTACAAGATACAGTAGTTAACTTACGGTCATTGACGGATATCATAACCAGGACACCGACGGCCAGGAATAATACCAGCGTGGAATAATTCATTGTCAAGCCGGATAATAGGATTACCGTTTTTTGGTGATAATCTTAATAAAACTGAAACAAACACCCGCCAAATAAAAGACCGACGTTCCGTTGATACCGCGCGTTTTATTGTGTGGAGCCGCTATACACGGGCGACCAGGAAGTAAGGCCGGGTACATAAAACAAGCCCGCTAGGACGCCCCGGGAAACGCACTCCAGCTGGCCACGGTTGCATAATCGCGTCAGTTTATCGTGCAAATCCATTGTCTTGAATGTCTTCGCTGCAAAAAAAATGCGGTTCGGTCACTTGTTAATTGGCACGGTGGGAAAAGACAAAAAAATCGTCTGCTGGTCGCGAACGTTGTTTACTGAGAAAATCTAGTAGAACATTGGAAAACTGGATTATCAGCTGTTGGTTAAGTGGATAATGAAATGTTTGCACAATCGTTTAATTAACGACAACGTGTACATGGTGTATTATTAATTTTAATGCGAATAATTTATGCTGAACTTACTTTGCTTAATATACGGAAGAGTACCACGTACAGTACTACATAGCTTCTATATCAAAAACGCGAGCGCAGGTTTACACCAAAATAACATGACTGCATACGAGTTAGCTTAATATTCAAATACTCTTACAATGTTTGATTTTCTGTACAAGCTTGTCCCGTAATTATTTCTGACACATTAACACAGCGACAAATACAAATTCACGGGTTACGCCAAACTCCGTACTACGGCGCGCCACGCCACAATATTTTCGCTCTACATGCTTTGGCATGGCTCGTTCATGGCAAATTTCGATCCGAATTCCAAATTATAAGCTCAACATGAATTATGAAATATAACATTTCTCCTTGATAATTAGTAATTACCCTAAATATTGAGATGAGTAAATTTGTCGTTGTAGTAGTATTGTAGCGGCACTCGTTCATAGCGCAAACGTTGCGCCAAATACATGCTGCGGTATTTGAACCTTTAAGTTAGAAATGACGGTACAGGCTTTCAGCCATGTATGTACAAGCCCATCCAACAATTCTTTGACCGCTGTAAGCGCAGCGCATATAAATCGCGCACAGTAATGCAAATACGCATCGTAGTGTAGTGGCAGATATATTTATAAATATTCAACCAATAATAATATATTAGATCACAATTAATCGACCATTATTAGACCAACGTGGAATCAATCATCTTTAGCCCGGGCATGTTGCAATCAGTAATTTGAAAGTAATATGGATATTAAGTACCACCGCGATATTGTATTGCAAAGCAAAGATAATACTGATACAAAAGCATAAAATTAATATAAATTATGATGGCAATAAATAATGCTAAACATATTACGTTGTATATCACAGATACAGTAACTGCAACACATGCAGATTTGTTGCTTATTTACGCTGAATACGCAGACCCATGTGGCGTGACGTGTCGAAGCACATTAAATGGCTCAAGCCCACGTTTCTTTAAATTCCCGCTTACAGCGGTCAAAGAATTGTTGGATGGGCTTGTACATGTACCTCGTATCTGTATATAGATATGCGCATACAACTTCTGTTGAAAGCGTTATGGGACCAAACGTTAAACGACGCTGAAAAGTTATGGTTGAGATTACACGATATCGAGTAAAATTTTAGTATAATTCTTTACATTATGAATAAAACTAAATAGTCAAAGTTTTGATCTTATGATTCTGTATTACCCAAGCCTTTCGTCGTTCGTTTTAATTTTCTAACGTTAAAACGAGCGGCAACCGGCGAATGTCGAACAGTATGCTGCCTTCCGGGAAAATAATACCCGAGTAATTACAACTTGCGATAAAATTAGAAATTCCTGCTAATCGGCAGAGACTCCGCTCCTGACCTTATTCCTGACACGTTGCTCCAAATACAATCCATACCAGCGAAAGCGCCGATAATTCTAATTAATTCATGATAGGATAGCATTAGGGAGTGACGCTGACGCGTTTGTGTCATTCTAAAAGCCGGAGACCCGAAAAATACAATTAATAGTATTAATATCCATTTGTACTTATTTCATTCGTTAACATATTTAAATTGTTGTAATAGCAAATGCGAAACTGCCAGTTGAACTCTCTATATTATTGATACCGGTATGTATCTGTATCTGTACATAACTAACCGTGGGACATTTCGCAACCCTGATTACAATTTTAACGAGTGTTATTATTTTCCTTCACTTATCACCCACCAACTGAATGAGGTAGCTGTCATCTGCCATTTCTGCATAGCTATAAATCACGATTCTTCAGTGGATTGTCGAAATACGTAGGCGAAAATTACCTGTACAGATACTGCAAAATCTCATTTAGCCTAAACTAACATATTACGTAAACCAGTATACCGGTCTTTTCACGGCCGTATGAACGGAGCCCCAGCGAGCGTAGCAGCGTATTCTTTCGTTATCACTGCTTTTGTTGTTTATCAGGCTATCAGTGATGACACCTTACAGCAGCAATGCAGCTTCTTCGCCATGTATCTTATCGGACGAAACGGAAGTGCGTTATTGTCGAAGAATGCACGGTTTACCGATTTCCCTTTCCTCGGTTAATAGCTACACTCTGTGCACGAGGTTTGTGCATTTTAAAGCCTTTAAGAACGTTGCCTTCGGTTTGACCTGTTTACGCTTTTTGACCGTGAAAGCCAACCTGCCATGGATACATACGGATTATGGAGAATTATAATAGCCAGCTCGCTCCTGGTAGCCGGTAAGTGGGCAGCTGGAGATTATCTCAGATACGTCTCTGCTGTACGAACCGCGCAAATGCTCCTTAGTAGATTTATACATTTTTGAATTTTATAACTACTGTACAAATAAGTTTATTAACACCTAACAACAATTTATTAACAACTTTAGATTGCGACGAAAGTACGTGCGAGTACAATACACCGGTACCATAGAACAGTGCCAGTGTAAAATCCTAAATCGATTATGTACAGATACATATATAGTGTTAAATGACATGATGATTTCTGGGCTTATCGGTATCGTAGTAGCAAATTTTTAAAACGGTTGAGAGCTTAAACCATTAAGTATAATTATGTACCTTTTAATTCGAGTCATATCTATACTAGAATTCTTTACAAAATAACTTTAAATTGGCAACACCGGTGGCGAGTTTAGGCGAAATTTTTCTGTTAGTCGATCGCCTCCTTTTGTAGATATTGCTCTGTACCCCGCTGTCCTTCCATTTTCTCTTGTTTAAGTACCCGGTAGAATTTTGAACAATTCGTTTCATATAGTCAATAAAAGACATCAGAAAGAGTGTAAATGTACATCCGCCGGCCATGATAAAAACCGGCAGTTTGAAGTCGATACAAACAAACAAACAAACGAAGCAACGAACTATACAAAGCGGAAGCTGAACTTTGAATTGCGCGTATCAGCACACGCGTATGCACTATGTCATAACTACATAGTACAATAATTATGCCAAAGGTTAACTGCAATACGCAACCACTAGCAAAATCGCACAGAGAATAGTTTTAAATTCTACCTGCATTAGCGTACTTACCTACAGTTAGCACGAAAAGAGAAATAGAGACGGTGTAGACTTTGAAAGCTTCTTTGAAATATCACCGCTTGTGCTTTCCATCGTTGATTCTATTTACTGATGCATTAAAGGGAAGCAGCGCTCCACACCGTCAGTTTTCCTTGATACAGTTGGGACTGTATCATATGTAGGATATTAATTGCACGCAAACAGGAAGCATTTTTCGTGTTTTTGCAGAGACTTTCTGCAGGAGCATCCCAATCTGGTCGGAACATGATATCTCAAAACAAGTTAGAAGCAACTGCGACTATCCGTATCCGGAGCATTGTTACTCATGGACTTCTCTGTCCGACACTACGTTGAACTGTGATCTGGACAGCGTCCAGCAGACCAGTCCCAATGCAGTTCTGGATCCTTGTCCCGGCTGGTTCCGGGCATTTTCGCTCTATCCCTACCGGTTCCAGATCCTACCCATTGAAATAGGTGGAGAAGCTGCAGGGAAGATTTATTCCCAGTTTGCGCAGTCGAAATGCTACGTCAAATTTGCTCCCAATTCTGCATACCCCAACAGAAGATCAGCCACCATGCGATCAGCTGCCTTTCGACCAAACGGCTGCGTCAAACTGCAAACAACCTTCTGGTACCGGATGTCTGCTGCTCCGATAATCACTGGTGACCGCGACAAAGATTACTTTCTGGAGTTAGTAGTGCATCATTCCGCGGATAACGCACCTGGCTTCATCCCGAACTGGCAGATCTGGGGCAGCACCAGCGATTACGCAACTTTTCCCGGTCCGAATGTGTGGACACGGGTCCAAACGGAATACGCTGCGGACGACCAGTTCACTCTCAATTTCTACGCGCATCACGGCGACACTTGCAACACGACATCCATCGATCTAGATGGCATCGACACCAGAATAGCAGGTAAAACACGACATCAGAACAGGATTAAGCCCTCTCGTTCATTTCGGTTTACTACTGGAACAACGATAATGATACAATCATAATTTCACTAGTATCACACAGCCTCATATGCTAATCGTCGGCGAAAAAAGCACAGAAATTAACTTTTCCCCATCGGGAGCTTGATGCTTCTAAATGTCGATACCTTGACATTCACTAATGTCGGTCCCGCGATTCAGCAAAGTGGATAAATGTTTGCTGTACAGTAATCTGTAAACCCCGGATGGACACCAGCAGCTTATGGTTGCTCGACATGCGTGGTCTGATGACTTGTGTTAACTGGACTCAGGCAATGTGGGCAATCATGCATCACGATGGAACTATTAAACGTGCAGTTCATTAGTCAGACCTTGCTGACCAGTACTACGTACTTGCATCGTCCAGTTGTCGCATTTCACTCGGATAATTACGACAGGGGCACCTGCCAGTGCCACGTTTACTCACTGCCGATAACCACACTACGGTGTGGACCCAAGAGAGCAAGAAAGTCTCGGCACCCGGTAGACTGTTATTTAACAGGGAAATATCTGATCATTGATGTTCCGGCACCATAGCCAGAAGATCAGCCCGACAGGTTTTATTAAGCGCAACACACCGTACTAGTACTGCGAGTAGCATAAGCTGTTATCTCACAAATTCGTTTTAATCAAGTAAAGCACCATCGCCGACATACACCCACATACCGCAACAATGCATCACCCGTTAGAGTGCTCGGGCTTATAAAATACTTCTCGTGTGCTGATAAAATGTGGCGCGCTTTTTGCTTACCAAATCTATGGCTTTTTGACAAGCCTTTGTGGCAACAAGAAAAAACGTTTATAGTACTAAAACACAAAATAATAATTCCCACATTTACTGAAACCAGCGTCAATTATTTAAGCGAGTTGTCCATTTTCAGTGCCATTACCTGGTTGCGATACCACAACACTCGAGCCTGCTGTGCCAGAAGACACCACCCCCATTACAACTCAGGAAAATACTACTGTCCCAGAGGAAACTACACTTGTTCCAGAGGCAACCACTACTGAGCCAGTGGAAACATCCTCTACTCCAGAGGAAACCACTCCCGAACCAGTGGAAACTACACCTGCTCCAGAGGAAACCACACCGGAACCCGCAGAAACGACACCGGTTCCGGAGGATACAACTCCTGGACCTGAAGAGACGACCACCGTTCCAGAGGAAACAACGCCTGAACCAGAGGAAACTACATCTACTCCAGAGGAAACAACTCCTGAACCAGAAGAGACGACACCCGATCCAGAGGAAACCACACCGGAACCAGTGGAAACTACACCAACTCCAGAGGAAACCACACCGGAACCAGTGGAAACTACACCAACTCCAGAGGAAACCACACCGGAACCAGTGGAAACTACACCAACTCCAGAGGAAACCACACCGGAACCCGCAGAAACGACACCGGTTCCGGAGGATACAACTCCTGGACCTGAAGAGACGACCCCCGTTCCAGAGGAAACAACGCCTGAACCAGAGGAAACTACATCTACTCCAGAGGAAACAACTCCTGAACCAGAAGAGACGACACCCGATCCAGAGGAAACCACACCGGAACCAGTGGAAACTACACCAACTCCAGAGGAAACCACACCGGAACCAGTGGAAACTACACCAACTCCAGAGGAAACCACACCGGAACCAGTGGAAACTACACCAACTCCAGAAGAAACCACACCGGAACCAGTGGAAACTACACCAACTCCAGAGGAAACCACACCGGAACCCGCAGAAACGACACCGGTTCCGGAGGATACAACTCCTGGACCTGAAGAGACGACCCCCGTTCCAGAGGAAACAACGCCTGAACCAGAGGAAACTACATCTACTCCAGAGGAAACAACTCCTGAACCAGTGGAAACTACACCAACTCCAGAGGAAACCACACCGGAACCCGCAGGAACGACACCGGTTCTGGAGGATACAACTCCTGGACCTGAAGAGACGACTCCCGTTCCAGAGGAAACCACTCCAGAACCAGTGGAAACTACGCTGGTCCCGGAAGAAACAACTGAACCTGAGGAGACGACTCCAGTTCAAGAGGAAACAACGCCTGAACCAGAGGAAACTACATCTACTCCACAGGAAACAACCCGTGAACCAGAAGAGACGACTCTCGTTCCAGGAGAAACCACACCGGAACCCGCAGAAACGACCCCGGTTCCGGAGGATACAACCCCTGAACCTGAAGAGACGACACCGGTTCCAGGAGAAACAACTCCTGAACCCGAGCAAACAACACCAGTGCCAGAGGGAACAACACCTGAACCGGAGGAAACTACACCGGTTCCAGGTGAAACAACTGCTGATCCTGAAGGGACGACACCCGATCCGGAGGAAACCACACAGAACCCAGTGGAAACTACACCGGTCCCGGAAGAAACAACTCCTGAACCAGAAGAGACCACTCCCGTTCCAGGGGAAACAACACCGGAACCGGTAGAAACGACCCCAGATCCAGAGGAAACAACTAAACCTGATGAGACAACACCGGTTCCGGAGCAAACAACTCCTGAACCGGAGGAAACTACACCAGTTCCAGGTGAAACAACTTCTGATCCTGAAGGAACGACACCCGATCTAGAGGAAACCACACCGGAACCCGTAGAAACGACAACAGATCCTGAGGAAGCAACTCCTGACCCTGAGGAGACGACACCGGTTCCAGGAGAAACAACCCCTGAACCTGAGGAAACAACTCCTGACCCTGAGGAAACTACACCGGTTCCAGGTGAAACAACTCCTGATCCTGAAGGAACGACACCCGATCTAGAGGAAACCACATCTGAACCAGTGGAGACTACACCGGTATCGGAAGAAACACCTGAACCAGAGGAGACAACACCGGTTCCTGAAGAAACCACACCTGTGTCTAACGAAACCACACTTGTCTCAGAAGAGACAACACCTGAGCCGGGTGAAACGACCCCTGCTGAAACGCCCGAGACCGGAGAAACGACGCCAGTACCTGAGGAAACCACACCCGAATCAGATGAGACAACATTAGAGACGCAGGAAACCGCACAAGTAACAGATGAGACCACCCCGGAACCGGGCGAAACTACATCGCTACCGGAGGAACCGTCGCCTGTTTCGGAGGAAAGTACACCTGTTCCGGAAGAAACAACAATTATGCCGTGCGTGAATGGCTCCGTCATGGACTCGGTTCTGATGAGTTGTCGCTGCGCATTTAGTCAGTACAAGGATGAAGAATCTGGCTTTTGCCGCGATCGTAAGAATCGTTATAATATTTTTGTTTGGTTCTGCGTTTTTGCAGCAGCTAATAAATTGTTCTATAGCTGAGGCCGTTGTGGAAGCTACTTTCCGATTGAATGACTTTGAGTTCCAAGAGGAATTGGCAGACATGTCAAGTATTCTATCTCAGGAACTGGTCAGCCAAATAGTGCCACAGGTCAGTATGGAAGAGCCATACTTCAGTAATGCTTTTTTGCTTTCGTGTGCCGGACAACTTGCTGCATCAGCAGATGTAGGGTTATACTGGAAAAGCATCAGTTGTGGTTTTCAGAACTCACATGTAAAGACAGTTACAGTATTAATGCAACCGCCAGCTTAATCTATGTTCGTTGTGTGTCTGATAAATTAAATAACTGGCGCTCTAAAGCGTCTGCCAAAGCAGCCAGTTGTTCGGAATGCGAGAAACATCGAACTGCTTGCATCATGCCATACATCGACACCGAAATGATTCCTTTTCAGATTCAAACTGCATTGTGTGCCAATCTTACGTTAGCTTCCCGATCTTGCCGAGCCGTAATGAAAGGATTCCGACGAGGCTCCGTGCTCGCCGACACCGTACTGCAAATTGTCGACACTAACAGTACGGTGAGCGAGCCCGAAATCCTTCAGGCGGCTGCTGTCATAGCTTTCACCACAACCATCAACCAAACCCCAGTGACAGTCTCCTCCAACACCGCACAGTTCTTTGACCGCTGCGACGTCGAAGGCGTTCGGTACTGTGGCCAGAATACAGCCGGTTGTGCGCTCAACACCACCACCGGGGAAACATTGTGTCGATGTAATGATGGTCCTTATTTTTTGTCGGACACTGGCAAATCCTGCACGTTCGATCCCTGTCGGCAAGATCCGTGCGGTGAAAACGCTGTGTGTGTCCTGAACGATCGGGTTGTAGCACGCGGATTTGAGTGTCCGTGTCGCCAAGGATTCTCAAGGCCGCTACAATCAGCTTTTAACGCCGACTGCACTGGTAAAAATGCTCCTGACTCTGTTTGTTCTGCGGCACTTGTTAATACTGTTGTTTTTTATTTGCAGAGGATTCAGACGGTGAGTAAACTGTATCCTTGGTGCCACAAATAACAAACGGATTATCCTTTAATTTTTGGGCAGAATAACGTTAGCATTGCTCCTGTGGTTATTGACCATTTTTCCTTCTACAGCTCCTATGATCTTGATCTACACCGTAATCGGTATTGGTGGAGCGCTAATTGTCTGTCTGACCGTTTTATTTTGTTATCTGTCTCGAAGAGAGTGAGTCACATCCGTTTAGCGCCATAAATAATTGTGCGTGTAGAATATTGATGCACAGTAATCTTTGTAGACCAAAGAACAGTACAGCACAAAAAGAATTCAAGACGAACATAACACTGGCCTCCATGGATGCCGAAGAGATTGCCATGCCCCCAGATGACCTCGTCATGTCGACGATCCTTAGTGACGATGAGATTAAATCAGTCGTTGAAGCCATTAACGAGACGGTAAGCGCGCAAGCAAGTAACAAAATTGTGCATGTACAATTTAGAACAATAATTATTCCCTTTTCTTAAATATTTTTTTGAAGCGCAACGAAGAGATTATGCGTTCAAGCAGCATCTTCCTCTAACGCGCAATATAACTCGCTGTTTACATAGACGGTACCGCGGCCGAACCCCGGGATGCGGTTCGATCTGATCTACGATGCCAAAGCCAAACCGACGTCTTCAGTTGATGCGCTATCCCTATCCAGTGTGGACACCGACAAGGCGTCCTACTTAGATTACGAGTACGAGGAAGACGACAGATACGGCTGATCCTTCGGCTATCGATCTTGCAACAGAGTCAAAACTATTTCTTCGTACTTGTGTAGGTAAAATACACGGTTGAAGAAATACTTAAGCTGATTTTTGTTTTCCTGATAAAACAGACTGTGATTGGTAGAGGCGAATTCGAGGGTTGAATACATGGGTGGATGGAGGGTTATTTCAATTTGCAGTTCCTTTTGGCCTATTAATATTGTACGACTACTATTGTTGCTCAAGTTTGTTGGTTTTGTGTGGTTAAAACAGGTTTAATGTATGCGCATGTACGCCGAAAAAGTTGTACAGAATAACGATGTGACGTGAAAACGCCGCAGACAAATAAATATTAAAATGTCGTCACAATGATTCTCCCGCTAAATCCTCAGAAACAAGCACGTACTTTTACTGTTGTACCAGGCAAAGAATGCACTTTCGCTTTAGCATTTTGCATGCAATAATGGCCAAATGTAATGAATAACTACTAGGCATGTTTAAAACTTTAAATTAACCTTTAAATGGGCATTGAATAGCTTGTACTGCGCAATCACCGGGAATGATTAAATAACAAGCACGGTTTCCGCACCGCTGGGTTGGTTCACACCGCATTATTCCGCTGCTTGGCTTCTTCATCTTCCAGGGAATCCAGGACCACCTTCATCACCACGCTCAATGCTTTATCCCAGCTCTCGCGCACCAACGGCGTCCACAATGGACCCAATACTTGCTCCAATAAAACAAACACGGTTCGGTGCAGCTCCTGCAAACAATTACCCATAGAATGCACCATTTTTCTTCTGTTAATTTCGCGTCACATTTTTCAATAGTGCCTTGATTTACTTGAAACTGTTCCGCGTGGATCTTACGGCGCACATGATCGCGGCCGGTCTTCTGCAGAATCAGCACGGTTGTCTCTGAAACAAGCGATTAGTCAGCTGACTGAAGCAAGGATGATTGTGACCTTTGCTTTTACCGGGATCGTCCAGAGTTTCTGGAAAAACAAACGCAGTTTTGACGTCAATTCAGTATTCGTTTAAACTGTATCGAGCGAAATATTTAGTTTAATTGTGAGACTTACGTATAATTCCAGAAAGTGTCCTGTAAGAAAACAAAAAATACTCTCGTTAAAATCCGTAAACATGCTTCTAAAGTCATGCCAAAAGACGTCTTAATTTGACTTTATTTGCTATGTTAAGCGTTGAGTTTGTTCAGATGTGGCTGTTTGGCATCTGATTGTATAATTTAACTCGAACATGACACCGGTATTAGATTCTGCTTGGTACTCTATACAAAGCAACACTGTCAATCGCGGGCTGTCAAAGAGCGCTTGAATACATTAATCCGGCCCGACGGCCAATGTCAAGCCGGGCCCAATTAGTCGGCCGTAATCTGACAGCCGAGGTGGAATGCGACACGATGAATTATTATAAAATATTAGTCATTAGATATCAAGTACTCAACTGCACCACCGTCGTTCCGTGGGCTTTCAATCGTGGATGTGTCTTCAGTTGGCCAGCTGGCACGTCACGCAGTGCTTTGAAGAACTGGACGTAGTTTGGATTGCGCGAGAAAAACCTGTCATCACAACCAACACAACCGTATTTTAACAACGATCATAATTCATATTGAGGCTAGTCACATAAGATTCAAAAACGAGGCGCAATTAGGTAAATTTAAATTTATTTTACTGTTAATAATTGCTATAATTATGGAAGTAACAAAAATCGCTAGTTTTATGTAAGTTCTGATTTTTCAACGATATGTTTGCCAGTTAATACAATTTACACTAGCATTTCCGGCACTTCCGGTAAATGTTGCAGTACAGTTGAAATAACGCACCGTTTGTCAAGTGGTCTCGCAGAAAACGGTCTTTTTTAATCTTATGTTTTGACAGCGCTCGTTTGTTGTGATAAGCGCTTAAACCGGTGTTAAGATAGCAGACGCTAAATTTCACACCGCAGCACAGCGGAATTTGCATTGCAAATAAATCAGGCTGTGGCCGTAATCAGTAAAGCTAATATACCAATTTTAACGATTTGAAGTAAGTACGATTTTTGATAACTAAGAAGTAACTATAATTTTGTGTTTAACTACTATATGTTTATTTACGACATTATAGTTAAGCTAGTTTATACGGGTAAATTAATGGCCGTAAAACACCGAAAACCGGTTTTTCTCTGCAGGATCTTATTTATGAGCGCGTAATTTTCGCTGGTTTACCGTTATATTCGGCAATTAGCAAGGCCATACACAGCAATTAGGCAGCACGTTGACTGCATTAATTTGTCATAAATTCACAATTTATTGCAGTATTCCTTGGGTTCGTTTCGTGCTCTGGGTTATTTACACATTTTTCTGATACATGCACATACAGAGTATGTATTGCAAAATATCCTAAAACTTGCCATTTTTATTTATAATCAAGCCAAAAAAGTTTAACAAAAAATAATACAACGGTAAATCAATTAAAAATTGAAGGTGCAAGTATGCAGACTTACAGGTCAAAGAGCGCCACCCCGACGGTGGGCGTGCCGAGCTTCAGCACTTCCTCCCAGGTTTGCTGCACGGCCAGCGTCTCGCGTTTGGTCAGTTCGGTGATGTTGCTCTTGACATCCAACGCCGGATCCGTGCTGCGCTCCAAATTCGTCACAGCCTCCATAATGGTTATAATATTATTCTTATTAACACCACTCTGCGCCAACACCACACCAGCACGCCAACAAGTGTAGACGACCGCAATCAAGACAGTAGCAACTAACCGCGTGTAATCTCTCACCACCATCGTCTGCTAATCGTCGCTGCTTATCGCCCCGGTGACTGCTTGACTGTGGTTGAGTGTGTACCGCGGTGTTTTATATAACAACAAGTGAGCATGGTTGTATGTGTGCCCGGTACTGTGCTGTCGTGTAATTGCGCTAATAAGCGGCCCTGTCACTCAGGCTGCCTGCCGCACAATAGCGCCGTGTGGGAGCGCTATTGTGGCGCCGTATGGCGGCTTTCCGCGCTGGCGCTGCGGTATAAAGTTGCGCGCGGCTAATGCTATTGTGGCGTAATGAAACAGGTAAATTTAACAAGCACGGCGATACCCGGGACACCATCAGTGTGCAGTGAACTTTGTGTACCGAAGAAATTTCCGGTTGACTTTGCGTGAATTGGGGTAGCCTGGATGGAAGACACCGGGAACATTTTGTTGTGTAACGGTCAATCGGTTCATCCACCTATTGCACTTAACAGTAAAAACTTTATTTATTTGGTAAAGGAAATGATATTGATCGACCGTTAGCATCCGCAGCTCGTAAAATCGTTGGTACACAAAATTAACATAACTGTAATTGTTTGAGGGCATGTGTATTTTTTATACTCTGAAGCAACCGAACAAGTGTCTAATAATTATTTATTTATTAAGTACAATACTTTGCACGGCGGACACAAAAATACGAACAAATTTTTCGCGATAATTTCAAAGAGTTTCAGGTGGTCACGAAAAATATTTTGATGACTAATGTGCTCGTTGATGTGAAGGCAATTTTTCCTTCGGACAGCTGTTATCTCGTTAGTATCGTAAACCCACGTGGTATCAATAATCGAAAGTATACCGCGCTTTAAGTAACTTTCCCACATTTCTTTAGTAATCCAAGTCAGTATAACAAAAATATGGAATCTGAACACACATTTTTATAAAAAAAAAGTACTTTTAGCAACGAATCACGAAACATTTTTTTGTTAACATAAGAAATATTAGTTACGACGCTAGAAGGCGTGCTGACCTTTTCTCCCCACCCGACCGGCTACACAGCTGTATCTTAGGTGCAACGAAAACAGCAGCAAAGAACCCACAGGTCACAAAGTCCGCGTTCCACGTGTTCGACCGGCGCATGGTCACTTTGGGGTACTGTGCTGATGCCTGATAGTGTACCGCTCAAACTGGAGAATGAACGTAATGATCGTTTCGGTCGCCTCTCCGGAATAATGGCTTGGAAAATGATGATGTAAACGGCCTGCGATCCACAGGCCACGGTCAGCAGTAGAACAAAAACGTACTGCACAGTTTCATGAACGTAGCAGGACAACAGCGCCAGCCACAAACACAACCAGATCAATCCCATCAAGCCGGTAGTTATGATTATCCCATGCACTTTCCGCCTGACAGGATCCGCATGCGTGATGGCGCGCTTATAAGGTATTGACAGTTCTTTCTGGCGCTTTTTTGTGGCTACCAACAAAAATGGGTGAAAATAATTGCAACCAAATAGTTATAGTACCGAAAAAGCTGTTTGATAATGCTCAATGACTACGAAAGAAGATTGCTCACTAAAAACGTAGAACACCACGGCCGATACGTTGAGTATCCCTGCAGTAGATAGTGGCGCGATAAAGGTCACCCATGGAATCCACGAGTGATCGCCGTCCAGCCAGCACCTACAGAAACAGGACGCTGTCAACTGCTTTCCCTTTTAATTGGTCGCTTGCTTACCATTTTTCGTGGTTTGCGTAACCGTAACCACCAACGAATAGTGCGAAGTTCTCAGACAAATGCGGCAAGGAGGCCAGAAAAGGAAACACGCAGGGAATAGCTAAATACAGATTCCACTTGTAATTGTAATTACTGCAGAGGTCTACGTTACGCAAAAATTTAACCTGTCGCTATCAACCAGGCCTTGATTCGGAAAATACGGTAACTGCTCCCAGGAATGTATTCCCGGCCATATTCTTCCGGGTAGCGCGTCAGCCGCAGGATACGCACTGTCTGCACTACAGTCCACGCGACACTCATCAGTGCGAACCAGTGTACAAGAATGGCGTTAGCTAAACAGAATTTCTGTCCACACATTTCTGGGATCAAAACCATCATTTGGGAGGAGATGATGAAGAAATACATTCCAAACAGAACAATCCATAGACCGGTCTGCGTGAAGGTCATTTCGTCAAAGATGACTTTTCTTCGCCAAGCTTTCATTCTAAAAAGCGGAGCTGGTCACAACGAAGGGCTCTACGTTAAACCGTAATGGTCACTTACATTATGGTAATCAAAGCAATCAGGCAGCAGACAGCCGAGACAATCGTCGTCCCTAGGGTCACAACAACCAAATCAAAGGTGAACGACTCGTCGTTTGGTGCAAAAGAATTCGACAGACTGCCGCATAAAGTCAATAACAAGGAGAAGGGCGTTAAATGGTCACACGTGCATTCCACAATCGTGCTATCCCACTTCGGGTATTTAGCTGACAATCTGCATCCGTCTTTCTCCCATTTTTTAGACGTATAGTCCAGGAAAATGCATTCGTGATGTCTTTTGGCCCCTGATGGATACTAAGAAACGATATTTATTAGTTCGACGGACGAATGATTACTGAACTTGGATTTACATTAAACAACTGGTCGATATTGTGCCGAATGGTGATAACGTCTTTTCGCTTAAGACTAATCCCTACAGATGCCAAAAGGACTAAAGGGCTTGACCTCTCCCGAACTTCGTTCAACGGAATAGAGCGGGCGAACTTAAATGCCGGCATAGCTGACAATGAGAATGCGAATTTCGCGCTTGTTTCATTGGCCGTTTGTTCTACAATAACGGAAAATTTGTATTTTTCTTAGTGTTGACCTTGAACCATAAGCAATTTACTGAATTTAGCGCACTCAGTTCTTCAAAGGCTTCTCTTAGCACGTCTTCTTTGAACGCAATCGTTGCCACGGAAGTGGCATTCTCGTTATCGTCACCCAAAGTCAATGTTCCTTGACCAAAACCGGTGATATCCATGGTGGTGCGAAACTTCAGATCGTCGAACCGCGAAGAACCGTTGATTTCCACCACATTCACAAAAGCCACGCAAGTAGTATCATTAAACACGTAGGGTTCCTCCGCAGGAGGTAAGCTATTGTACATGTCCTCTAGTGCTTCGTAGATAGCCGCTGCAGCATCCTGACCCCCGTCGCCTACCACTGATGTGGCTAACTTACCAGATTCTTCAGCACTTACAATTTCATCTGTAATCTGGAGGAGAGTTTTTATGGCATCCTTCTGAGCCCCCTCTGGTAGATCAGCAGTTACATTTGTTCCCGCTAATTCCTCAAAAAACTTGGACGTTGCAACGATGTCTTCGAAACTGAGTTTTCTGCTTCCATTACTAACACCGCTTTTGAGGGTATTTAAAACATTGTCAGCCGAATGAACGTAGTACTCGGTTTCATTCGCGTAGCTTTCTTTGTTGGTAACATTTTTTAGTTCAGCGCTGAGTACTGATTGTATTACGCCACTTGCTCCTGTAATTATTCAAACACACCATCAACCAGTAGATGAGGGAGTAGCATGCACAACTGCGTAATACCATCCAAGAAAGGGCCGGGTGAGGTGGCTGGATCTTCGGTAACGGTGGTGGGTGTTGTGGTGGGAACAGGAGTAAATGTTGTGGCATCCTCGGTAATGGTGCTGGATGTTGTGGTGAGGTCAGGAGTAGTTGTCGTGGTATCCTCGGTAATGATGCTGGATGATGTGGTGAGGTCAGGAGTAGTTGTCGTGGTATCCTCGGTAATGATGCTGGATGATGTGGTGAGGTCAGGAGTAGTTGTCGTGGTATCCTCGGTAATGGTGCTGGATGATGTGGTGAGGTCAGGAGTAGTTGTCGTGGTATCCTCGGTAATGGTGCTGGATGATGTGATGGGACCAATGGTAATGGACGTTGGTGGAATAGTAGATGCAGGAATTTCTTCTGTTGCGTTGTCAACAACGGCAGCGGTGGAAGTTACGATAAAAATTTCCGATTCATCGAATGGGCAAGCAGCCGGAACTACGGATAACAGCATTTTATTTTTGGGATACCAGATTCCGTGCATTTTGTTTCTTCATATGGTTTACTGTGGCATAATTTAACGTTTAGTTCAGAAATTGGTTTTTTACAAGGCTCGTATTTATTAAGGCCTACCTGCAGCCTCTGTGACTATATTGTCGAGATCGATGGATGTGCGGTTGCAGGTATCGCCATGATGCGCTTGGAATGTCAGTGCAAATTGAGAATCAGTAGCGTATTCCGCGACCACATAGATCCATAGGTTTGAACCAAGAAACCCCGCGTAATCTCTCTTGCTACCCCAAATCTGCCATTTTGGGATGAAATCGGGAGAGTCATCGCGATAATGGTGAACTAATAACTCCAGAAAATAATCTTTGTCAGGACGCCCAATGAGAATCGGCGCAGCTGACATTCGGTACCAGAATGAGGTTTGGAATTTCATACAGTCGTTTGGAGGAAAGATCTGCGATCGCAGAATAGCAGATTTCCTTTCTGGATACGCGGATAGCGGATCGTCTTTGACATAGCATTTTGACTGAGCAAACTGGAAATCAGAATCTTGATCCCGTCCTACAACTTCCGTGCTTGGAAGAATTCGAAACTGATACGGATATAACGAATGCGTAAAAGACCAGCTTGAGCATGTATTTGGGAATACCGTTACATTGCCATGCATAATTTTGTCAAATTCGCAGGTCAGCTGACCTATGGGAGATTGAGGAGGATATATATAACATTCTTCGTGGTAAATACACATGCGAGTTTGGTTTTTTGCGGAACCCGGGTTTATCGATGCGTAAGTCACGTTGGAACTTTCTAGAAAGTTACACGATTTATAAAAAAACGAACGATGAGAAGCATAGCTTATCAAAATGATTTTAGAAATTTAAAAAAATGGTTTGAATTTGAAAGTAATTAAATCTGAATCGCTTAAACAAATGGCCACAGGGCGTTTCTTAAGGTTAATTGGTAGACGGTTACAACTTACCACTCTCTGCACAACTTAACATTAAATGTGAAGTGGTCATTCTTGGTACAGTGCCTTTTGATTCACTTTTTTTTCTGTCAGTCACCTTTACCTACAGTTAAATTCATTCATTGCGCTTACCATCTGGCATCTGGCGTATCATCCTTTATTATTCCATAGTATAGTTTTAAATTTTATTCGTATATATTTTCGCATACGTCAGATTCCGTGGAATCGTGAACCAGCTGAGCTGTATGTGATACGACAGAATCAGTCAGCACATGCAACAGCTGGAAAACCGTTTTTCTGTTTGGCAGTACATATAAAAATATAATATCGATACAGCAGCACAATTTAAGAAACCAACTACTCGTAGACATTGGAGTCCCGCAATCGAGTTGTATGCTCTTGCTTCATAAATGAATCAGTAACTCAGAGAACATATTATAACTCAGGAAAAGAGGTGTACAGTCTAGAATGCCCTTCAGTTTAGAATAATGTTCAATAAACGGAAAGGTTCAAAAACTAATGACTGGCAAGTACTGTACCCGCGCGAGTTTACGGGACAGAAAATTCCCCCAGACCGCCCGCGCTAGGCGTCGGTTTCCCTGATGTCAAAGCTGCCGACATCTAGTGCGGGCGCTCCGGGGGAATTTTCTGTCCCTTAAACTCGCGCGGGTACAGTAACAAACTGAATTTTTAACAAAGTAGAGATACCACCTATGGCCTAGAGCGTCCGTCTATGAGAAAGCTGGCTGATGGCGCTAAACTTCCTGTTTGCAGTCTTGTACACATATATCCTTTTCGTTTTATGCAGCTGGGTTACACGAGAAAGTTTTTTTTTCTGCATTTTAGCTTATTAAACTTTAAAGTACTTGACTTGTATACTTTGCTTTATTAATACTTCATTTATCTTTAATACTTCATTAATACTTCATTAATTCTTCATACTTAATTCTTAATACTTCACTTAATACTTCATTAATTTAAATACTTCATGATTACGCCGGGATCTGACACATCCGTGCCACCCATTTGCGTTATCCCTTTCTGTCATGACTGAGCCTGACGTTTGCTTAAAAAAAAAGTGATGAAAACCTTAACAAGAAATGTATAACTGTATATCAATTCCAAATGTTATTGTCATCTAATTGGTTGTCATCTTACCAGTGATAATAAAGGAAAAAAGTAGGGTAGTCAATACTGCTGCGTCGTTGGCACGCCTTCCTGACATAATGAAATGTCAAATGAATGTAAAAAAACATAGAAACCTAAAGCCTTGACCTGTGTGGACTGCCGAAAAATTTTTACCTAACCAGTCTAAAGAAACATGCACAGAGCACTCACTGACTGGCACGGAAAATTAACAGGTTCCGACTAACACAAAAGTTTTATTGGTCTTCGTCCGTTATTTGCTACGCTGAGGCTGATAAGCGCATACTTTTGATTGCCGACCCATTTGTATTCAATGGTGCCGATAAGAGAGAGAGAGGTGCTATAAGTGGGTCACCAGTGACGAGTTTTAATTGGTGGACGAGTGTTGTGGGAACTGGGAGGCCGCTTTTGCGTAAGTCACTTTGACATCAACTAGAACTAGAAGTATGCATGTATCAGCGGGCGCAACGGCACACCAACCGACAAAGCAATAACGACAAAAATAAATCTATTTCATGCATTAATTACCCGATCACTGGGATCGCTCCGAAACAGACTGGAAGTCAGCACCAAAATAGGATGATTTATCGACTTCGTAACCGCTAAAGACCAGTGAAAGCCGATGCGCGTTGCGGCTGGCCGTGAGCAGTTCAATCATTTTGCCCGATGAATACGTACTCATATAAAAACGTTTTGAACAACGGTTAACACGAGCGTTGGTAGCGTGCACGGGTGACCTTCTCGAGTCCGCACGCGTTTTGGCTGCGTGCACGGATTCTTACATTTACATTTGAGTATTCAATGAAAATTTTTTGATTTTACTTTCTACAGTGTAACAGTAATAATGTCTGCAGAGTGGTAATTTCCTGTAAGATAATTTTATAGCCTTTTCATACTTTATTCAACCTTTTTCGGCGTTTTTGAGTCGTATTTTGTGGTATGCCGGATCCTAAAATCGACGTATATAGTCAGAAAAATTAATGTCTATGTGTTCAGGCTTCTGTCATCACTAGGAGGGAATGGTATGATGTTATGTGCCTCGAATCCAGCCTTCAGATGACCTCCCATCATCTTCGGTTCGAATGTTGCCGTTTCCCGGATCAAGCCCGTAAAGGTGTAAAACCAATGTGGTGACCGTTGGTATAGGAGAATAGAGCCACCGTATCCAACGCCCCTGCTTTTGGCACCGTTTCCTGACCACATTTAGCCCGTTTGTACTGACCTAACTTCATTTGATAATCATTAGGCGCTGTGTTTCCGCCGCAACACCCCAACCCAAAACTCGGCATGAAAAAAATTTAAAAAAAAACATTTTAAGGGTTTAATAAGGATAGAATTTCCCCGTACTCCCAACCAAAACCCGTTCCCAGATTACGATTTACCACATTAATTACGATTTACGATTAACAGCAAGAATAGCGGACCAATAATTTTCTTTGCTTTAACATAGATTGTATTTTACCATGCGGTGTGAAAAAAAATGAAGTTGCTTTTTAAGCGTCAGAGAATTCTTTTAATTCAATAACTTCATCAAGAAATCAGAACAGAGAACGCGTTAATCGTTAAACAGCCTTCCCGACTTCCAGTATCTCATTGGTAACAAAAACAAAACGAAGAAGGATCTCTATAAAGATGCGTATTCTTAACAATTCGAATGATTAATTTTTGGTGCAAACCGGATGGAGAAGCCAGAATCGTCTTTTTTCCGTTTAACGTACATAAATAACTGAATTGTAGTCACAATTCTGGCGCTATAGTGCTGGGGTAGATCTGATGACCTTTTACTGGTGTCGTGCAGCTGCGCTGATATAGTGCCGCTCAGACTCGAGAAAGAGCGCACTGAACGTTTCTTTCGCTTTTCCGGAATAATTGCTTGGAAGATAATGATATAAACGGCCTGCGATCCGCAGGCCACCGTCAGCAGTAGAACAAAGACATACTGAAGAATTTCATCGACGTAGCAGGATAAAAGCGCCAACCACAAGCCCAACCAGATCAATCCCATTAGTCCCGTGGTTATGATGATCCCATGGACTTTTTGTTTAACAGTATCCGGTTGCGCGGCGGCGCGTGTATATGGGATTGACAGTTTTTTCTGACGCTTCTTGGAGGCTATAACAATGAAAATGAATGAATCAAAACGTATAAAATTTCAGAAAGCTGTTTGATGGTCCTGAAAGTACGTAGAACTGCCACTCACTAAAAGCGTAAAATAATACAGCGGATATGTTTAGTACCCCTGCGATAGATAGGGGTGTAATAAAGGTCACCCATGGAATCCACGAATGATCGCCGTCTAACCAGCACCTACACAGAAAATGACTGTTGGCTGTTTTCCGTTGCAGTTTACTGTTTGCTTACCATTTCTCATGATTTCCGTAACCATAACCACCAACGATTGTTGCGAGAGTATCAGAAAAATGCGGCATGGAAGCGAGAAATGGAAACAGACAGGGAAGAACTAAAAAACAATCCCTTAGGAGTCCTGTAATCAATGCAAACTTATGCGAAAAAATTACCTGTGGCTGCCAGCCAAGCTCGGATCCGGAAGCCGCCATACGTGTCACCAGGAATGGGCTCCCGCCTGCCGTATTCTTCAGGGTAGCGTGTTAGCTGCACGATTCGTACTGTCTGCACCACTGTCCACGCCACACTCATAAGCGCAAACCAGTGTACAAGAATGGCGTTGGCCAAACAGAACCGCTGTCCACACATTTCTGGGATCAGGACCATCATCTGGGAGGATATGATGAAGAAGTACATGCCGAACAATACGACCCATAAACCGGTCTGCGTGAAGGTCATCTCGTCAAAGATGACCTTCCTTCGCCAAGCTTTCACTCTAAGAACAAACCTGATGTACAACAGGAAATGCATGCTGTAAATTGCCAAGACCACGTACATTATGATAGCCACAGCTGTCACGCAGCACACGGCGGAGACGATGGTTGTCGCTATGGTCACGATGGCCAAGTCTGGAGTGAAGGATTCATCGGTGGGAGCGAAAGAAGTCGACAAACTGCCACACAACGTCAATAGCAGCGAGAATGGCGTCAGATGATCACAGGTGCATTCCACAATCGTGCTATCCCATTTTGGATATTTAGCTGACATTCTGCACCCATCCTTTTCTGCACCCAAGTTTTGGACGTGTAGTCCAGGAAAATGCATTCATGGTTCCTTCTGGCTCCTGATGGATACTAAAAACGTAACTGGTTAGATTGGCCGATCAGTGAGTGAGTGGCTTATGACTTTACATTAAACAACTGGTCGACGTTGTGCCGGATGGTGATGATGTCTTTTCGCTTCAAGCTATGCCCTACAGACGCCAATAGAACCAATGGACCTGACTTTTCCCGTACTTCGTTCACTGGAATAGATCGGGCGAACTTAAACGCTGGCATCGCAGACAAGGAGAATGCGAATTTCACGCCTGTTTCGTTGGCCGTTCGTTCTACAGTAAATTTAAAAAATTATAATATAGCACTTACAGTGAAAACAACCCCAAGCTTACTGAGTTCCTCGAAAGCTTCCCGCAGCACGCCATCCTTGAAAGCGATAGTCGCTGCCGGTTCAGAGCTCTTGTTCGAGGTGTCCAAAGTCAGTTCTCCACGATCATAACTGGAAATTTCCATGGTGGTTCGAATATTTAGATCGTCGAATTGTGAAGATGCATTAATCAGAACGACATTGGCATATGTCACAGAAGACGTACGAGGACATTTGGGTGCTGTGAACATACCCTGCACGATTAGGCTGCGATGAACAGCTGGCTAGCCGTAGCTCGGTCTGAATGCAAACGGCTATAAATTTAGCCGGCTGTTCATCGCAGCCTAATCGTGCAGGGTATGTTCACAGCACCCAAATGTCCTCGTATCATTAAACACATATGGCTCTTCGGCAGGCGGCAGATTATTGTACATGTTTTCCAGCGCCTCATAAATCCCAGCTGCGGCGTCTTGTCCATCGCTTCTTGCAACTGGCGCGGCTACTTTACCAGATTCTTGGGCAGAAATGATTTGATCCGTAATCTGAAGCAGTGTGTTTATGGCTTCCTGCTGAGCGCCCTCCGGTAAATCGGTAGGAATTTCGGTTCCGGCGAAATCTCGAAAGTACTTTGATGTTGTTATAATAGCGTCAAAGTTAAAATCTGTGCTTTTATTGGTAACACCACTCGCAAATGCATTTAAAACATTGCCTGTCGAGTGAATATAATAAGCGGTATTGTCTGGGTAGGAAGCCAAGCTAGAAGCATTCTCAAGCTCTGCAGCCAGAGGCGATATGGTAGTGGCAATGGTCCCTGTGAACAATAAGTGCTTGTTCTTACTTATATATTCTGCTGATACTAATGGTAGGTACAAGAAAGAGAGCGGCAACCCCACTGCGCACGCAAGGACACTCTAATATGAAAACATGTGTCCAGTTCATATATCGTTTTTCTAGAAATATCAGCCAAATGTTGTCACCTTGAGCCACGTTAACCAATGTCGCGTAGTAAACTGAAACGGTAGGATGCTCGGTTGTTGTAGAAGGTGTGCTTTTATTGGTAGTTTCCGTTTCAGTGTGATTGTACGTGCTGTTTGACCAAAACTGCTCTGTTACAAGGGAAGACTGCTCAAATGTTGTAGTAGATGTTGTACCGGTGCAGGTATCAGTTTCAATATCATAGTACGTGGTGTTGGGCCAAGACTCATCAATGACAATAGGCGGCTGTTCGGATGTCGTAGTAGATGTTGTACCGGTGGAGGTATCAGCTTCAATATCATAGTACGTGGTGTTGGGCCACGACTCCTCAGTAACAATAGACGGCTGTTCGGATGTCGTAGTAGATGTTGTACCGGTGGAGGTATCAGTTTCAATATCATAGTACGTGGTGTTGGACCAAGACTCCTCAGTACCACTGGACGGCTGTTCGGACGTTGTAGTAGATTTTATACCGGTGGAGGTATCAGTTTTAATATCATAGTACGTGGTGTTGGGCCAAGACTCATCAATGACAATAGACGGCTGTTCGGATGTCGTAGTAGATGTTGTACCGGTGGAGGTATCAGTTTCAATATCATAGTACGTGGTTTTGGACCAAGACTCCTCAGTACCACTGGACGGCTGTTCGGACGTTGTAGTAGATTTTATACCGGTGGAGGTATCAGTTTTAATATCATAGTACGTGGTGTTGGGCCAAGACTCATCAATGACAATAGACGGCTGTTCGGATGTCGTAGTAGATGTTGTACCGGTGGAGGTATCAGTTTCAATATCATAGTACGTGGTGTTGGGCCAAGACTCCTCAATGACAATAGACGGCTGTTCGGATGTCGTAGTAGATGTTGTACCGGTGGAGGTATCAGTTTCAATATCATAGTACGTGGTGTTGGGCCAAGACTCATCAATGACAATAGACGGCTGTTCGGATGTCGTAGTAGATGTTGTACCGGTGGAGGTATCAGTTTCAATATCATAGTACGTGGTGTTGGGCCAAGACTCCTCAATGACAATAGACGGCTGTTCGGATGTCGTAGTAGATGTTGTACCGGTGCAGGTATCAGTTTCAATATCATAGTACGTGGTGTTGGGCCAAGACTCCTCAGTGACAATAGGCGGCTGTTCGGATGTCGTAGTAGATGTTGTACCGGTGGAGGTATCAGCTTCAATATCATAGTACGTGGTGTTAGGCCACGACTCCTCACTGAGTCCTCAGTAACTATAGACGGCTGTTCGGATGTCGTAGTAGATGTTGTACCGGTGGAGGTATCAGTTTCAATATCATAGTACGTGGTGTTGGACCAAGACTCCTCAGTACCATTGGACGGCTGTTCGGACGTTGTAGTAGATTTTGTACCGGTGGAGGTATCAGTTTTAATATCATAGTACGTGGTGTTGGGCCAAGACTCATCAATGACAATAGACGGCTGTTCGGATGTCGTAGTAGATGTTGTACCGGTGGAGGTATCAGTTTCAATATCATAGTACGTGGTGTTGGACCAAGACTCCTCAGTACCATTGGACGGCTGTTCGGACGTTGTAGTAGATTTTGTACCGGTGGAGGTATCAGTTTTAATATCATAGTACGTGGTGTTGGGCCAAGACTCATCAATGACAATAGACGGCTGTTCGGATGTCGTAGTAGATGTTGTACCGGTGGAGGTATCAGTTTCAATATCATAGTACATGGTGTTGGACCAAGACTCCTCAGTACCATTGGACGGCTGTTCGGACGTTGTAGTAGATTTTGTACCGGTGGAGGTATCAGTTTTAATATCATAGTACGTGGTGTTGGGCCAAGACTCCTCAATGACAATAGACGGCTTTTCGGATGTCGTAGTAGATGTTGTACCGGTGGAGGTATCAGTTTCAATATCATAGTACGTGGTGTTGGGCCAAGACTTCTCAGTGACATTAGACGGCTGTTCGGATGTTGTAGTAGATGTTGCATTGGTGTATTCAGTTTTTGAATGGTTGTTTGTGTCGGTGAACGAAGTGCGTTCGGTTGTGGTAACAGGCGCTTGGGTTGTTGTGGATGACATACGTTCTGTGATGGGCAGGGTTTCGGTGCGGTCGTTTGTAGCGGTGAATATGGGTTGTTCGGATGCTGGTTCGAATGAAGGTATTTCTGATGCCCCACGCGTGCAGTTTGACGTTGCTGAAAGTATAGTAGGTGGTTATCTGGATACAGCTGTTGTAAGTTACACAACAGTAACACAAGCAATTTTCGCTCTCTAGATTGGTTTGCAAACCGATGTTAAATTCTGAAATTAGGAGGTGAGTTGCACGTTTCGGATGTCTTTTCAAAATTTTTATGGCTGCACTGCACAGCTCCTGTGTTTTTACTTTCGATCCTACCGGTGTTAGTTTTGCCGTAATGCTAATGGTTGTCGCTTCCTGCTGCTTAAACCTTGTCTTCTAAAGATGTACGGAACCAGGAGGAAAATCTCAAACCTTCAAAAATCGCTATTTTATTCACCGTTAAACGCCTTTTAAATATCAGAATATATATTTTAAAACACGCTCAGCGGCGAAGCTTCATTGGCTTGTTCTGTGACTTAACTGGTCTTTACTGACTAGATGCTACAATGTTGAAATACAGTACCGGAACACAAATAGAATAATAAGTAATCCTGGGGACCGAATTGTAAACAGTTAGTTAATTTGCAGTGAACCTTTCTCTGCAGCGGTGAAGGAACCATTCGTGATACACAAGTAACAGTAACAGTTGATTGTTTCATGAGTTCCGGGTGGTTCGCTAGAGCAAGTCTGGTAATGCCAGCTAGTATAATATTGTTTATTAGGGGAATATTGAAGGTAATAGAGTATACCTGCTGTTTTTGTGTCGATGCCATCCAAATCGATGGATGTGGTGTTGCAAGTGTCGCCGTGATGCGCGTAGAAATTGAGAGTAAACTGGTCATCCGCAGCGTATTCCGTTTGGACCCGTGTCCACACATTCGGACCTGGAAAGGCGGCGTAATCGCTGGTGCTGCCCCAGATCTGCCAGTCAGGAATGAAACCAGGTGCGTTATCCGCGGAATGGTGCACTACCAACTCCAAAAAGTAGTCTTTATTGCGGTCACCCGTGAGGATCGGCGCAGCGGACATCCGGTACCAGAACGAGGTCTGCAGTTTCACGCAACCGTTTGGTCGAAAGGCATCGGTTCTTATGGTGGCCGATTTCCTGTTCGGGTAAAAGGAATCGGGTGCAGCTTTGATGTAACATTTGGACTGCGCATACTGAGAATAAATCTTTCCATCGGATTCAGCACCTGTTTCGACTGGAATAATGATCTGGAACCGGAATGGATACAGTGAGAAGGCTCGCAGCCAACCGGGACAGGGATCCAGAATTGCGTTAGGGCTAGTCTGCTGGAAGCTGTCTAAATCACAGCTCAGTATGTCGTAGTCGGGCTTCCATTCGTAACATGTTTCGAGGTAATCACAGGTAGGTCTTAGAGGTCTTTTAACAGCCGGTTGTGTCGAAGCGCCGTTGTTGTCGAATGCTTCTACAGTTTGGAACAATTTTGTCACTGCCATACTAGTGCGCTACAGGTAAGTTTCTTTGTGGCTGAAATCACCTGATCTTTTCAAGCATTCAGCTAATCGAAAAATTTTGAAAGTCACACGTAAAGTCAAGTAAAGGGAACAGTAAAGTTAAATAGGTGTCGGTATTGAGCAGGCCGTTTTAAAGGCGAAAAGGTTTAGTGTTGTTAAAACATGTTGTTTCCGACGAAGGAAGAATACCGTATGCAGATCTACCGTTAATTATAACGCTTAACTTACCAGTAACAAAGATTGAAAGTAGCAGAAGCTGCAGAGCCAATAGTTTCATTCTGTAAATGAAGCTGATTAACATCGAGCAATCATAAAGCTAGAAAAGCACGGAAAAACGCGGCAAGCTTATTCGCATATTATGACGATTGCGATAAACTCTAAAAGTGAAGTCGTAGACCCGTTGGTGATTATCACAAACGCTCCGTGTTTAACAAATCCAGAGGAAAGTCATGTGTAAAATTTAGTGCTAGACATGGGCAAATTAAGATTTAACAAATCTCTGTCCTTTGTACAGAATAGCACGTTGGCACAGCAGAAGTGCATATTTGCGATTCACGACCCACTTGACTTACCCGTGCCGATAAGACATGCAGACAAAACAATACCGCTTGGATGACCTACTTTAATTAAATTTGCACAGATTATACTTACAGAAAGTGTCAGTTGATTTCTTGGACTGCGTATCCATCGGTTCGTTGCACTTATTTGCCTTAGTGCTTTCTCAAGCAGCAATCGTGATTCATGGCACAAGTGTCTTCGTTAGTTAAACCAAAATTATTGTCGTAATAATAATGCTGGTACACAGAGTTTTTGTGAACCGGAAGTTGATTAAATTTTAATAATGTCATGCCGCAGGACGACTGAATCATTGTTGAGTCGATAGTATTAGCATACAAATCTTGCTTTAAAGGATTAAAGACAGAGAACAGATCATCCTTCACTCTTGTAAATTAAATAAATTGTGCCTCTCGAACATTGCGCACCACGTTTTAACCATCACCATTTATATAAGCAGCAATCATTCCTACTCAATTGCTATTTTTCAACCCTGAAAACACCTTATGCACCAAGAACACCGGGAAATCCTCGTGATCAACATGCGGATTCCTCCTTAAGAAACTAGCCAAGCGCTTCCGGTACGTCTCCGACTGCAACGGCCTATCAAAATCCGCAGGGATCAAGCTGACCTTTTTCGTGGGCGTGTCCTCCGAGGTTTCCACCGGGACTTTGAGAATAATTGGATCCCCGCGCGAGAGATCTTTCGCCCCAAGGGTGGCGCGGCGCCGCTTAGTCACCCGCGTGACGACTGTCTGAGTGTGGACGACGGTTTTGCGGAGGACCGGCCCGGACGGAGCCGTGTTCAGTCGTTTACGAAAAGCTGCAGAGAAGACGTCAGATTCCTCGGGTGCGGAAGCTGCCGCAACGAGCGGATGTTTTAGAAGATCCTCTATGGCTGCCGTGGTATCGGTATCGCTTCCCTTATGGTCCCAAAACGAAGTAGGTGTGGCTTTTTCACTCTTCTTTGCGCTGGTCTCAAGGGATATTTGGTCTTCCGTTACGGCACTGCGCACGTCGAAGTGCTCTACGGATGTATGCTGTTGCTTGATGTTTTCGCAAAAAATCTCTTGAATTGTGACAACGTTCTTAATTTCTTTGCCGTTCTTTGCGTCTTCCGCGCTTTCCCAAGCCGTAGTGCTTAATCGTTGCAAGTCTTTGCCGAGATTCTGCAGACCAACAAGGAGCGATGAAATTTCATGCCGGAGCACTGCATCCGGAACGTCCTCCATAGAACGTGATCTTCGGAATGTCGGTCTTCGTATATCACGTTCTTCGGGATAATCCAAGCGCTGACGTTCCGAAGGCCCGTCAGATCGGAAGAATGGCCGGTCGGTTTTCTGATGGTGCACAACCATCACTATCGGCTGGGATCTCTCCACAGTGAAGTTATATCGCCGTGGTTGTCGTAGAGACGGATGTCGGGAAGGACGTCGCTCCTCAAAAGGCTCTTGGAAGTGGAAATTCAGCTCATCCATTTCCCTGCGAAGTGGAAGTTCTCGGTCTCGTATGCGCGATGCTGTTTTCTCATAGTCAAATTCCGGTGGTGAATGTTCTCTACTGGTTAGCTCCATCCGTGCGTGTGAAAACTCACGTGCAGAAATCATAACGGGATAAATCCGTCTCGAAGGGTTGTCCTCCACGATAAATTCTTCCCTGATAGGTTCGGTATACGGTATTCTTGGGTGAGACGGAATGTACGCAGGCAGAAAACGAGGATAACTGCGTTCCAGAATAAAACGCTGACTTTCAATAAAATGCATTTCCGGTATGTTATAAGGTTCATTGGGCTGCTGATCAAATGTACGCTTTGGACATGACAGCATAAAACGCCGATCGTCTCGCGGCTCCATAGCCATGGGATTAAATCCCTGTCGCTCAAATATTCGTTCTTGTTGTGGCGAAGGATAATTATGGAAATCGCTAAAGTTAATTTCCATGATAATGTACGTTATAATCGCAAAGTACACCAACAAAACACTATAATTTTGCTGAGATACATCCGATATAAGAGGGAAGGATTTCCCCGATTTCCACAGTATCGTCAGACGATTTCTACACACGTTTGCAGAAAAAACGGCGAGACATGCCTCAAGTCAAATGCTGTCAGAATCAGACGCTACTTTCTAATCGAAAACACAACGCACACAAAGTAACACGTTCTAGAAAGCGAAAATACATCGCTCAATTCGACGGCTAAGCCGCAATTCAAAGCACTCGATGCGTTGCTCGTGCTGCAAATATCAAGTATCGAAGAAACACAGTAATATCCAGTCATAACCACGTGTAAAAGGTACTTCAACAACACCTGTATTTCGAGCTCATATTACGTTTCTGTGCAAATCGATCGTTATGCATTGCAACTGTCAATTGTACCTGCCGTAGTTAGAGTGTTCGTGCCGGCTGTCTGCTGTGTCATAACCCAAATGGATTTTACATGTTGCTCTGTATTTTCATGTACAGTACCACGTTATGCCATATCTTGGAGTATTGATCGACGGAACTTTCCTATCTTGTTGATTGTACATGTTTGTTTACCGTGAATCGGCCTAACGATCTTTTCGTGCCGCGTATGCGCTTTTGCTATGCACGGACCGGTTCGGCACAATCTCGTACGGAAACCGTTAAGTGCATTAAGTGCCGATTTAGCGTTTTGCTTACTTAATGCATTTAACGACTATACATAGAAACAGTACGTGTACTTATTTTTGTTTGGTGTACTTAAAAATAAACTATGACATTACTTTTATCCCGGAATAATTATTTGTAATTCCACAAGTACAAATGCAAGATTGGTTCAAGAACAAGACAGAAATATTAAAATTACACATCAGCACCAGTATAAAAGCAGTTTGATTTTGGGTTGCTGCAAAACAGCTGTTTTCATAAAACTTTCTGTATAGAAACAGTAAAAATGTGTACTAATTAAAATAAAGGAATGCTTATACACTTGCGCTATGATACACTATACACTTAAGCGATATACGTTATATTAATATTATGTACGTTGTAACAGTGTATATTTACGTTATACGCGAAACACATTATTCACATTCATACATGCATGGTAAATTCATTTTAACTTAATTCATCGCATAATTCTGCGTATGTATGTAACTTGCAAGTATTTTATTGGAAAAAAACGAACATGTACACAAATGTAGATGTACATGCATGCACATGTAATTCAAGATCATTCTATGTCGCAGATATGCCAAGTGCACTTCCGGTTGTGAAATTCAATACGCGTGTGTACATACAGCTTAACGTGTATTTCATACCGGTGATAAAACAATTTTTGCTGAATATCCCTGACTTTCCCGCCAATAGTCGGCAGTAATACCGGATCTGAACACTGGGATAATCTCTCCGATCAACTCCCATGCGTTACGCATTCGCTGCCAAGACTGTGCTAGACGATGCTTACCATGTAAAACGTATAAATATCCCACAAAAACGGACATCAATACAGTATATACAGAAATCTTAAAGACAGTTTGCTTTCGTTTTATAAGGATATATTTTATATCTCAACAAAAATTTATTGGACAGGATAGGAAAAATGTTGTCTCTTCGGGTTTTATCGGTTATCGGTGTGTAAGTGAATAAAGTTAATTACTGCAGAGTTTTACTTATTATTAGATTGCTAGTAAACTTATTCATAAAAACCAAATTATTTCCCTTCGTTGGTTGCTTTAAATTACTTGAGATAACTTGTAAATGCTTGTATACTAGAACTAACAATGATAATGATAAATCTTTATCTGTACAGTATATGAATTAATACTGGGCCGCTATAATTTCAGGTTGTTATTATGCGGTGAGATGGATGCACAAATCACCGTAACGATGCGACCTCCACCGCGTCCTATTACTCCCATGAACGCTGGGGGATTAGGAGCCACACGTACTGGTGATGCTAATGCCCAGGCCATTGCCGATAAAGTAAGCCAGCAACTATATTAGTTTTGCACTGTACATGACGTATTTATTGCACTGTACGATGTACAGAATAATGCCTTTGCGGTGCAAAACATTGTTGGTATTTTAACCAGGAAAGTTACCCGTACTGTTTGACGTATATGAAGCTATGTGCACGTGGACTTGTAGGTAAAAGGTCAACTGCAGCGGGTTTTGGGTAAGACCTTCACGACGTACAAGGTGAATTCGTACCGCGTACAAGTGGTGGCCGGGACGAATTACTACATGAAAGTGTACTTGGAAGACACACAGAACCAGAAGTACGTGGCGCATCTGCGGATATTTGAGTCGCTGGACGGCAAGGTCCGCCTCAGTGGCGGCATGTTCCCGACGAACTGGAATGATCCCATCGATTTCAGCGGATACACCAGTATTCAAAATTAAACTACCACAAGTTTAGAGTGTCATCCAGGACTTATATCAGACAAAAGTATGCAACTGGTTTCTACGTGCTCATTATTATACTGTTGACGATGAATGGTAACGGTTTATCTTTTACCGTACATATGCAGCGTTTTCTTAAAGATGCCGTTTGTTTTTATTACAAATTGGTTCTTCCTTATCTGAGCATATGCATTCTTTCGAAATGTAAATGCCGTGTGCAATATTTCTGTGTGCAACATTTCAGCGTCATGATCGTCATTGAATTTTATTCTTTAATCGGCAACGGCCACTTCTTAGAATAAAAAGCCAGCGCTGGTACACACTAATTGAAATGATAAATTGTGAGAATTCGGAGATTTTAAACTGACTCAAATATTCAAGTGCATTCAGTCATTGCATTAAAAGCGAAAATTATAAATAGCGTTAGACGTCTCAGTAATCTATCCTAAATCACCATAAATCTGCTTACCCAAGCATACTCTCTTCTCCATATTGTGAAAGATTACACAACACGCCTTAATATTGTCTTTGCTTCCGCGCCGGAAGCACACCGTACAGTTCGTATGACTGCTCCGACGGATGAAAAGACGAAGTGCTGCGCAGAGATCCTGCGTAGCCGCTAGATCGCCGTTGCAGCTCATCCATGTCCAGATCGTAATCCGGCATACTGCTGGTCTGCAATGAGGTACATATGCTGCTACTGGCTTGTTCAATAGAGGTTTTATTAGTCCCAGTTACCGTGCTGCGAATGGACGGTGTCCGCACCGCACCCGATAGGTATTCCCGCCTGGAGTGGGCCCCACCGTAATCACCATCGATGGACGCGTAGATAGCGTCGTGTCGCTGCTGGCGCGACTGATTGGTACGGGCTTGATACACTGGCGGCTCTGGTAAAGGTCGTCGCTTTCTAATCGGCAAAACATTTATACATATACAAGTACAAGCTTGTACAAGTTTCTATCGTATTAACACAGCAAAATAAGTACAAATTTACGGTTTTCACCGAACTCCCTAATATGGCGCGTCACGCTATACAGTATTTGCGCTCGAATTGCATTTGACACAGCTGACGCAAATATTGATCTAAATTATAAACTATCGATATAAGTTGTCAATAATAACTTTTCTCTTCTTAATTACCTAAATATTGAAAAAAGGAAATTTGTCATTGCACGTAATATAGTGACAATCGTTCATAGCGCAACTTTCGCGCTAAATATTTTTACGATAGGAACAACGGGACAAGGTTTTTTGCGGCATTTTTAACGAATACTCTCATGAAATGCGTATTGCAAGCGTACAGTATAATTATATCCTGAAGTATATAATTTTTGCTATTTGATAAAATTAATGTTTGCTTCGGAAAATAGGGATTAAGAACCATGCAGACGTACTTTGCATTGATATATCTCTTTCGGGCAAACAGTCCAGCAAATATGATGATGGCCGCGCCAACGACACCCGAAATAGCGTACAATGCGATGTACAAAGCTGTAACAAGTCTGTATCATTAAGCGATGACAGATGACAGATTTACGGTTTACCGTCTGTGTCTCCTTGCGGAGTACTCGTGGGTGCCACGATCTGAAGTTGAATGCACGTTTTCCTGTTAGCATCAAATTCGTACCCAGGATTACAGAGGCACGCCGCCTTTCCGGTGCTGTTGTCGAAATTACAACGATGGGCTGATCCACATGCCGAATTCCCTTCCACTGCCACGCAGCGATTGAAGTAGCCGGAAACGGGCGATTGGATAACCATCAAGCTAGATCCGTCAATGACGAATGCAGGCACAGCTTCCAGGATCGTCGCTTTTATTACCGCCTCGCGACCTGCTTCATAACCACCCACGGTGATCAAGATGTCGGTGATTATGGAACCGTTGCGGAACGACCGGACCTTAACGAGGAGGTACGCGATATCCGTTCCGAGTGTCAAATCTTTGGTTATTTCGTCTCGCAACTGGAATAAACATGCATATTTGACACACTAAACTATTGCGTTACAGTGGGTCGTTGAATGCGTACGGTTTCCTCAATCTCCGATGACCACTTTAAGTACATTGCAGAACTGTTGTCGGAAAGGTCACTCTGGAAATCGCCAGAAAACTGGTACGTTGTCTCCAGTGACAACGGTGCTAAAAAATCATTGCACCTAAAGTTCAGCCGGTAAAACATTTAGCAATAGAAGTCGTACCGTCCAGACAACCAGAAGTTGCATTCGGAGAGAACATTGTGGCCGGGCAACGACATATCGCTCGCGGATGGTCCTGCACGAAACCCTGCCGGCACCGACATTCATAAGAAGCTGCATTTGCCGTACATTCACCGAAGCCGCAGTTTACTCCGTTACAGACGTTCGGTGGCTGCGGCGACGCGGATGTAGGCGAACTGGAGGTGGTGCCGTTGGCTGTCGGGATGGGAGACGATCCTGGTGTCGGCGTGGTTCCGGTAACGTTCGATGTCGGCTCTGTATCGACGCTTGGAGAAGAATCCGTGGAATTCGAGAATCCCGTGGGCGCCGATGTTGTATTCGTAACAGGTGAAACGGTTGTGTTCGTCGAAGTTGCGTTGGTCTCGGTGACCGGCGGGGTGGGGGCCGTCGCGTTCGTCGTTGGTGTTGTTGGTGTTGTCGTAGAAGTGTCCGGAATATCTGACGTCGTTGTGTTGGTACTGATAGTGATCACTGGTGTTGCAGTCGACGGCGTAGTCGGTGGCGTCGTGGGTGTTGATGTCGGAGTGGATTGCGTGGTGGTCGGGGTGCTTGAGACCGGATCGGGTACGAGCGGCACGGTAGTTGTGGTTGGAGATGTTGTTGTGGTTGCAGGCGTTGTGGGTGTCGTGGGCGTAGTTGAGGTCGTGCTTGTAGTTGTGCTCGTGGGTGGTGTAGGCGGAGACGGTGTAGTAGCCGTTGTTGCTGTTGTGGTCGTGGTGGACGTAGTTGTGGTTGTTGTTGTTGTGGTTGTTGTGGGCGTTGTAGTGGTGACAGTTGTCGGACAACCGACAGCTATTAAAACGAGATAAAGTTGAAAAAAGGTTGCGGTATTTGTTAAAAAAAGGCTTGCGGTTTCAGTTAATTGCCTACCGACCGTTATCGATGGTAATCATGTCCAGCGTGATGCTTTTAACGTTGGTCAGGCAGTTATCGTTATGGTATGCCAACCAGTTAATAGTAAACCGGGCGCCTGTGTCTCTTCCAAAAGACGCTTCCGCAAAATTCCATTGATTAAGAAGTGCGGTGGCATAATCGCTTTCGTGTCCCCAAATCAAATCAACCGGAAAACTTTGTCCGTTATCTTCAATTAGCACTTTGAAATGGAATTCGTTTAGCGGGTTTGCCGGGTCAAATACTGGAGGGTCGGAAAGGCGATACCAGAAAGTGACGCGGAAAACTAGACACTCAGTGGGAACTATTATAGGTCCCCGAAAGATTGCCATGGATTCGGTTCTATCGGGAGTCAGCCCAAAAGTCCTTCTGATGCAGCGTGACACAGCTATTATGCCACCTGTTAACAACGTGCTTCAACAGTCACTGTCAATCAATAAATTATTCAGCCAACCAGTTTCATATCCAACGGTATTTAACTTTGTAATCAACAAATAAACTTCGATATTTTACGCATCTATGGACACTGACTGTAGAAAAGATCACAAAACTACCAAGATTACAACGGAGGATACCAAGTTACCCACCGCGTTCATAAATACAGTACAGATACAATGCGTTAAACCGACCTGGTTCGGAGTCAGCATCGTCACCGTCTTCGATGAGATCAAACTGATAGGGAAGATATCTGTAGCCACGGTACCATGTCTCATCTGGCGGATTTGAGCACGCAAAGATGCCAGTGCCATTGCCGGCCACCTGGATGGAGTGACCCATATTACAGGAACGTAACGGTTCCCAGTTGAAACATGGCGCTGGCAGCGGACAATCGATACGATCATTATGATCACCGCACACACGAGAGCGCTGGAGTGAAGTAGCGCCTGCAGAATTACTCGCCCGAATAACTGAATGTACGATTTTCAATGGGAGTTAGTTAGCAAGTGTCACAACTATTTCATTTTAAATAGCAATTATCTGGTAACCGAAAGAAACGAACAAATGATCACATTTATAACTGTTGTTCCGGAATAAAATCACGTATATGTAACAGAAATGTATGATAGCCTACCAAAAAGCAGAAGCGTTAATACCGTCCACAAAGCATTGTTTCCAGCGAAATCCATCCGCTCACACAATCTGTCCACTATAGGCCTGCCTATGGACAATACACGTAGGAAAGGGAAAAATGTTTTTGTTGTGCTTCTCTGCAGCTACATATGCAGCACAATTTTATTACTGTGTTACCTGTCTGATATGGCTTGATAATTGTAAGTACGATGTAAGAAAGAGAAAAGGCAAAGAGCACGTTTGACGAATAAAGAGTTTGCGGGTACGATATGTCCACAACCGGAGCATCGTGTGTCAAGCCTTGTGATAATGCTTACAGTTCCGCTGATATCTTTCCTATACTGAGTCTATACAAGAATGTTTGATTAGCCATTTACCTACGGCTGCGATTATCACGCTTTCCATGGACCATGGTTATCTACATTCCACAATACCGGACACAATGTGCCTTTATCCGGTGATTCACTGTGTTCTATTAGCGCTCGTGTTGTCTTATCGGTTAGTTACGCAAATTCATCACACAATGCCCGTACAAAAAGAGGGACAGCAAAAAAAAGAAATCCGAAAAAGTTCATTAGTACAGTTTAACGATATCTCATACGCTGTCGGCACAATCGATTTAGACGTCACATTACTCCACGCAAGGTAAAAAAGGTAAAAAAACCTACACAAGTACAAGGTGTACACAAGTGTAGAAAGTAATATTATAAATTCGTGGCAAAACCTGATCTACCTTCGCCTAAACTATCTGCTGCCCAAGACTGAACATTCAACCTTTAAAAAATCCAAGAATTCAGAATAGACCTTTCAAAGGGACAATAAAGCAAATATTAGCAACACCTAAAAAATCACATACTTGCAGAGATTACAAAGTGACTAAAATCCTAACTACGTTTTTAAACAAAGCATGCAAAAAACTTCAAAACTGTAGCGACTTAATCTTCGCTTTTTAACACACTTTACAATCAGAACAAATATAGGGCAGATATGGCTGGTTAATGTTGTCTTTGACTCCGTGGCGACACCACACCATACAGCTCGTATGACTGCTCCGACGGATGAAAGGAAGAGAGGCTGCGCATGGATCCGGAGTAGCCGCTAGAACGGCGCCGCTCCAGTTCATCCACGTCCAAATCATAATCTGGCATACTGCTTGTCTGCCAAAAACACATACAGGCAATTATTTCTCGCAGTCGTAGGAGCTATATTGATGTCAACCATCCTTACCGTGCTGCGGATGGATGCCGGCTGTTGCCGTCTGGAGTTGATCCCCCCATAATCAGCGATAGAAGCGTATACCGCATCTTGCTGCTGCTGGCGAGACAAATACGTGCGATTAGTGCGAGCTTGGTAGATCGGCGGAACCGGCGGTAGAGGTCGTCGCCGCCTAGAACCGTCAGAATATGTATAAAAAAAAACGGTTCGCTACATTCTTTAAAATTTGCAAGTAAAATCAGTGGAGCCTGACCTCGCGACATATCTTCTTCTTGCAAACAACCCAGCAAATACGATGACCACCGTTCCAGTTACTGCCGCAATGGTGTACAAGGCGATATACAGAGCTGCAATATTATAGCGTTAACGTAAAGCGTTGTGTTGGTGTGGGAAGCCTGAACACCAGCTCTTACGGTCTGTGTTGCCTGTTGGACTGGGAGTGCTCGTTGGCGCCACTATCTGAATGCGATTACACAGTTTCCTTGTAGCATCAAATTCGTAACCCGGGTTACAGTGGCACGTCGCTTTCCCGGTGCTTTCCGCGAAATTACAGCGGTGAGCTGCTCCACAGGCGGAATTCTCTTCCACTTCTATGCAGCGATTGAAATATCCGGAGATTATGGGTTCGACAATCATCAAGGAGGTTCCGTCAATTTCGAACGATGGCCGAATGTTTTCGATTGCTGTTCGGATTTCTGTCTCGCGGATAATTTGGTAACCGGCAACTGTCACTAGGACATCGGTGACTACAGAGCCATTGCGGAATGACAGAACTCTGACGAAGAGATGCGTGAAATCCGTTCCTAGCGTGAAATTTACTGCGATCTCATCTCGAACCTGCAAATAAAATTTCGGTATTATCTACGATAACGTTTAGTTGCTGATAAAAACTAGACACTGCGTTAATGCAGATCGTTGAATACACACTTTCCGCTCAATTTCGGAGGACCACTTCATGTAGATTTCGGAATTATTATTCGAAAGGTCACTGGGAAATTCGGCTTCCAATTGGTACGTTGACTGAATTATTAGTGGCGCTACAACGCGAAGACAGAATATTTTCAGGCAGTCACTCGAAATGAATAGATTGCTTACCGTCTACACAGCCGGAAGTAACGTTCGCGTGGTACGTCGTGGCTGGGCACCGGCACACCGCCCGCGGATGGTCCTGCACGAAACCGTGGCGGCATTCACACGCATACGAAGCGCCGTCTATGCTACATTGCCCAAAGCCGCAGTCTACTTCTTTGCAGAGATCAACCGGCATCAACGGTGTGGTTGTTGGGAGCTCGGGCTCGTGCCGTTTGTGGTAGTTGTGATAGGCGTTGCAATCGACGGCGTGGTAGCGGTTATGTTGCCAGGTGGCGCAGTCTCTAGGCTTGTGATGGGGACCGTTGAATTGGTGGATTCGGTTGGCGTCGAGGTTGTGTTTGTCTCAATCGAGGCAGTTGCAGTTATCGAGGTTGTGTTCATCTCTGTGCCTGGCTCGATCGAGACAGTCGCTGTTGTCATCGCTGGTGCTGTTGTGTTAGCATCGAGAATGGCCGTTGCAGTACTGGGCGTTGTCTCCGATACTGGGGCATCAGTTACAGTGCTCGGGGTCGCTGTGGATGGGGTTGGTGTGGATTCTGTGGTGTCAATTGAGGGTGTGTCAGGATCTGGTTCAGGAGAGACGGTGGTTGTGTCGGGCGTTGTGGTGGAATCCACAATCTCTGTCGGAGTTGGCGATTCCCTGGTCGTCGTCGGAGATTCCGTAGTTGTGGTTGACGGAGTTGTGGTCGGTGTTGTGTCGGGTATGACTGGTGTCGGCGTTGATGGTGGCGTGGTTTGAGGTGGAGCAACGGTTGTAGTTGGACAGATACCGGACGCGGGGGTAGCAGATGTGGCTATAACACGAGACCTTCTCGTCAGAGGTGGCTTAATACCATCTTACGTATCAAACTGAAAGGGTTATATTAGATTATATTCGAATATTATATTTTCATCAATAGACGAGTTGCCACAGAGCTCGTGACATCACGAACCCTCAAAAAAGCCGAACCATGGCAAAACCGACAGCGAATTTATCCGAAGCGCCAACAGAAATAATAAACGGCAGCAAATATAGGTATTTTCAACCAAAAATGCGCGGCATGCATGGATTAATAGGGAAATTGCTTATAACCATAACTTGTTTGATGCAGAAATTCAGGTTTCTACGTTCCCTTTATGCAGATTAACCCTGTATTTTGACTCTTTTGGCACAGAAAGCTTGTATAAACTCGACTTTAATGGCGAGCAGTGAATGCGAATATAGGCCGCCTCCTAGCGTTGAAGTTTACGGGCGAAATCACTTCCTCTTCTTCTGTTTTTTTCACGTGACCGGCGATCACCTGTGGCAACTTGTCTGTTGGCGGACACCTATATACTTACTGACCATATTGGATTCTCATGCTGTCCACGGCTATCTCTTTAAGATCTACATCGCAGTTGTCATTGTGATAAGCGAACCAGTATAGTGCAAAAGGCTCGCTTTGGTCACGATGAAAAACTCCTTCGCCAGAATACCAAACATTGGGCCGGAATTCGTCATAATCCTCTTCTCTTCCCCAGATCAGTTCAGATGGAAACGTTTCTCCGTTATTCTCGACGAACACTTTGAGATAAAACTGGTTCTGTGGATTGGCAGAATCGAAAACCGGGTAATCGGACAATCGGTACCAAAATGTTACACGCCACACAGTACAGGCTGCCGGACCAATGTTGGGGCCTCGCAGAACGGCCACGGCATCTTGTCTTTCGGGTGCAGCGCCAAAAGGTCGTCGGGTGCAACGCGACAAAGCAATAACGTCAACTGTCATAAATGCAGAAGGTAGTGATAACATGGCTGCCGATAGTACAACAATTATGAAAAATTCATAAATGTCACCTACGAATTTTGCCATCAGAACTCTGTAGCACATTTTCCAACAAATCGAACTGATACGGGTAGTATCTGAAGCCACGGAACCAGCTCGGACAGGCGTCAATGCCAGTGGCTGTGTTGTCCGGCTGGATCTCCGTTCCCAGATCACAACTCCCTCCGTTCAAATTTACCCACCTGTAACACGGCGTCGGGAGAGGGCATACCGCTCGCTCACTCTCCTCACATGACACGTATAGGCGTTTTACTGAGCTTTCGCCTGCAAGGAACAGAGAATGCTCTGACATAAAAAGCCTCATAACAATGCAATTAGGACCAGTTTCGTTGTATAATTAACAAGAAGTTTGGTGAAGTCGGCTGCGCACGTGAGGCTAAAGAATTCCGCAATAAGAATTTGATATAATTTGACCTGGGGTTACTCTTCATGATTTATGAATATATTAAGTAAGAAAATTCAAAGGAAGGAAAAAATCTTCGTTCCCGGTACTTGCGTGCGACAATGCCGCTACATGCAAAAGACAACTTACCAAACAGTAAAACCGTTAATATCATCCGTAACACAATATAAATCTTCGAAATAATAGCCATCGACGAATCCTTCGCTGTGGCAATTTTCAAATCGGTTGATGAGAATGGCTTTCTACTTCTGCACTATTGCAAGTACCACCGTGTGTGGTAATCTGAAATCTGTAATGTACGTCGCTTTCCTTCCAGAATTATGACTGTTATGACAACCAGCGGAAAAATAGAAAGATTTGCCTGTACGCTATAGCGTGCATGTGAATAACACATCTCCAATCACAACGTTATGTCAAATTAGCTGATAACCGCTACGCTGTAGGCGATAGTCCTACACGCTTGCTACGAGTACGCGAGAGTGTTTGTCCGCGCTTAGCTGCACTGTTCTTATCTTTGATTCCACTGGTCTTCCTTAATGCCGAGAACAATGCGCCAGCTGTGTACTTTACCGTTAGCGCGTTTGCTCGTTATCGGCATTACTTTCTTTTTATCAGAAGTTACGCAAAACCTGACTAATGCATTGTACCTGAAAAAAGTTACATCACTATAGAAGAATGCAAAAGGACTACAGTACTAGGAGCATTTGAAAAATTAATCAGGTGGAATGCGGTCGTTAAGCGACCCAAGTTTCCGTTGGTCAGTTTTACCCGGTAACATTCTTCATGGTAAAATTGTAAATACGTAAATGTGGTACATCTCCATCAGATTTATACTTTGTATAGCAGAAAATTTAATAGTTACCCGCAAGTGCAAGTGTTTATTTACACCAACTCACTAAAAGAATGATTTGTCTAGGTTTGTTTGCTTAGCAGTCTAGATTTGTCTAGCAGCAAAGACAACTGCAGCTTTCAGGGCAAAGAAAACTTGCAAACACACTTGTAAGTAGGTGATAACTGGCTGTAACTAACGTTTGTGATTTAGCAGTTTTCTAATCGGGCTTTAAAACCTGAATAGACACCGTACATTTAACTGCAGGCAAAAGGTTTTTGCAATACTGCGCAATCCCTTTGGTTTCCTATGAGCAGAGGGGCACAAAAGCGTACTCGTACTCATCTAAGGGCATCACAACCAAATAGGTTTTCGACATCACTACCGCTGCCGCCTGGGACGGGACCACACCCAGCACAGACGTTCGTCTATATGGATCACAAAAGATTGTTTGCTGCACGTATTACTACGCCTGCAGTATTATTGCAAACAGTAAAAATAATACAGGAAGGTAATGTGCACGACTAACACTATGCGGATAAACGCTGCCGCTATTCACATCGCTGGTCTCCGTGGAGGTTTCAGCGGAAGTAAAAAAGTTTGTTGTCGTCGTCGTTGTTGAGTTTGGGCTTGGAAAGACAGTCGTGGTGCGGCTGGTTGTTATTATCGCAGCTGTGGTGCGAAGAGTAGTGGCTGATGTCCTTGGAGTTGTGGTCGAGGTTGAATCAACCTCCGTATTGGGGTTACGCGTGGCAGTGGTTGTGTTGGTCGTTGTGCTGATGTTCAACGGCGTCGTAGATGTAGACGATTCAGTAGTCGTCGATGGGGGTTGGTTGGTGGTTACGGTAGCAGCAGATCCGGTTGTCGTTATGGCGCTTGATGTGGTTGTGGTCGTCGTGGCTGGTGTTGTCACTACGGCGATGGGCGATATGGTTACGACTGGACAGACGCCGGATCCCTCGACAGCAGGGATAGCTACGAAAAAGCACGATCTGCATAGCTTAATTCAAACACTAAACTAAACTATTACCACACTAAAGCCTTGAGGAACAACGAAAGTGTAGCTTAAATTGCTGTGTAATTTAACTTAGCGAAACTTGAATACCAGTGTGTTTGCATAAATAAGTAGCTGTTTTTATAATCGGTGCGTGGGCGGCACAAATGAGCAAGCGAATCAGAGGTACGAATTTAAAAAATGCATCATTATTGAAGGTTTTCTTTGGACATCTATTTTTTCTCAGTTTTGCTAAAGGAAATACTCAATACATATGCCCACGTAAAACAGTTTATTATGTAAGCCGCGGCGACTTCAAAACGCGCAGACGTTAACTAACCATATTGAATCCTTATGGTGTCTACCGCGATCGGTTTCAAATCAACTTCGCAGTTGTCGTTGTGATAGGCAAACCAGTATAAGACGAACGGCTCGCTGTGGTCGCGGTGAAAAACTGCTTCGCCCAGATACCAAGTATTGGGAAGGAAACTATCATAATCCTCTTCCCTGCCCCAAATCATCTCAGTGGGGAATGATTGCCCATGATTCTCGACAAATACTTTGAGATGGAACTGGTTTTGTGGGTTGGCAGAATCGATAACCGGGTAATCGGACAAGCGATACCAAAATGTCACACGCCACACAGTACAAGATGTTGGACGGATAATGGGACTCCGCAGAACGGCCACGGCATCCGAATTTTCAGGTGCAACGCCGAAGGATCGTTTGGTGCAACGCGACCAAGCAATCACGTCAACTTTAATAAAGAGTGGAGTAGAAAGTATCAGAAACAAAACAAAGCAGTATCAGAAAAAATGGAAGGTAAAACAGAAAGTATCAGCGCATGTTATAAAATCACCATTTCGAGTGCAACCAGGCATAATACTCGCAGGCATAGTACAGATGCAACTGACTTACGATTTGTGTCCTCTAAGCTCTGGTGGTCGTTTTGTACCAAATCGAATTGGTATGCGTAATACTTGTAGCCACGGAACCAGTAGTGGCATGCGCTAATGGCTGAGGGCGTATCGTCCGGCTGGATCTCCGTTCCGAAATCACACTGGCTCAACGTTGCCCACCGGTAACACGGCGCCGGCAGAGGGCATACCGCTCGCTCAGCTACGTCACAGAGAACGTATAATCGCCCGACCGAATTTACCCCTACAAGGAACAATCCCTATTTGAATGTAATCAGTACATACGGTCGTTCAACAAAGGACGGTGTAAAACTGGTGACATTGCGAAGTCGGTCCGACATGCTACGGTTCCTGCCATTTTTTTAATGTGTTGATATCTTGCAATACTTTTGTTACTTCTGTTTTAGCCAGCCGGCGTATTGGTAACAGTGCGTGTTGGTCCATTAAAATTTGCTTTGCTACATTTAGCACCGACTCGCGAGACATGGCAGTAAGCCAGTAATACAGCGCGCATGGTCCCGTTGACCCTCAGTGTGCGCGATAGCCGAGAGATATCCTTGAGCTGTCTTATCAATTTAAATTTTACGAGTGAACCAGCAAACAAAATGCTACTGCATTAGATTAGCATAAAAAAGTTAACAACTAATATTGCGCTTCAAGCCATCGGACTTTATAAGCCGCGGCAAAGTGTATAAAACAATCGCCACAACGTGCCAACTAACCAACGCAACAGTAAAACGCTGCTTTCAAAACTGGATCGCTTTTCCATAAAATACTTGCTATCCCCAAATATGTTTAGCGATCTCTGTTTTATTTTTATTAAGTACCATGGAAAAATGGAATATGGATTCGTTTTACAGACTGCATTGCATGTTAACCAAAATTCAGCAAAATTTTGGGAAGGTTTTTAAAAAACACGAGCACAACTGTGCGGTGTTGCACGGCTTGTTACAGAGTACGAAAGACTTCTTAGTTCTTACCAAGCATAGAAAGCAGCATTATCTGCAAAACATGGGACATAAAATCCATCCAGCGCATTCGTGCCTTCTCAATCGGTTAATATGAACAAAATTTTCAAAATAGGTTTGTGGTTTTCTAAATCTGAACGATTATCTACTGCGCCAAACAAGCACGGATGTTCAACCATATGTTGTCGCAAATTGTAAGGTAATTAATCCAAACCATACCGGCGATTATGGTACTTTTGCAATCGCAAAATATCGGCATGAATCCGCATGATTCATCGCTTTCCTTGAACAAGTATGCTGCAATGCGGCAGAAACAAAGCAACACTTCCAATATATTTACAGCTTGCACAGGAAAAAATAGGTCAGCGCATCTGCAATTCAGGTTCTTGTGTCCAATTTGGCTGATATCTCTACGTCGTAAGCGATAGTGCTCTGCTGCAGCCTTGTCGACAGCTTTTGATTTACGGCTCATCGTGAAGGTGCGCCTGTCACCTTTACTTCCATCTGCATTCCCCAGTGCTGGTTACAAGGCGACTTTGTACGGTGATTCACCGCATGCGTCCTCGGCCGTTATCAGCTTTTATCGGGATTTCGCAAATTCTGACTAATTTAGAACGTTACACTACAACAGCACAATGCAACGGACTACACTGTAGCATGTACTGGGAAATCGTGTTAAATGCCGCTGTTCGGCTGTTGAGTAATGACTCGTATATTGACCCTGCGGAACCCAGCGAGAATGGCTGCCAGAACGAAGAAGAAAATCGGAGAAGGCACGCTGGCCATGCGACTAAAGAATATCTTTGAGCGCATACAAAAAGTTAACTTGCATCTACTCAGTGTGGATGGTGTGGGATTTTTCAAATTTGCTCTCCGAACTGTTGATCTGTCTTAGAAATTGTGTTTTTGTTTAGTTTTTGCGCCAACCTGACGTTGAAGTCCCGTTTAGCGGGTTGTCTGCTCCTGATGTAATAATAGTAATTTATTGGCCAAGGTTGCCGCCGGTCACTATCACCAATATCATAATGTGACTGTTAGAGAAGTAGTGCTTGCGCGATTGATGCGTCTGTCTTCAATCTGAAAAGCTTCGCTTTATTATACAAAAAATTTTTAATAAAGCTATCTGGCATTCAACTTGCTGTTGTCGATTGGTTGTTAACGTCAGCTCAGTATACGGTATAACATAGATCTGCGACCGTCACTCTGCTTAGCTAATTTAAAACGCAAATACTGCTGTAATTCTAATAATTTTTATCCGATATTTCCCCTTTTCTCAATTGTTTCTCCGGAATTACAGCTTGGAAAATGATAATGTAAACAGCCTGCGAGCCGCACGCAACGGTCAGCAGTATTACGCAGACATACTGCAGAGTTTCATCAATAAGACAGGAAAAGAGCGCTAACCATACGCTCAACCACGTGAATCCCATTAAACCAGTCGTGATAATTACTCCATAGAGCCGGCTTTTAACCGTGTCCGCCTGAATGCCGGCCTGTTTGTCCAAGGCCGCCAGTTTCTTTCGGCGACCTTTTGTTGCTATCGAAGGAGACAACGTAAGTTTATTTTCGCTGCATGCATTTAGTCAGAAAACCGCTGAGCAATACTTACTCTTGATATAAATAACGACAGCTGCTACGTTGAGGAGAGCTGCGATGGACATAGGCGCGATAAACGTCACCCAGGGTATCCAAAGGTGATCGCCGTCCAACCAGCACCTACGTAAAGCAACCAACAAATTTACATATTTTTGCAACCTGGTCATGTTTAGACAGCTGCAGTCGCACCATTTTTCCTGACTTGCGTAACCGTATCCTCCAAGAAATTCCCTTGAACTTTCGGAGAAATGGCTAACCGAGGCAAGAAAAGGGAAAACGCCGGGAATAACTGTAAACAGTTGTCAGCCTCTAGAATATTTCGAAATAAATTCTGCCAGCAGCCCTTAATTTTTAGCATGGCCATAACTGTACAAAAAATTATCAAATATCTGCATTCCGCCACTGCAAAGATTTTATAGTTTTTTTTCACGGAAATTATTGTACTTAAAGTATCTGGAACACTTTTTGTACTACGACTTAGGACGCTCAAAGTTGTCAAGTGAACTTGTCCGTCGAACCGAAGAAAATTTCGAACAATGTGCTTACCAGTTGCAGCAAACCAGGTCTTCATTCTGAACCTATGGTACGTGTCTCCAGGAAGGTATTTTGTTCTCCCATAAGTTTGTGGAAAGCGTATTATCTGAATGACTCGTACTGTTTGCACAGTTGTCCATGCAATACTCATTAGCGCAAACCAGTGAAGAAGAATGGCATTGACCAAACAAAACCGTTGTTCACAGATTTCCGGAGTATAGACCATCAGCTGGGAGAGCAAGATGAAGAAATACATGCCGAACAGCACTATCCATAAACCGGTGCGGGTAAATGTCACTTCGTCAAACACGACGGTTTTCCGTGACACTTTGACGCTGAAAACCAATGAATATAAGCTAGTCAAGCTAAATATTAAATCCTAAAATTATTAGATGTTGCAAGCAAGACTTTACATTATGATAACAAAGGACACCAGGCAGCACACGGCTGATACCGTGGTGGTGGCTGTTGTTACAACAGCCAGATCAAAGGTAAAAGGTTCTTTTCTGGAAGCAAAAGAGTTGGACAGACTGCCACACAGCGTTAACAGAAGCGAGAACGGCGTCAGATGATCACACGTGCATTCCACGGTGGTGTTGCCCCATTGTGGATATTTGGCTGTAAGCCTACACCCGTCTTCCGACCACTGCTGTAAAGTGTAATCCAGGAAGATGCACTGGTGACGCCTTTTGACGCCAGACGGATTCTACAATAATCAATGATCACTTTCGAACTAATCGGTCTGAAATTCCGTCGATTGTCTTACATGAAACAATCGATCGACATTGTGACGAATGGTGATAATATCTCTACGACTAAGCGTGTGATCCACGGATGCCAGCAGCATTATTGGACTTGACCGTACTTGCGCTTCGTTAGTGCCGGTATATCTGGCAAACCTGAACTCAGGCATTGCGGACAGCGAAAATGCAAACACAGACCTTGTTGTATTGGCCCCATTTTCTAAAATATGAATGATTTATTTGAGAATCGAACTACTAGTATACGAATTATTTGGATCAGGACTTCTACAGCTTACTTAGTTCCTCGTAGGCTTCCCGCAATGCTTTAACGTTAAGATTAATCACCGCTACAGAAGCCATGCTCTCGTTTGTAGAACTCGTAATTCCTCTTTCCCAGCTGAAGCTAGACACTATCAGCTTTGTATACATTTTCGGCTGATCGAATATTGACGTAACGTTGATGTGAAATACATGAGCATAAGCCAAGGAGTATGTGGACGTGAATATATAGGGTTCCTTTGCTAACGGCAGATTGTTATACATCTTTTCCAGTGATTGATAAATGGTGGCTGCGGCATATTGTCCGTGTTGACTATCGTCTGCCGTGACTGTACCAGATTCCTCTGCGCTGGCGGTTGCATCCGTAATCTGGAGTAGAGTGTTAACAGCGTTCTCTTGCGCTCCTTCTGGCACTAGTAAACCTAACGGGGGAGGCATCTCCGCGAATTCTTGGAAGAATTGGGCTATCGTCATAATGTCTCCGAAGCCAGTTTCTAAGCTCTCGTTTTTGATACCGTTTTCCAGCGTTTCCAAAACGTTATGTGCCGACTGAGTATAGTAGGCCGTCGTGTTTGGGTAATTTTCTTTGTTGATTACTTGCTGAAGTTGCACACTGATGGGTGATAATATCATTGTAGTGGTGGTTTCTGAAAATCTCGTATTATCGAAATCATACATACACTTCGGCAAGGCACTGCAAAATTCTGAAAGGTGTTATACTAATTAAACATCGCAATTTACATACCGATTTGTGCCGGAACAGCCGTTGCTGCACGAATTGTCGACAGCGCAACTGGCAGCTGAGTATCACTCGTAGTAAATGTTGATAGTGACACTGGGTTTGGTGAACGTGACAGTGGCATTCTTGTGGTCGTTTTAGTTAATTCAGACACAAGCGGGCCTGAAGTCGTTGTGGTGGCATTGCAGTTCCTTTTTGGGACTAGAACAACACATCGCGATAAGCCTCATTAAACATGGCGTCAGTCATCGCCGAGCTGTGTTGAGTCAGATTGAAGGATACTGCTTTCGGTATGAAACGCATCAGGCTGAAAATACATTCACTCGAAAAATACTGTAAGCCTCACCTGCCAGTCGCGTCTCGACAGTATCCAAATCAATGGACATGGTGTTGCACGTATCACCATGATGCGCAAAAAAGTTAAGGAAAACACCGGTGGCGGTGTCCACTGAATACTCGACCGCTGCATTCGTCCACACATTGGCGCCGGGAAATCCCTGAAAATCGATTGTGCTGCCCCAAATCTGGAAAGTCTGTAAGGATTCCCCGATGAGATTGGCAGGGTATTGTTTAGATAATATCAATTCGAGAAAATAGTTTCTGCTACGGTTTCTGGTAATAATCGGCTGAGATGACATTCGGTACCAAAATGAAGTCTGCAATTTTGTGCAACCACTTGGTACGAATCTTGCTGATGCCATGGGAGCGGTGTTACGTTCGCTGTAATAAGTTCCTAACAAGTCAGCTTTCATATAGCATCTTGATTGCGCATATTGGGAAATGACGGTTTTATCGGAATCGGAATTGTGTGGAAGCGTCTGAAATTGCATAGGATAGAGCGAGAACGCTCGTAACCAGTCCGGGCAGGCATCTAGCCGATCGCCGACGCTGCTCTGCTGGGCGCCATCCATATCGCAGGAAAAAGCATTGCCGCGAGATAGAGCAAACCAAGTGTAAAATCCTTCGGAGTGGGGATAGTTGCAGCCATTCCTGTTCTGCTTGAGATAATTTAACTGGACAGGCGGCAGACGATCGTATAATATACCTGTCATACAACATACCATGCTTATTATCAGTGTCACTAATGATTTCAGCCAAAATATGTAGTACTGTTTTTCTGGTTAACCCAAATTTTGACTGCCCATTCCGACCAGCTTGTCATGAGCGCATCGTCAGTTTTCTGTTTTATCGTAAGCTACCCGGGTGTTCGAACCTGCATTAGCCTGTACTCACTTTTACAAAGTGGACGATGTACCTAGATACACTTATACACGTAAAGGTGAAAACTACACCAACAAAATCGTTACTTGTTGCCCCTTGTGCATTCTCGATTCTGATAATGGTAAATGAAATTCATACTGCATTGGATGTTTTATGTCCCTCTGCAATTCAGAAACTTCACCAAATCATTTCCTGACATTATCATCTTACCTATAGCAAGAAATGGAAATAGTGCGAACGGTGCCACTAATCGGTAAAACAGCATTCCAAATTTTCAACCTTTACGCATTAACACGGTCACGGAATAGCCAAGTTGGCTGCACAAAACTTATGAGTGGAGTGAGTTCAAACGCTACTAAGAAAATTTTGAAAGCAATTTAGAAAAGTTTTTTTTATGTTCTATACAGTCATATTTTCTGCAATGTGGAAAGAATAATCTCTGAGCGCACACGGCAGTGATATTAAAATTGTTCTTGCCAGTCCTATCTGATAAGCATGTCACAGAGCCTTGATACTATATACTACGAAGTACGCTTTCATGTTAGCTTTAATCAAAGTTCAACACAATGGTTTGATAAGGTCATGTTTAACAAATTTCACAATGATATGAATGATTATTCTACTGCTGAATCAATCAATGAAAGTCCATGGACCTACCGTTAAAAAGACGGCATTTTAGATGTTTTATTGACATTTGGTTTGCTATCTGAACTTTGCAGAGCCAAGATGAACTTTGCAATGGATGCATCTGTTTGAGTCAACAACATCCTCGATTGGTCAAGCGTATGTGTGAAGTATCTGATAAGTATTAAAAATTTTATTAAATCTGTACGCCAGGTCGGCTGGTGATAGACTAAATAATTATGTGAACATTGTAGAACATACGAGTAGAAAACATGTAAGTAAACCAGCTGAGCACGGATGAATATTGGCTTACGACGATTTTAAAAACTTTTTATTTTCTTTGCAGTATATTGTTTAGCATGTAATTAGTTTCTCGAAAAGTCAGAATGGCAAAGCCAGACAACTGCTCAGGATGGTTGTCCGCGACGAGCGTACTGCGTTGTTGACCTTTAACCCTGGAGCTTGTTTTGTTTTTTTCTCGCGTGCTAGGTTTCTGTTCATTCTACTCAAAATTGCCAAATTATTAAGCTACTCTAGCAGATGCAGCGGCCGAAATGATTTGTTCACTCAGTCCGTGAACAGAAGAAACGCAGAGGCCGAAGCTTTTCTTATTGTTTGAGTGTAGTCCTTTGTATATAATGTGCCCGTGGTAACCGGCCAGCCATGTTAGCTCTATGGCATCCATGGTAACAAGCCTTTCAGTGACCACTGGCCTTAATCATTTGATGATAGTAAGACAAGACTGGCCTTAGATCACCCGCAAGACTGAGAGGTTTTCAAAACATTTTAAAGTACGCAAATTGGATGAGTAGAAGCGGAGATTACCGCGGTCTAACAGGAGAGGCCAAACACCTGCAAGAGATGTTTAGTATTCATATAATAAACTCAGAGATTACCACAACGTTGCTAAGCTCTTATTAAGTACAATGCGAGCAAGAAAGGAAGCTACGGATGATGGTATGCATTTAGCGAAGACAGCGAAAACCGGCCTGTACAGCTAGTACGAGCACAGACACGTACGTGTGTAAGTGAATGCGAGCGGATTATGTAACCCACCCACACACACATGTGACACTACCCGACAAGGGTATTACTAATTCGCGGGCATGGACGGACGTGGACGGACGGACGGATGGACGGGACGGACACTGGATGGAGGGGGACGGACACTGGATGGAGGGGGACGAGGACAAAACGGAGGATGGACACTGGATGGACAGGAACATGGACAGTGGACGTGTAGTGGACAGACACGAATGAATTTAATTTTTTTATTCCCTATTGAAATAATACAAATTTGGCAAATCTACTGCTCATCGTGCACTAATACAAGGCGAGCTTGCAATTTAACGGCAAACAAATACGAACGCCTGGATTTTAGTAATTATAGCACTTATGGAATCCCTAAATTTTCGGAAAAGTTACGTGCAGTATTTCACTAATTTTCATAAAAAATGCAGAACTTAGGGAATAATACGCGTGCCAAGTGCGCCAGTTCACTCCGTTATTCTGCGCCAGACGCGCCCGGTCTTGGCAAAAAAATGTTGCACCGGCGCGCCAGTTTCCGGCGCAATTTTTTCCCGTTTATTCGCTTCGGAAGGGGGTGCACCCCCCCCTTCAAGACGGGCCTGCATGTACTGCATATCATTGCCATAATAAGCCGTTCTAGGTGTTACCAATTATAGTGACACAAATTTTATTTTCGGATTTTTGTGCTAAATCAGCCTAAATGTATAGTCTTTGCTGCTTCATTTGATTTTATTTCCTAAATCACAGCTTTGACAATTTAACATTTTTAGAGAATCTCGCCACTTATTGAGCTCTAAGTTATCTGCACCACACGGACGGTTCAACACAGTCGATAAGTGGCGATTCACTAAAAAATTTTAAATTTTTGAAAAAGTGCTTTCGAAAATAAAATTAAGAAATAAAAACCCAGAATGATAACGGGTACCACAGAACCTGGAAAATGAAATTTATCGTAATCAGTAATAGTGCAGTAGTACGGCAGGGACAACACATGCAATACCGTCAACAATGAAATTCGTGTTTGGCCACGCCCACTGGACCATTGCCTATGAAAATATTTTTTAAAATATACCCTGGGCCAAATCTCACTCCAGAAAAAAAATCAAATTTTTCGGAGAGGGGAACCTCTGACCGTGCCCTGGTTAGAGGAGGGCCAAAAACTCCCAGCGTCTCAACCACTACAGTTTATATTTATGTACATATCTGTGTATGGCGGCGGCCATGTACCGGCATATGTGTCTGACCTTTTTCCATTCAAGACTCAAGGACATTAGCACGAGGTACGATTTCGTCGGAAAGTACGTTCGAATGTGCCTGCGGCAGAACTACGAATTGGGAAAACACCGTAGCTTTACGCTGAAGGATTTGTTTAACAAAGTAAAAAGAAGCAGAAACGAATTTTTGCCTGTGGTTCTGTTAAAATTCAACTGTCCCTGTTAAAATTTAAAAATTTTTGTTTTATCTAAAAATTTTTGTAGTACTTGTGTATTTTTGTCTTATCTTAGCATTGTGCTGACCAGACTTGTGAGCGACTCAAGGGCTCGTCTGCTCAACGAATAAACTAAACTAAAATGCAATTAGCATAAATGAATTGCAATATCATGATTGTAGTGTTAGGTTGGCATTTAATTCTTGTTTGATCACGCCCTCGTAACCTTTGTAAGCAAAAATTTTTTATGGGTGATAGTTGATACGGCAATTATTACTCTCATCGGCATTATTACTCACAACGGCATTCTAACTTTCTATAGGAGATGAGATTTCCTGTAAGTGTGGAGCTTGCATATGTGCCATGATTAGTAGAATCCATGAATTTGTATTTTTGCTATTAGATTTGAAGCCTGGTATGTTTTAGTGCACGATGAGACTAGCAGTGATACTTGACGTGTCAGCGGTATGTATACACTGGAACTATTGTACGTATTAGAAGGTGGTTTGTTCTTTGGTGTAGTGGAATGGAGATAAAACTGGTAACAGCGACGCAGTCAAAAAGGTAGTAGCTACGCACGATACGTAATTAAACAGCATTAAACAGAAGCAGCCAAAGCGTAGTAGTATCACTTTAAATGTAACAGAAGAGCCACTTATCAGTGAAACCTGACTCATGATTCAACTGTGGACGTGAATACCGTAATCATTTTCTAATCAATTTTAAAGTTCTTTCACAGCCTGTCAAGTGTCAAGTCTATTACAAGTGAAATGACGAGTACCTTACCGAGATTGGTAGTGCTGCCGAGAATCTGTCCAGCCACGATAAAGACCTAGTGTTGCGAAATTTGTGTCAGAAAAAAATTTATCTGTTCATTGAAGTGATTATAATTATTGCACTACCGGATGGATTTCGTAACATATAACGTTCCCAGGATACTGGTAACGGTCTTATTACTTGGTACGACATCTTCCACAGTCGAGTGTCTGAATAAGGTTGCGCTAATTTTAAGTATTTCAACGAATTTTGAGCTGCTCGCGATGTATCTACACCGATAGATTTCGTTTTTAACCCGCACAGCTGCCGGTTGTACAGTGCATGTCAAGATAACTTTTGTGGATATAATTTGAAAAGTTATTACCCGATAAAGCCGTTGCATGCAGACCCGGGTTTATTCTGCTTGCGGTTGCGCGCTGTTGGCAGATTTTTTTTAGAAAACTTTAAATGTGGCCAGAAAAATTGGAAATTTTCTTTCCTCGGTTTTTGATTTCAATTTGCAGTTAATGGTCTGAAGTGGAGCATGTGCGTCTGCACAGCATGACATTTGATTTCGACATTGTTGATCTGATTTTTTGTTATTGGTAGGCTTAAGATGATTTAATAATATCTCAAAATAAATGATAAAAGATGAAATTCTGTTCTAGTGTCAAGCCAAGTGGTGAATTCATCACGATCAACGGTTCCTACTGAACAACTGCAAAAAACTAATATGAAACAAAGCAAAACATGGACTATTGTTTACATGGATTAGCGGCTGTTCACATGTTTGTGAATGCCTCGCTCGTACATGTTCATGCTCATAATATAATTATTATCACATCCTAGTCTATTATCGTTTACGTTACTTTGTCGTCGATGCAGCCTTCTCGCGAAACACCTTTATTTCGTACTAAGCTTATCTTCGTATAAAGCGGTTAGCACTATCGTTCATCCTTCATCGTTTTTACTGGGCAACTTAAATCGGAGTTTTTGTATAGAAGCAAAAGTAGCACATAACAAATTTTTCAAGACCTTTTATTTTGCAGGAACAACTTTACCGAGGCGCTTTCGTGTAAGTGCTGAGCACAACGAACGAATCGAATGGGTGTCGTTACGGTCCTGCGATATGGGAAATACTAGCCAGGTAGCCAACGGCACTGGTGTCATGGCGTGTTCCAATCCGCCTTTTATTACATGGTACCGCGGCTACAGGTATCTTCCATATCAGTTTGATCTTGTCGAAGATAATGAAGATGCTGAAAACGAGCCAGGTCAGATAAACATTCAGGCTAGTTTCACATTTGTAATTATTCTAGCTCGTGTACAATCGAAGGAGGAGTTCTGTTTGATCACTACGGTAGCCGTAATAGCTGCCCAAAAGGTTTATTCACAGGTGGTATTATCGCTGTGTCACGCTGCATGAGAAGGACTTTCGGTCAGTCTCCCGACAGGAATGAACCCGTAGCCATTTTCCGAGGGCCGATACTCGTACCCCCTGACTGTAAAATTTTTCGCGTTACTTTCTGGTACCGCCTTTCGGATCCTCCAGTATTCGTTCCCGGAAATCAGCAAAATGAGTTCCATTTGAAAGTGTTAATTGAAGATAACGGTCAGCCGTTTCCCTCTGATTTAATCTGGGGAAGAGAAACTGATTATGTCGGCCTTCTCCTCAGACAATGGAATTTTGCGGAGGTATCTTTTGTGAGGTCCAGTGGCGCACAGTTTACGATAAACTGGTTGGTATACCATAACGATGACTGCCAAATCAACGTTAAAAGCATCACACTGGACAAGATCGCCATTGATAACGCTGACGGTCAGTAGGGAAAGCTAATGAGGCCACCGATGACTTGCATTAAATATAGCCTTGATTTCAAGCAACTTTAAATAACTCAGTATAGCAGTATTGTTTCTTACAGCCGACTCTTGCCCGACAACTTTCGCCACAACAAAACCCACACCGGCTATTACGTCAACAATATTTACATCAACAACGATGACTTCGACGTTCTCCACAAGCACCGGTACCGCTACGGAATCGTCATCAGTTGTAACGACAGCCAAACCGACGACTGGAGTGATCTGCCCTCTACCAGCACCATGTTACAGATGGGCAAATTTGAAGGGAGGGAATTGTGTTCTGGGAACAGAGATCCAGCCAGACAACACTGCCACAGGCATTGCTGCCTGTCCGAGTTGGTTCCGAGGGTACAGATACTTTCCGTATCAGTTCGATTTGGTGGAAAACGACCAGACCTCTGATGACAAAATTGGTTAGCGACATTTACGAAGATTTTCTAATTGTACTGCGGCAAAGTGGTCAGTTTTTTGCTAATGTTTGCTTCTGGATTTATGATAGTTGACGTGATAGCTTTGTCGCGTTGCACCCGGAGACCTTTTGGCGCTGCGCCCGACAGCGAAGATGCCGTGGCCGTTCTCCGGAGCCCCAATATCGGTCCGGCAGCTTGTATTGTGTGGCGTTTAACATTTTGGTATCGCCTATCTGATTACCCGGTCTTCGATTCTGTCAATCCACAAAACCAGTTCCATCTCAAAGTGTTTGTCGAGAATAACGAAGAAACATTTCCCACCGAGCTGATCTGGGGAAGAGAAGAGGATTATGACAGTTTCCGGCCCAATGTTTGGTACTCTGGCGAAGGAGTTTTTCATCGTAACGAAAGCCAGCCGTATGCGGTATACTGGTTCGCTTATCACAATGACAATTGTGAAGTTGACCGTAAGGAGATCGCTGTGGATACCATTAGGATTCAATATGGTCAGTACACGTCTGCCCTCCTGGAAGGCGTGTTCGTGCTTAACCTTTAATTGTATTTTGCTTACTACTCTAGGTACGGCCAGTTTAGCACGGTCACGAACCAAATCTAGTGGATTTTGTTTTAATCGATTTAATGGAAAAAGCAAAGAAAATTAAGCAAAGTCCCTTGTAGTAGCAGTAGTGCTTACGCATTTTAAGATCAATAGCTTTGCTTCTGATTGTAGCCACATCAGCGAGCCCGGCCGCCGGAATATGCCCAACTTTACCGACGGTGCTCTCGAATTTAACTACAACGCCACAAGGAAATACTTCCACGTCAGCGCAATCGCAACCAACTACAGTGACACCGCCTACTTCACTGAAACCCACGACGTTTCCTCGTACGAGCACAGCACCGATGCCGACTACGATGACAACCGGTAAACTCGAAATGTATTCATATCTGCAAGGTCAAATTGGGTTGCGTGGAAAAACATTACCATAATCATCAAATTTGTGGTTCCCCCCGCAATAAGAGCCCCCTTGTAAAAAGCGCCCTCACCGAGCCAGGTTTAAAAATTAGCCCATCCCCCGAAATTTTGCCCCAAGGGGGCCGTTATTAAATGTCAACGCTGCAAAATGATAGGTGTACCGAAATTGTTTCATAACAGCTGTTGTGATTTTATGGGAAACAGTAAAGGGAGACCAACATGATGTGGTGTTCGTTGGCATACGGCTGTACAGGAGGGCATACCCTTCAGAATGTCGCTCGCAAGGTTGTGCAGTTGCATATTGTAACAGTGGCCTATCTGGCTACTGTTCTAGTGGGATGGCGATCAGCCTTTACCACGATTAAACGGCTGTTGGTGTGAAAGGTGGCACGGCCGGCAACGATGCTGGCCGAGGACGCTCTTACTGATGTACACAATTACACAGGTGGCACCGATTGGGATGACGCTAGTTCATCGCAAGCGGTCAAACGCAACAACGTAACTCAAGGCATGTTTAATGACAAGGGAATCAAGAACACAGCAAGGTTGTAAGCAAGGGTTTCGGCAAGAGAAACACAAGTAGATGCAAGCTGTAGCAAGCTGAGCACAAGACTGAATTCTAGAAGTTCATGAGAAAGGAAACTAGCCGGTAAAGTGGACAAATTCATAACGCGATGGAATGATTCATCATAACTGGGCGTACAAAATACTATCGCTACAATATACCGATAACTATTGCGTTCAGTTTCACTAGAACAAGTTTCCCAATTGATTGAAACAATAATTTATCCACTTCCAAAATAAACCGTTTGAAAAACATTTCCACCTCCCGAAATTGCGCTCCTCTCCGAAATAAGTCCCCCGCCGCCATGACCTTCGAACTACAGTCTTTGCACCCAGGGATACAAATTCGGTAATTACGGTTATTCCCTTTGTCTTGACGCCAACTGCGCTCTTCTCGTCACGTTTCGTTTCAGTGCGCCTGTATTCAGAATCAGTTCGATCATGTTGCAGAAACTGCTACAACGCCATCCCCTGTCACTGTGGAGTTGCAGTATGTTACCAACAATGCAGCATATCCTAACAAAACGTCTTATTATACGGAGTCGACGCATAACGTCCTGAACGCGATTCAGAGCGGTGTTAAGAACGAAAGCATAGAACTCACTTTCAACGACATTTTGACGACCGCAAATTTCTTTCAAGAATCGCAGGACAGACAGAAATTCCCCCTGATTTGCCAGAGGGCGCTCAGAAAGACGCCATCAACACAATGTTGCAAATCGCCGATCAAATCGTCCTTGCGGAGGAATCTGGAAAAGTCGCAGCAGCAACGGCGGAGAAGGACGGACAGGATGCCGCATCCACTATTTACCAGGCTCTGGAAAATATGTACAATACTCTACCGCCATCAGAGGAACCTTACGTGTTTAACGACACATCCTCAGCTGCATATGCGCATGCCATTCAAATTAACGCGTCTTCGCGGTTCGACGAGTTATTGTTCAAAACCCGAATGGATATTGCCGGCTTCAACCGTGGAGCAATAACTATTGCTCGGACAAACGAAAGCACCACCTCTGTGGCCACAATTGCATTTAAGGACAATGTACTGCGGGAAGCGTTTGAGGAACTGAGTGGGTTCATGGAAAGAACCTCTATTCCATACCTTTTATAAAATTCAACTTGTTTAACTCTGCAGAAAAAACAGTAAGCTTTAATGAGACGGGCGCGAAGTTCACGTTTTCTCTTTCCGCGATGCCGTCATTCATATTCGCCAGATACATTCCGGTTAGCGAAGTACGGGAAAGGCCAAGTCCTTTAGTATTACTGGCATCCGTGGGGCAAAGCTTGAAGGGGAAAGATATAATTACCATTCGGCATAACGTGGATCAGCTGTTTAATGTAAGGTCGGAATGGTTTCCACAATTTAGTCTTGAATATATTAAAAAAAATTCTGCTTTTCAGTATCCATTCGGCGCGAGAAGGCAGCACATATTTCTGAATTATACTACCAAACAATGGTCGGGAGATGGATGCAGAGTATCAGCTAAATATCCCAAATGGAACGATACGGTTGTGGAGTGCACGTGTGACCATTTGACGCCGTTCTCTCTTTTACTGACGCTGTGTGGCAGCTTGCCGAATTCGTTTGTTTCCAAGGATAAACCCCTCACTCTGGATTTGGCCATTGTGACCACAACAACGACGATTATCTCCACAGTCTGTTGCCTCATTGCCTTAATTATCATAATGTAAGAACCTGACCGTTGATGAATCAAACGTCTAAAAACAGCAAAGCCGATATTTTCGAGTAGCTCAAGAATTAGCACTGTCTTGGTAAATGCGATTGCAGGGAGTGCCATTGCAGCCTGTCTAGTAAACGTCGTGTATGCATGGATAAAAGGCTCCAATTCCATCGATCTTATATGTATATATTGACTATATCAAGCATTGAAATAAAGTAGTTTGGCTCTGAAAAAAATTGCTGATTCCTTAATTTTTTCCAGCGCGAAAGCATGGCGGGGAAGAATTGTGTACGACGAAAAGAATTTCCTTCGGATAGGTTTGTGGATCGCCCTGTTCGGCATGTACTGCTTTATAATATCCTCGCAGCTGATGGTTTATTTCCCTGGAATGTGCGGACAAAAGTTTTGTTTGGCCAACGCCATTCTTGTGCACTGGTTCGCGTTAATGAGTGTTGCTTGGACAGCTGTTCAAACAGTGCGCATCGTCATGGTTCTGCGGCGTCCAGAAGCGTATGAGAGAATGCGGTCTCTCCCTAACGACAGTTATCATGAATTCAGAATAAAAAACTGGTTGGCAGCGACAAGTTAGTGTTGCAGCGCTCCATTACCGGGAAACTTGAACGCCTTTACTTTTTTTTGAATTCCCGTAAATGCATTCAAAGCTAGTAGCACATTCCTCGTGTGGTTTTAGTTATCCCCTGTTTATTTCCTCTTTTGGCCTCAGTGCCGGAATTCTCCGAAAGTTTGGCGCAACTTCTAGGTGGTGCCAGACTGGCCGCTGCTGACTACATAACTCGCAAAAAATCTGCCGACTGCGGGAATCGAACCCGCGTCCTCTATACTTTAAAGCCGAGAGAGGCACCACTAGGCTATCGGCGTACAGCAGAATATCGTAAGATATTCTCCGTACAGCCGGCAACCTAACGAACAGAGCCACGCTCCTAACAGTGGCTATGGTTACGCCAGTCATGAAAAATGGTAACCAGGAAACGCCAATTTTTTCTGCAGTGAATGGCAGATATTGCAAGAGAGCTGTTTTTTTACAGGTGCTGGTTAGGCAACGATAATATCTGGATACCATGGGTGACCTTTATGGTGCCTGTATTGCTTGTAGCCTTACTTAACATCTCGGCTGTGCTTATATACTTTATCTGTAAGTTTTTTTTAACTACAATATTCACTGAAAAATGCACAGTTGAAAGCATATCTGTAGTCTCATTAATATTTTTGTTTATAGCAAATCGTAGGCTTCAAAAGGACCTGGCAGCTCTGGACAAGCTTAACGGTGTCATAGAGAATCCTGTTAAACGAAGGCTTCACGGTGTTATCATAAACACTGGCCTGATGGGATGTGTCTGGTTGAGCATGTGGTTGGCGCTCTTCTCATGTGTGATTGACGAAACCGAAACGCTGCCGTACGTGTTTGTCATCCTGCTGACGGTCGCATGCGGGTCGCACGCAGTCTACCTCGTTCTTTTTGAAGCTATCATTCCGGGAAAGCAACGCGAGAAACGACAGAAGGGATGCAGCAGTTATACGTACGGAAGCAGTAGTTACGCAACAACACGGACGTAACGCATGAAACATATTTAGTTGCTGATTTTGTTCTGATGCAAACGAACACAGCTGAATAAATATTCTAAAAATCGCTTCTCATTGACCACTACCATGGCGCATAACAGTCAGCGCTGTTTCATGCTACTAGGAATTCTCGTAGCTCCTCTGCCGACGAGGTGTGAATACGGTTCCTGCAAAGTGAGCATTTTACCGATTGATATCTGGACCAGTGGAGTGGGTTGGTCTGATCCTTACTTACCTTATTCGTTTATTCAAAGCTGGATGATCGTTCTGAAAGCACAATTCTGACATAAATATTATTAGTCCTTTACCTCGCTATATGAGCAGTATAAAGCCCTAATATCATTCAGTATTTGCTTTAAAAAGTATTGTTTAAGGATAATTAGTAAAGCCTCCAAGAAGAATTTTCAGTATTTGTGAATGATTTTGAGGGATCAAAGATTGTTTGAAGGGTCTTGACCTTTAGAAAGGCGGTATTTTAGATGTGTTATTGACATTTCTATTCATATCTGATAGTCGGACAATCGAAAAGCGATTGCCATTGCACGTTTGCGCCATGGTCAACAATGTTGTCGCCTGGTCAAATACTTGATACAAAATAATGCAAACAAAGCAATGCAGTTCCAAATTAAGATTATCGAAGAAACGTACGACAATTTGTTACACCACACAAATTTCGGTAGTTACATAATTTCCATTGCGCAGAATAAAAATTCATGTTATGTATGCTTTCAATTCGCGTATGCCTTTAACAGCATCGTTAAGTGTTGAGCGCATCGTTGGCACCAGACCTGTCGCTGAATAGTCTTTACCATGCAGCATATATTTTTAACATGGTCAACGATTTTGCTCCTTGGTAAGTCCCATTAAGTCATATATTTTTTATGATAATCCTCTTTTAATTGTCTGGTCCCGTCGTCCACTCAGCATCTGCTTGTGTAAGACCTGCAATTCGAATAAAAAGAAGACCCATCTGATACTTTTCTAAACGAATAACCAACGTTAACTGCTAATTCTTTCAATATATGTAAGAACATAAAAATGTTTGTGGTATCTGTAATCTGTCTTCACGCTAGGTGGAAGCTCAGTAAAGCGCCTACACGTGCTCTGTGACGCAGCCGAGAGAACGGAATGCCCCTTCCCAACGCCGTGTTACGCATGGCTTATTGAGCACACGTGTAGTTTTGGAATCGCGAACCAGCCGAACAGCAGTGACTGCGGCTTTACTGCCTGCAGCATCACTGCCTGCAGCGGTTGGTATAACGCCTACAAATATTACTGTAGCCGCCCGCACAAGTTGCCCCACAGAGTGAGGTATACGGATATTTGGCCTCACATTGCTCGCTGTTCAGCGCAGTGTGTGCAGGGAGAAGGCAGCGGCCGGATCTGCCAATGGAGCAACTTGTGCGGGCGGCTACAGTATCCGTTTCAGTTCGATCTGGTGGTGAACAGCAGTGCCAGTGGTTACCGTGAGTAGCATTGTTCTCACAGTTGCTGTCGTTTCGGTTCTGGTAGCTTGTCCCTTGTATACTGCTTGCAGGTGCAATACTCGCCGTGTCGCGTTGCACCAGAGCACCACTTACCGGTACAGTCGACAGAAACGATTCTGTTGCCGTTCTGCGCAGCACCATCATCAGTAATCCGTATCCGTGTAGAATGAGACGCGTGCGATTCTGGTACCATTTGTCCGACTACCCGGTTTTCGATTCTGTCAATCCACAAAACCAGTTTCACCTCAAAGTGTTTGCCGCCGAGCTTACCGGCATAGCCTTTCCCACGGATGTGATCTGGGGCAGAGAAGAGGATTATAACGGTGTACGGCCCAATGTTTGGTATCAGAGCGAGACACTTTTTCACCGTGCCAACAACGGGCCGTTCTTTATCTACTTGTTTGCTTACCACAATGACAACTGCCAAGCTAATGTCAAAACAATCACGTTGGACTACATTGATATCGCATATGGTCAGTAAGCGTTTAAGCACACCGAAAGCAGCCGTTACTGAACTGAAGTATGCATTATCTGTCCGCGGACATTGGATCAGATTTTATGGTTACCCGTTACTTTAATATGGGATGCGATCGGTTTTCAGTGACATTCGTACAAACAGAACGTACAAATACAAATACATACAGTACTTAGTATTACTAGCGGTGGTTGCGAACCACATTATTGCACGAGCGCGAGCGCCAGTAAAACTGGGAAATGGTATTGAAATTGTGGAATTGGAAAAGCGTGACGTACGCTCTTCGTGGCGTCAGACAAATTTTATGCTCTTGACGAAGACTTATTGCAGCACCTCGCGCTTCGCGCTCGGTGCAAAATAGCTGCACGCTTTAGGCTAGTTTCCTGCAGCACACTCAGCATTAGCATGCCTTTTCCCTGTAGTTCAGATAATCGGTTGCGCATCTGGACAATTGGGAATGTGACATTTCGCCGCACTCAACTGCGACGCACGACTTTTCGCCGCGAAGACATGTCGCCGTCGCCGCGAGGAACATGCGGGTGCGGGGACATTTCGGACTGGGACGTTTTATATATATGTATGGTTTGGGGACATTTTGCCGCCAGACAACTGGCAACGGATAATTCGTCGTGGGACGCTCGAGTCATGCGACGATTCGTCGCAATAACATTGAACATGCTAAGTTTTCTAAAGTTTTTAGGTTTTCCCGGTCCCTAGTTTTCTTTTTTGCTTTGTTGTGTTTCTTAGATTTCAGAGGTCTCTTATGTTTTCTTAGGTTTTTAGGTTATCTTATGCTTTTACATATATTGTTATGTTTCAAAGACGAAATGTCTCGGCATCAAAACGGCCTTGCGGCGAAATGTCTTGCAGCAAATATGTCCCCTTGGCTAAATGTTCCGCTTTGAAATGACCGCGGCGAGATGTATTTGCGACGAAATATCTGCGAGCAATTGTCCTGCTTTTAACTGTTCTTGGCGAAATGTCGCGGTGCCAATCGGTCGAATGCTGATAATCAATCGACAAATCAACCCAATGCCTGTTCACTGTAACTGTATTCGAATTGCTTCTCATTATAGCTGTACTTGAGACCAACGCCGCAAGATGTCCATCGACAACAACAACTCCAATGACGATGCCGCCAACGACGCATGTCAGAACGGTGTCAACAAACTCGATGCTATCGCAAACACCTGCAGTCGCCCTGTCCGCTTCACCGAAGCGCACGACAAAAAACCCCACAACGCCCACGACGTCGTTGGTTACAGCCGCAGCACCTACTATAACGACAACCGGTAAATTAACGAGGCCATAAAAGCTAACCGAAAACATCTAACGATTTTAAATTTAAAGAATTCAGGTCATGGCATACTGTAACACCAATAGTGCGACGATGTTGCAGGAGCCGCTACAACGCCATCCTCAATATTTATGGAGCTGCAGACTGTTACCAACATAGCTGCATATCCGAACAAAACTTCTTATTACACGCAGTCCACGCACAATGTTTTGAACGCGATTCGAAGGGCTGTCACAAATGAAACTATAGAATTCACTTTCAACGACATCGTGACAACCGCCAACTTCTTTCAAGAATTCGCAGAGCAGACAGATACTCCCAATGATTTACCAGAGGGTGCTGAAAAAGACGCTATAAGCACGCTGTTGCAAATTACCGACCAGATTGTCATTGCGGAGGAATCTGGAAAAGTAGCTGCAGTAACGGTCGAGAAAGACGGACAAGATGCCGCATCCACTATTTACCAGGCGCTGGAAAATATGTACAATAGTCTACCGCCAACGGAAGAACCTTATGTGTTTAACACAACGTTTTCTGTGACTTATGCGCATGTCGTTCAAATTAACGCTTCTTCGCAGTTTGATGATTGGCAGTTTAAGACTAAGCTAGAAATTGCCGGCTTTATTCGTGGAGCAATAACTATTGCTGGGGCAGAGGAGAACGCCGCCTCTGTAGCCACGATTGAATTCAAGGATGATGTTCTGCGGGAAGCTTTTGAGGAGCTGAGTGGGTTTTAGGGAAAAATCTTCATCTTTTACTTTTTTTATAACTTAACTTGTTTCTTTTTGTAGAACAAACAGCCAACGATTCGTGCGCGAAGTTCACGTTTTCTCTGTCCGCGATGCCGGCATTCAAGTTTGCCAAATACATTCCAGTCAGCCAAGTGCGGCAGAGGTCAAGTCCTCTAGTGCTATTAGCATCCGTGGGATATGCTTTGAAGCAGAAAGATATAGTAATCATTCGCCATAACGTGGATCGTTTGTTTAATGTAACGTCAGCAATCAGCATGGTTCCCAGTTGCTCTTTTTATGAATGGGTTCTCTCTTTAGTATCCATCCGGCGCAAGAAGGCAGCAACAATGCACATTTCTCAATTATACTACCAAACAATGGTCGGGAGATGGATGCAGAGTATCAGCTAAATATCCCAAATGGAACGATACGGTTGTAGAGTGTACGTGTGACCATTTAACGCCCTTCTCTCTTCTACTGACCCTGTGCGGCAGCTTATCGAATTCGTTCGTTTCGAAGGACAGACTTTTTACCCAGGATTTGGCCATCGTGACCACAACGACAACGGCTGTCTCCACTGTTTGTTGCCTCATTGCGTTAGTTATAATAATGTACATACCTTAATATTGTTAGATTAGACACACGGAGAACAGGCTACAGATGACCTGTAAAGCGGCTGTTTTCGTATATGGCGCTTAATGTAACAAGTGTAATCTGAAGGGAGAAGGCGCGAATATTGTGGACTTACATGTATATAAAGCGTAAAAAGAACTGCCCCAGAAGTTTTAATAGCCGAATTCAGTTTGAAGTTCAGTTTTAATAGCCGAATTTTTAATAGTGAAGTTTTTCAGAGCGAAAACGTGGCGTCGAACAATAGTTTATGACGAAAAGAACTTTCTCCGGACCGGCTTGTGGATAGCCCTGTTCGGCATGTATTGCTTTATAATCTCCTCGCAGTTGATGGTTTATTTTCCTGGATTATGCGGGCAAAAGTTTTGTCTGGCCAACGCGATTCTTGTGCACTGGTTTGCGTTAATGAGTGTTGCTTGGACGGCAGTTCAAACAGTGCGCATCATTCAGGTTGTGCGGCATCCAGAAGCGTATGAGAGAGAAAGGTCTCTTTCTAAAGACAGTTATCATGGCTTCAGGATAAAAAACTGGCTTGCGGCCACGCGTAAGTGTTTTGCTCTCTGTAACTCACGTGTTTCCTTATGGAATACAGAGTATATCTGGTTACGGCGATATGAGAAATTGCAGACATTTTGTTTTAGTTATCCCTTGCTTGTTTCCCCTTCTGGCCTCGATGCCGGAATTTTCCGAAAATTTGGCGTTACTTCTGGGTGGCTATGGTTACGCAAGCCATGAAAAATGGTATGTCACCACAACTGTAAGTTTTTTAGAAAACAATTGCCGGGAATAACAGGTGAATCTTGATTTAGGTGCTGGTTAGGTGACGATAATACCTGGATTCCATGGGTGACCTTTATTGTGCCTGTATCACTTGTTGCTTTACTTAACATCTTGGCGGTGATATTATACGTCATCTGTGAGTTCTGTTCACAAACCGATTGATCAGTTATGCCCGAAGTGCGATGTGAAGTCTCTTGGTCATTGTTACAGCAACCCGTAAACTCCAAAAGGACCTTGCGGCCCTCAACAATGCTAACGCCGTGCACGGGGATCCTGTTAAACGGAGACTGTACGGTGTTATCATAAATACTGGACTGATGGGTTGTGTATGGTTGAGCATGTGGTTGGCGCTCTTCTCATGCGTAATCGACGAAACGGAAACATTGCCGTATGTTTTCGTTATACTGCTCACGGTCGCGTGCGGGTCGCAGGCAGTCTACCTTGTTCTTTTCGAAGCTATTATTCCTGGGAAGCAAAAGAAGCGGCGGAAAGAATGCGATAATTATGCAAAGGACAGCAGTAGTTATGCAGCCAAACGGACGTAAACACGAAATCCATTTTAGAAGTTTCGAACACTGGTTTTGTTGTGGGAAAATATTCGGGCTAAAAAAGTCAAAATAACAGCTGAACAATTTAGTAATTAATGTTAGCAAAAATAGTAATTGCATTAGCTGTTAAATAGTATCGTGAATTCTGAATCCTGATCATCCTAGGCAGGTGTTTCGGCTTTGTATTCGGTGGGTTTTTCACTGTTTCCAAGGATTAATGCTCCTTAATTTGCACAGTGCCACATTACATTAACGAGTTCACCATTACGCAAAACTGAAAGTTCTCCGAAATTTTTTCCTGAGATGGTTTTAAGTCGCATAACGACTCTAATTTATTCAAATTATTTTATACATTTTTAGGGTGTCGGCATAGCATACAACGGAAGAAATATATATGTGAATTTGTGCAGTTTGTACACTTGTTTTCAGCTGTCATAATTATGTCTATTTTACGATGTCAGGCAGTAAAAGGTTGAAGGTTAATCATACATGACAGGAGAATCACGTTTCACTGCAATTTCACCGTGACATTTCAGCAGGTAAAGCAAACGCCTGAATTGCTTTCGGTTACCAATACCATATCGATAAGCCCTGTAGACACGAATTAAGGAAGCGGAAATCAGAATATGCTGGTGTATTGTACTCGTACTTTCCGTTGTTGGATTCAGATAAAACAGGAAACATAAACGAAGGAATTCCGGATCAACCATGAACAAAACAATGTCATAGTTCTACAGCTTACTAGTGGCTATCACCGGAAGTGCGGCATAGTTGGAAAATGTTATCAGCGATACTTGACGCAGATATGCGATTGTGGCATGCACGATGTACAAAGTCGCAAACTTTATTTTAAGGCATACATAAACAGGGTTCTTTTTGAGCTAAATAAACACTACGGACGAGAAGTAGTACCTGACAGAGATAAAACATTAAGTTTTTATCGCGAAATTTCTGCGAGAACATGTAGTTTATGTTTATTTTGATTAAACCGTATATTGTATTGCCGAATGGATTTTGCTGCAGATAATGTTTGGGGAGTGGTACTCTTATTGCTAGGTACGATGTCTTTTCTGCACACCACGGTCGAGCATACGCTACTTAGGTGAAATGTGTTTCGTGTTTTCGTGTTTTCGTACTCTCGTTTGATAAATTTTGACCATCATCAATCAAATTAATTATTACTTATTATTACGGAGTCTTTGTTAATGTCGAATATTAACGATTAAGAGCTTTTAAAAATTAGCTAGACGAATGGAAAAAAGAGTTAGACATGCGAGCTGTTTACTACCGTAGCGCACTTTTCCGCGGACCGCAACGAACAAGAAAATGCTACAACTGATCAGATCATAATTACTGGAGCGCTTGTTTGCTTCTGTAGGCACAGTCCCGATTACACTCGGCGAGGGAACGGAGCGAGCGATATGCCCCCTACCAACGCCGTGTTACAGCTGGGTAAATTTAAACGGAGGGACTTGTGATTTGGGAACCGAGATTCAGCCGGGCAACACTGTCACGAGCATTGACGCGTGCCGGAGTTGGTTTCGTGGATATAAATACTACCCGTAGCAGTTCGATTTGGTGGAAAATGACCAGAGCTCTGATGACAAAATTCGTAAGTGGCAATGATTTTTTCATAATTGCACTTTGGAAATAGTCATTTCTCAAGTACCGAGCCGACTTACGTCTTGTCTCAATAATTTTCCCTCTTGTCTCTTGCAGTTGACGTGATGGCTTTGTCGCGTTGCACCAGGCGACCTTTCGACGCAGATTCCGAAAGAAATGATTCCGTGGCCGTTTTGAAGAGCCCGAACATCGGTGTGACAGCTTGTACAGTGTGGCGCGTGACATTTCGATATCGGTTATCGGATTTCCCAGTGTTCGATTCTGTCAATCCTCAAAGACAGTTCCATCTCAAAGTGTTTCTCGAGGATTATGGGCAAACATTTCCTGGTGAACTCCTCTGGGGCAGAGAAGAAGATTACGATGGCGTTATTCCTAATATTTGGCATTCTGGCGAAGCAGTTTTCCACCGTGACTAAAGCGAGCCGTTCGCGTTATACTGGTTCGCCTATCACCGACAACTGTGAAGTTAATCTTAAATCGATCGCTGTGGACACCAAGAGGATTCAGTATGGTCAGTAAGCGTTTGCGCGTCCATCCGTCAGTCAGTCCGTCAGTAGGCGCCTGGTATTATGTAAAAAATTGTTCGCCCGTTGGTCTAACAATGAACACTAATATCACAGCCTACCTAAACGTTTTCCCAACCCTCAGTCGGATATCAAAAGCCGCATTATTCAGTGATTTTAACGCAGACAATAATCTAATCACAAGTACCATGTTGTAGCGACAAGTGATTTTCCCAGTTCCGGCATCTGCCCAACCAAAACCGCAGCTCCACCATCATCACCAACCCCAGTTACAACCAAACGGACTCCAATCACAACAACATCAACCACTGAAACGGAAACTCCGGATTCAGCAACTCCAGCAGAACTGCAGTCCAGCACCCTGAATCCCGTATCATACCGATGTGAAGCTGGCCCCGGCCATTATCGCCCGCTGCACTAACGGTGTAGTCACTATGCCCTCACTGCAACCTGATCTCAGTGACGCCAGCACTGCGGTGTTTGACGGGGACAATTCTTACCGGTGCCGAACACACTTGCGCAATCTGCACATGTGGTTGCTGGAGAAAGCCCAAAGACGATCGCCGTTGCACGGGCCGGTAGAGGTCACCTGTAAAAGAGGCGTGATGGTGTTTTCCCAGTCAAACCCGAACATGGCGCACTCAACGAGTTTGCAGTTCCATGCGTCGTCGCTGGATACAAAATGCCGGGTCGTCTTCGCCGGATTTCTTGCCGAATTGGTTTCCATTAGCCAGATACCGAAGTAGCTGAAGGCTGAAGCTAATTTAGGGATATGTTTTATTAGACTGATATGTGTGATTAAATGTCATAGTTTATAAGTAGAGGTTCATGTTTATTGGTGGTTTTGCACTGGTCTGCTACGCACTGTGGCAGAACAGATATTGACGCTTATTTTAATTTTAATGCCCTAAAATTTCCTCACCCAATTTTAAGAATTCCACGATCATCCCATCCGGAAGTTGGATACTTGTTGTGTTTTAAATAAAAGAAACCAAACTAAATCAAACCGTGTGTCCAGTTTTTGTTTTCATCGTCTCTCTTACGTCAAAACAGCGGGGATTTTCTTGAGAATCGAGGCTCCGGGCACAACGTTCCATTACTTCAGACAAAATATTTTTTTTCCTACAGTTTTACAAGATGTTTTTGAAACTCTGAATAAGTAAACGGCATAAATTGGCAATTTGCAACCGAAAAATTAAAATGTCAAATCACGGAAGGCACAGTCTTGGCTCGCATAAAAATAAAAATTTACTTCAGCCTTCTTCATAACGCTGCACCAGTGAGGCGCCAAACCGCCTGATTTCTATAAGACGAAAACAGCGCTGATAATGAGCATACGGCAATGTATTATCATAAACCGGCGCATTGTTTACCGCATTAAGTAATGCAGACGGAAGTACAGATAATAAAGCGAAGCCGGTCGCAGCTCTCACGTCAGAAAGGAGGCTTGTACTATCGCCTACAGCATAGCGTTATCAGCTGAGTATTGATACAAAAAATCTGCTCGCAAAACGTTCCTGCACATGCAAACAGACAGTAACGTATTTGTAGTTTGGCTTATTTCCGCTTTGCATCATACTCCTTCAACGGAAAAAATTATGTCATAATTATTGTTGCGCTTGTTGCGCGTATTGTGGTACAGTAGTGGGGAGCGCCGAGTCGCCGACATAGAAAGGCAGGATACATAACAGTGCAGATATAACAGAATAGCGCCCTTGAAGAGCCGGCCAGTTCCTGAATGGATTTCATTGTGCATACTGGTTTGCGCGTGATGCTGGCGCTTTCGTTATTCGGTTAGATTTTTTTCTTTCACTGGCTTCGTCATGCGTTACCGTGCAGTTTTGCTTACATACTGTAAAATCCTGTTATTTCTAGCTTATTTTTAATGCAATCTTCGGTATAGAAGCTATTAATATTTTAATACATGAACACAAATTTTAATTTAGGAACTATTAATATTTTTTAACACATTAATAATAATATTATTATTTTCATACGGCAATTTAATACATTTCTTAAAGAATATGATCAGATCCTGAGTAATTGCAATGGAAAACAGTAATATTGATACCAATACCGGGAGTTTAATGTCCTTGGCTATGTTTCAAACGGCAGTGCGGCACTATTCCGGTGTGTGCGTTCATCCATATCTACATTCTGCTAATGGTTGTCTGTTTCGTGTAGGCGCAACCTCAATAATGCGCTTTTGTGTGCTCAGTGAAGAGACTGAGCGCACGTATGTCCTTTACCAGCGCCGTGCTATATATGGGAACTGTACAATGGTTTAAACTGCTCCTTTGGAACCGTATCCCAGCCAGACAGCACCACCTCCAGCATTAGAGAATGCACAGGCTGGTTTCGCGCCCACAATTACTACCCATACCAGTTTGATTTAGTGGACAAAGACCCACGCTTCGAAGACGGTACGTATCATTCCAGTTGGGGTCACTCGTTTAAATAATTCTCATTTTGTGCGCATTGCAGTTGATGTGATCGCTTTGTCGCGTTGTACCAAACGATTTTTTGGCGTCCATGAAAGAAACGATTCTGTAGCTGTCTTGAGAAGTGCAAGCGTTACTCCAAGATTTTGTTCTGTATGGCGCGTGACGTTTTGGTATCGGCTGTCCGATTACCCAGTCTTCGATTCTGCCAGTCCACAAAACCAGTTCCACCTTAAAGTGTTTGTCGAAAATACTGGACAAGCATTTCCAACTGAACAGATCTGGGGAAGAGAAGAGGATTATAACGGTGTTCTTCCCAACGTTTGGTATTCCGGCCAAGCTGTTGTTCATCGCTCCGAGATGTTCGCATTATACTGGTTCGCTTATCATAACGACAACTGTGAGAGTGATCGCAAATCAATCGCTCTGGATACCATCACATTCCAACTTGGTCAGTACAAATCTACACACCCTGTCGCAGAAGGTTAATATGTCGTGTGTAGCCGGCAGGAAGGTTGACGGGTGGTTGACGCTCAATGAAGGTCATCAACCTTTCTCTAAAGGTCATCAACCTTTCTGATTAGCCTCTTAAGGTCATCAACCTTTTCGATCAACCTTTTCTAAAAGTCATCAACCTTTTTGCAGAAAATTTTGCGTCTTTTTGGCGAAGGTTATCCTCATAGCTGCCCAACATAACATTCACCGATTTTATTTTTTTGCTTACTGCTTGTCTGTCTAAGCTTATTCAACCTTAACATTTTCTTATATTTCTTTCTCGCTGTCCATTGATTTAAAAAGGACGCCGGGTGCGTATTCGAAGACATTGCGGTTATACGAAATCACTTGGGTCATAATAGTATGCGCTCAGAGTAGTCGAAGCCACAGTGCTAGGACTGTCCTTTGCTAAATGTTCAGCTATACGAACTAGAAAGAAGTACCGAATTAGAGATTGACAATTCGGAGCACAGCACTTCAAAATTAAGGCGAAAGCCGCAGATCTCTTTATTTGGTTATCGTGTTCGCGCTATTTGTGCACTCTATCCGTAACAACTTTCCGAACCGCTGTGCTTTAGGACTAAAAACTTATGAACACTACCGCCTTTTGCATATTAATGGAGACCGAGATTTGGGCGTTATTGCACTCCTCGTTTTAGTGATGGTTGTATTGGTAGTCCACCTGTCTGTCGAAAGTTCTAAGCCTTTCTTTAAAAATCATCAACTATTGTGTGAACTTTATCAACCTTTCCAGAAAGTTGATCAACCTTTCTGCAAAGGTCATCAACCTTTCTGCAAAGGTCATCAACCTTTCTGTAAAGTTTATCAACCTTTCTTCAAATTCCATCAACCTTTTTTTAAAGGTCATTCCTTCGTTTTGCAAGAGCTCATGATATGATGCCTCACAAAAAAACTGAGTTGCGGTCAGTGGTATCAGTCGATAGCGATGGCAAAATAATTAGAAGAAAGACCGACTGCTATTTCTTATTTCAGCTGATCTTCATCATAGCTGCATTTAAATATATTTGCATGCGTAACTGGCAGAAAGGTCGATTGGTGGATATAGATGTTTAATGAATTCGCATCCACCCATCTGCCGAGCCTACCCGTCGGTGTCGATTGATCTAACAATGACATCATTGGGTGCATTCAAGCCCACTTGTAAGTGTCAGTGCACGCCATCACTGCTAGGTTGATGCAGTTATCCATATGTATTGTAACAGTAGCCGATCTGGCTGCTGTTCTAGTGGGTTGGCGTGTTGACCTTACCACGATGTTGTGTAGGCTGTTGGGACGAAAGGGCTGGCACGACCGGCAACGATGCTGGCCGGGACTGCTCTTACTGACGTAACGCAATTACTGAACGTAACAACGGAAGTTCACGGCATGTTTAATGACAAGAACAATGCAACACAGGGAACAAGGATTAGACAAGAGTTTAACAAGCAGAACAAGCTGATCAAGCTGATGCAAGCTGTAACAAGCGAGGGCAAGACTGAATTCTAGAAATTGTGAAGAAGAACAGCTAGCCGGTAAAATAAAGAGAATTCATAACGGCATGATGAACCATGACTGGGTGGTCTTATGGGTTGTACAACTTTTATCGCTACAGTATTTATCACTCTGCCTGCATGCCGTTTGACGTTTTTATCTTCCAGTTAAATCGTTCCCTTTAAAAATTTTAACAGAACCCTAGAGATAGACGAGAAGCGCATCAGGCGACTTTGCCCATTAGCTGGCTCTCTCCGTTGACTAATGCGTTCCCCACCAGCCTTTTTCTCTTGTATAGATCTTGGGAAACTTCAAGATCAACATTGCAAAAGGGAGAGAAAACATTTTTTAGAAGGTTTTGGTACCGCATAAATTGCTGCTCGAGGCGAAAAACGCAAATGAGAGTAACTTTTTGAAAGACGATAGGCTTAAGATTCATTCTATGCGTAGCACCCAAAATGTGTTTTCCTGCGTACCTGTTTTCAAAGTGCTCTGATTTACGTTATGCGCTCGCAACAACGTGACCTCATCGCACAGACATGATATCGACCCGTCAAGAAGTCGAGCTAGCGTTCTGCTATACTGTCTTAGTTTTCTTAGGTATCTTAGTTCTATTGGATTTTTATATTACTTAAATTTTCTTCAATTTTTTAGGTTTTATTTGTTTTCCTTAGCCGTCAAAACAGCCGTTGCGTTTCCTACAACAGACTAAAATGCTATCTTACAACGGCAGTTAAGCGGGCTGGCCTTGTTAAGTCCCGAGTTTTACGACAGTGTACATACTGCACTTGATTATGAAAAAAGGCTGCAGTGCTCGTGCACTGCAATTGTGTTAATAAAATCCTTGTCCTTGCAGCCAGAAGCGCAAACGCCAGCCAGGACGATGCAATATGCACGAATTCCTCGACTGTGAACCTGGATGCAGCGACAAATGCGACTACTCAAACAAGTACTTCCGCATGGACTACATCGCAACCAGCTACACTGCTTACCTCAACGGAACACACGACAACAGAACCCACAACGTCCATGACATCTTCCCCTTCACGAGCAACGCCCACTACGACGACAACCGGTATTTCAAAACACTTGCATACTAAAGTTATTAACAGAATGAGCGAGCGATCAGGAGAAGTTAGTTGTGTTGATAACGTAAACCTGCCTGTTCGTCTTTGTGCTGCAACGCCACCATGGTACTGTGCCATCAAAATGATCGTTTTACAGGGGTTCATACTATTCAACCCAATTTCTCCGCACACCTGCAGAACGCTATCAACAAGGATACATATCCGAATAACACTTCTTACTACACGCAATCGACACACCATGTTCTGAACATTATTCAAAGCGCTGTCAACAACGAAAGTGTGGAACTCACTTTCAACGACATCTTTACAATTGCAACCTACTTTCAAGAATTTGCCGGAGCAGAAATCCCCGATGATTTACCAGAGGGATCTCAGAACGACGCCTTAAATACGCTGTTGCAGATCACAGACCAGATAGTTATTGCGGAGGAATCTGGGAAATCAGCCGTAGCGGCAACAAATGACGGATATGATGCTGCATCCATTATTTACCAGGCATTGGAAACACTGTACAACAATCTACCGCCAACGGATGCACCTTATGTCTTTAACGAAACGCTTTCATTCACATTTGCGCATGTTCTTCAAATCAACGCTTCTTCGCAATTCGATGATTTCAAATTCCACACAAAGATGGACATTGTCGGCTTTAACCGTGGAATACTGACTTCAGCCGGCTCAAATTTAAGCAGCGTTCCTGTAACTTCGATTTCGTTTAAGGACGATGTTTTGCGGGAAGCCTTCAACGAGCTAAGTGAGTTCGTGAAGGAAATATGTTTCTTTTGCAAGTGCAGACATTAGTTTCTTTTGTAGAACAAACAGCCAGCGAAACCAACGTAAAATTCGCATTCTCTCTATCCGCGATGCCGGCATTCAAGTTCGCCCGATACATTCCAGCCAGTGAAGTGCGACAAAGGTCAAGTCCTTTAGTATTATTGGCATCAGTGGGACACAATTCGAAGCGGAAAGATATAATAACCGTTCGCCACAACGTCGACCAGTTGTTTAATGTAAAATCCGATTTGCTTCTCCAGTCCGTAGTTACGTTACCGAGTATCTTTTCCAGTTTCCGTCAGGAGCAAGGAGACAGCACCAGTGCATCTTCCTCGATTATACCTCTAAGCAGTGGTCGACAGATGGATGCAGAGTAACGGCTAAATACCCCAAATGGAGCGATACGGTTGTGGAGTGCACGTGCGACCATTTAACGCCCTTCTCTCTTTTATTGACGCTATGTGGCAGCTTATCCAACTCGTTCGCCTCGAAGGATAAACCGTTTACTCTTGATTTGGCCATCGTGACCACAATGACAACGGCTGTCTCTACACTCTGTTGCCTGATTGCCTTGGTTATAATAGTGTAAGTATGGGACACTTGATAAGAAGTTGGTTGTTAATTACTATTTACTACAGATAGTGTTTTCAGTGTAAAAACTTGGCGAAGAGAAGTCGTCTATGACGAAAAGAACTTTATTCGAACCGGATTGTGGATAGCGCTGTTCGGGATGTACTGCTTTATAATCTCCTCAAAGTTGATGGTTTATTTCCCGGAATTGTGTGGACAGCAATTTTGTCTAATCAACGCCATTCTTGTGCACTGGTTTGCGTTAATGAGTGTTGCTTGGACAGCTGTTCAAACAGTGCGCATTATTCAAATTGTGCGGCGTCCGTTAGAACATGGAAAAAGAAGATCGCTTCCTACCGACAATTATTACGGATTCAACATAAAAAACTGGCTTGCAGCGACACGTAAGCTCTGTTGTAGTGTTTTTGGGACTATAGAATCAGTTGCTTCCATTTCTGCTTTCATATAATTGGTTGATATGATTTCAGTTATCCCCAGTATATTTCCTTTCCTTGCCTCGATGCCGGAGTTTTCCGAGAGCTTAGCGCCCCTTCTGGGCGGATATGGCTATGCAAGCCATGAAAAATGGTAACCAGCAAATACGGCGTTTTTTTTTGCCGGCAGAACTGTAAACAGAGTTTCGTTATAGGTGCTGGTTGGGCGACGATAATACCTGGATACCATGGGTGACCTTCATTGTGCCTGTATCACTGGTTGCTTTGCTCAACGTCTCAGCCGTGATATTATACGTTATCTGTGAGTTCTATTTTCAAAATACGAAGCACTTAATTACTTAATTAATCTCTGTTTATAGCAACCCGTAAACTTCAGAAAGACCATTGCAGTACTAGACAAGCGTAACGGTGTGCACGGGGATCCTGTTAAGCAAAGACTTCACGGTGTCATCATAAACACTGGCCTGATGGGTTGTGTCTGGTTGAGCATGTGGCTGGCGCTGTTCTCATGCGTTGTTGATGAAACCGAAACGCTACCCTACGTGTTTGTTATCCTGCTGACAGTCGCTTGCGGATCGCAAGCAGTCTACTTAATCTTCTTCGAGGCAATCATTCCGGATAAGCAGCGGAAGCGTCGGAATGGTTACGATATTTATATCCAGGGGAGCAGTGATGTATCGACACGAACTTAACCGTAAACATGGAACCGTCTGAAACGTTAGATTTTTGTGAAAATTTTTGGGCTCATGTTGATCATAGGACCAATTTTATATGCTGACTATAATAAACGTGAAAAAAAGCGTACACTGTTCTTATATAATATTATTGCAATCTAAGCTCAAAATCGACACCTGGCACACCTCATAAAGTTATAATCACCTGATTTCCGATTGTGGCAAGTGGAACAGCCAATAGCATTCTGCTTTCAGTATTTCGTCGTCGTTTTCAACAATAAAACTACTGTGTTATTTCATCCGGTACATACCGGTATCACAGTAATGTGCAAGACATTTGAACTGGTTATTAATTTGTACCAGAGTCATGTATTTGCCAACCGGATTAACCTGTGCAAGCAGCTTTCACCCGCAGACGCTAAATACGCGAAAGCAAAACAACAGATATTATGTTTGTCTTTCGAACATGTAGATTTGCCTTCCGTGAATAACCACTGTTTTAATTATAAACAGATACCTATAGGGAAACAAAAATGAAATACGAGTCCGGCGAGTGTAAACACGTCGTCGTCGCTGAGCACAAGAGCTGGAGTGCGGATTGGCTGCTCGGCAAGGGACCGATGTAGGGAGCGAGAAAATGTCATGGCACGCAATAATAGTCTCGGTTGACTAAATCATTGGCCATGGCTTTTATTTGTTTGTCTTTCGCACTGTATCGTTCGTCTGCTTCTGGCAACCATTTTGATGTTGCAAGTTTGTCAACGATTAAAGTGAACAAAAATTAAAAAATTACTTGAAAACACCGCAACTGGACCTCCTCAGATCTATTCGATGTAGCGCGGCCCGGCATTAATTAGGAGTAACGCTGCGCTCGTTGCTGCTGTTGGAATTGCTGACAGGATTCTTTGAACTCTTATCAGAAATTATTCCTTGGAATACGATGATGTAGATCGCCTGAGATCCACAAGCAACAGTCAACAGTAAAACAAAGACATAATTCCACGTCGGATCAACAATAAAGCAGGAGAAGAGCGCTAACCACACGCTCAACCAGATCAATCCCATCAAACCGGTGTTGATGATCACTCCGTGAACCCTCTGCTTAACCAGACCGGCATATTCCCCATTACGTTCTTCGGAGACCGAAAGCCTTTTTCTGCGCTTCTTCTTTGCTAACAACAACAGAAAATTCTCAGAGCATTCTTCAGTTCGTAAACGTAGCGCGAATACTGAAAATAGTAGAATATAGCGCTCCGTAACGGCGTCTGGTTTGGAATGGTAACTCACTTATCTCGCTGACCATGTACACTAGGACTGTCGCTATATTCAGCACGGCCTGCAGTCGATAGAGGTGCAATAAAGGTCACCCATGGAATGATTGGAATCCACGAATGTTCGCCGTTCAACCAGCACCTACAGATGTATGTAGACTGTCTGATTACTGTATTTTTGCGCAGTGCTGGATGTAACTTCATCTGGCGGTTGGTTACCATTTTTCGTGATGTGCATAGCCGAAGCCACCAAGGAAGCTTGTTATGTTACCGATGTTCTCAAAAATATGTGGCATCGATGCGAGCAAAGGGAACACGCCAGGGATAACTAAAATACACAGTCAATCCCAAATATCGCAAGATCGAATCGATTATAGACTTCGAAGTTCGAGCGAGCTTCGCAAACAGATGCGCCAGTTAAAAACAAACATATTTCTTACGGCTAGTGGCTAACCACGTTTTCAGCTTAGTCGCGTGACGTCTGTCTCCTGGAAGGTGTCTCCTTTTCCAATACTGTTCCGGATAAAGTATCAACTGGATGACACCGACAGTTTGGACTAAAGTCCATCCCACACTCATCAGAACAAACCAGTGCACTAAAATACCGCTAGCTAAGCAGAACTTCTGTCCGCAGATTTCAGGAACAAACACCATCAGCTGCGAGAAAATGGTAAACAGATACATTCCGAATAGCGCCATCCATAAACCCATCCGAGTACATGTCACTTCATCAAAAATTACTCGTTTCCGAAAAAGCTTTACCCTGAAAAAAATTATTGTCATAAATACGTACCAAAATTGTCTCCATCATTTCTTATTACGTTCTCGAAAAACAGCTTACATGATTATCAGCAAAGCTAAGAAGCAACAGACAGTGGAAACACGAAGTCGTCGCGGTGGTTACAACAGCCAAATCCAAAGTGAGTGGTTTATCCTTTAGAATAAAGGATTTGGACAAGCTGCCACACAATGTCAGCAGAAGCGAGAAGGGCGTCAAATGATTGCATGTGCATTCCACGGTTGTGCCGTCCCATTTCGGATGTTTAGCGGTTAAACGGCACCCGTCTCCTGACCATTGTTGAGAAGTGTAATTCAGAAAGATACACTTATGCTGTCTTTTCGCTCCAGATGGATACTGTAAGGGTTATGGTTGGGGCAGCGTTTAAAACTGTTTGTCAGAGTGTTTCGACTGCTTACATCAAACAGAACATCCACGTTGTGCTGAATGGTGATTATATCTCCCTGTTTAACATTTCCAGTCATAGAAGCTAGCAAAACAATCGGGCTTGTCCTTTCGTTCGAGTTCGTTTGTCGGGATGAATTTGGCGAACTGGAATGCCGGCATCGCGGACAGGAAAAGACGAAACAACTGGAGATGCTTTCGCGGTTGGTCCTGAAAAACATTTGCGACTGCAGTGCTAGGCATCTCTTAAGATTGAAGTTGTTGCACCCACTTGAACTTTCGAATGCCTCTTCAAGCGCTGCGTCTCTGAATGCAATACTTGCGATCGAAGAAGAACTGTCATTTGAGCTAGTAACAACGCCCATTGCCTTATCGAAGGCACTAACTTCCAGTTTCGTGCTCCGATTAAGGTTGGCAAACTGCGCAGAACTATCGATCAGCATAGCATGGACATGAACCACAGAGAAAGTATTATTAAACACGTATGGGTCTGCTTTAGATGGCAGTTTGTAGTACATCTGCTCCAGTGATTGGTAAATGATCGCTGCCGCATTGGGACCGTCTTCACTGTTAGCAGGTAATGCCAATTTTTCAGTGTTCTCCGCAATGACCATCTGGTCCGTTATCTGCAGCAATGTTTCAACTGCAGCTTGTTCTGCTCCTTCAGGCAAATTTGCTGGTACGCCTGATCCAGAAAATTTTCCAAAGAAGTGCGCCGTTTGCAGAATATCGTCAAAACCAAGACTTAACGAGTCATTTTGAACGGCACTGTGAATGACAGCGAGTACATTGGATGGCGACTGGGTAAAGTAGGCTGTCTCGTTAGGACAGGTGTTGTTACTCATGGCCATCTCCAGTGCCACAGATACTGGCGATTTTGTAGGGGGAATTTCTGCGAAGAATTTGATAAGCAAACGACTTTATAATCTGCAAGAACAATGTTTACTTGGGATCACTGTTGAAGGCTCCGGAGTCTTAGTTGCTGTGACAATACAGTCGCTGCAGTCAGTGGATCGGTCAATGTCGTGGCGAGTGATTCTGCAAACGCAAATACAATCTTTTTATGGAGTACTGTACTTCTATAAAGAGGGCTACATTAAATTTTATGAGCAATTGCAGCGTCATTTTAGGTCAACTGATTTGGTGGCAATCAGCGTCAATAGGTCCTGGAATACTTAATTTACATTCAAATTTCGGTATATACCTGACGATGTAGTGTAATGCAACGTTTCCGTAGTCACTTCGGAAGTTGCGTTTGGGAAAACCCTTGAGCTGGATGAGACGGTAACGTCGGTGGCAGATAAGGGCGAAGGAGAGGCCATCGTGGAGGTTTTCGAATCTGTGGTGGTTTCCGTTGGTATCGTGGTGCTCCTCAAAGTTGTTGTGGGCTCTGATACAGTTGTAGAAGAGGAGCTAGTTGTAGAAGATGTTACGGGGGAGCTAGTTTCAACTGTCGAAACAGTGCTTGCAGTTGTAGTTGTCGATACAGTAGTGATCATGGTGGTTGATTCTGAGCAATTTCTTACTAAAAATACAAGGAATGTATACAAATCTAAATTTCTGCGGCAAAAACCGCAAGTTTTCGGTAGCTTGTGGTCAGCCAACAATCGTTCACGAACCTGCTTTGACGCTGATAGCATCCAGCATTATGGGACTCACACTGAAGTCGCAGTTATTGTGGTCGGCCAAAAACGAAAAACTAACTCGCGGAGACATAACGTGGAAATCCTCTAAATCCCCGCTTTCACTGGAGAATATGGAATCGATATCCGCCTGCAGGACGGGCACGTCTACATAGTGCCAAACGTCAGGGGAGAAGGCGACAGGATCCTGCTCTGATAGTTTCCACAGTGGACGCAAGCGCATAAGGTCCCCTCCCGAGATGTAGCCGCCCGGGTCTGGATAACCGTCGTCGATTGAGGGAATCCAAAAATCATTCCGGTTGCCACCTTTTTTCAAGTCGTCTTTATAGTAAATTTCGATGTCCACCTCGAGATCGATTGGCTCTATCGGTTGGTCAATAGGTGTGGGGCGACGCAGCTGATACCAAAAAGACAATATAACCGGGCTACCTGATTCCCGGTTAACTCTTGGGGTTCTTAAGCGCGCCCTCGCCTCGTATCTAGGGACCGCAGTGTTGTCGAGGCCGGGTTTCAAAGTGCAACGCGAAACAGCGATTACAACACCTAAAAGCAGTTATAGAGAGGCGCAGTTTTAATGCCGGAGGCTCTAATTTATTGTTTTTGAATCTGTAAATTTTTGGAGTATAATTCGTTGATCGCAAGTTACTGACAGACACTAAAACAGCAAGAAATGCAATTTGTAAAGAACAGTACTGCAGTAACACCGGAAGTTGAAACAGCACATACGAGACTTACCCACTTCATTCGTACCGCTTTCCTCGTCTTCAATTAAATCGAACTGGTATCCGTCCCGCCCATACATCCCGCTCCCGTTGTAGTTGCTACGGTACCATGTGGCGTCTGGCTGCGAACAAGCCGCAATGACTCCCTCGGACGCGTCCGGCTGCGCTACCGTTCCCATATCACATGACGCCAACGGCTCCAAACACTCTGTGGGTTGTTGCACAGACTTCGGCTTCATCACTGGACACGAACCGATTGAGAGAACGCAGTCACAGCTGAAACCGATCAGAATACGATTTTGTCTACTTAAGATTGTATCATGTATGTAATGTATTTTTAACACTTTAATACCGATTTATACTGCGACATAACAGTCAATCATTCCACTACAGCCATTACTGCACAATCAAGAATGCACCATATGTAATGTAGTGTAAGGTATTATTTATTCGGGTTGAGCTCAATAGAACTGACAGCGTCCTAGTTCAAATCTAAATGCCTGTGTTCACTTCCTCGCTAAGTTTTATCTATTGTAGTCGTGATAAAACGAGAATTCGACCATGAAGTCAAGTGTTGATAAAAATCATTCGTCCGTCGGCTTTATGACATGAGTGCTAGCAAGTTATCCAAGTTGTCACAGCTGTATCACTTTGTGACGTAATAATTAAGTACCATAAAATACTATTATTTCCACTGAGCATTTACTTATATAAAGTCATACCGAATAATACCATCTGGGCTACGCGAAGGTGCCCGGTCATTCTCGTGATGACTTCGATGCCAGGGATCTGCAACACAGTGTCGAAATTTGTTACTCCTAATTTAGCCACCTATGCGTTCATCCAAACAGCTAAGCATTGCATATCATTCTTAAATAAATCGTAATCGGCAAATTTAGACGAGATTCTTTGATATACTGTTCAGACTGATGCGAGATGTCAGTATAGTTTCTTGTTATGAAACAGAAGTTGACAAGGCGCGTATTTTATGCGTCGATTAGAGTGATTCATCTCATGGCTTTAATGGGCACGCGAAATGTGAAAAAGTATTAGTTTTGTAAAGACGGTATTATTGCATAACTTTCCACCACTTGGCGCATTCTTAGTTCTACAATGTCTCTTGTTCAGATTGAGACGCATACAAGACGCGGAATTATCAATGAAATAAGTACAATTAGGGTACGTTTTCGTAGATACCGGCAAGATGAAACCGTTTCATTGTTTGCATACCGCCGTCCTGTGCGATAACGTTATCAACAACAATAGGTATACGCATTAGGTACAAGTTGTACCTACCGCGTATACCTACCGCGCATGACGTACAACTTGATACGCGGAGTGATCGGCACCTACTACCACGTACTCCCCAGAAAATCTATGGCACTCGTAGTACATCCGCTTTGAATCTGCCGATTCGGCTGGTTTCGAGAGAGAGATCGTATCACTGCTATATGCAAGTGTCATGCCGGCGAATTATAAGGCAACTGGCACGCATCCGCCGTCCAGTCGACAAACTAAGAAAGTTTACTGTATCTGTACTTGTAAAACCAACTAGCTGGTATTTTACCGGCATAGTTCTTGGATCTCTGCATATTTCTTGACTCCCTGAGCGTAGAGACTCTGGATCGAGCAAAATCAGTTCAGGCAACAAAGACCGTATGCAAGTAGTAAACGAGAAAATTGCTTGGGCTACACTTGCGAACGTCGTGATGCTTAGCTATTTTGGTGGCTGCTCTGATAAAGAAAGAAAAAGTAAAGAAAAAATCAGATAGAACGAATAAAAACGGTACGTAACGTTGTTGATGCCGCTATCACAATCCCAATTTGGTACCAAATGTTGTTGCTCATAAAGCGCATTATTTGCTTTATCTCTACCGCGCAACACAAAAGCCAATATCTGTAGAGTGTGCTTGAAAACTGGCAAAAGCGCGATATTTCACGCCAATCTGTGTTTCCACTGTGTCGGAATTCTCGCTCATAGAAGACTTCGCGCTATGTAATAATATTAGCTTCGCTTATACAATCAAAAACATGGCTGTTCGTCTCGTTAGCGCTTTACTGGGTGGGAACCGATTAAAATTCTGCCAAAGCTCCAGACTTAATATTTAATTAACCTGGTTGTATTAACAGCGGCGTACTTCCTGGTTGTACTATTTGCCGCCTGTGCGGAGCGAAATGAGCGGCTGCAGATACGCAACGGTAGCGTGCGGTCTGCTGCAGCGGTCCGCTTCAACCCGACGCTGGATATCCGCGTAATGCATTATTACTACGACGGTAACTGCGATCCTGAGTTCTGGAATTCCCGTAAATGCGATCCACATTTCACCATCACGTACAGCTGGGTTAACACCGAGGGCATTACCCGGTAAGTCGCCCGGCGTGCTCCTGTAATTGTTAAAAAGAAGCTAATCAATATTAACCACTACTTGGTCGTCACTCAAGGCAGTCAAATTCTTGACGGATTTGTTGCACTTCAAGTTTGCATGCTTAGTCAACAAAAAATATCTATCCAAAAATGCTTAATCTAGATTGCGAATCCCAGTAACAAAATTATCATACGTAGGTACCCGCGGTTCTGCAAAACCAGTTTGGCATTAGGTTTAACAAGGTTTACCTTTGAAGTGCGCAGTGTGACCACGCTTGCGCTTTTTCGGTTATTTTAATGGCTTGTTGTCAATTAAAAAAGTACTGATTGGACGGCATCGCTACTTATGGTTGAAATGTGATAAGCGTTTTCACGGTTTTTAAAAGAGTCAAAAACTGAAATCTGGAAGGCAATCCTGTAATTCATGCTGCAACCGCCCATAAAGACGGCAATCTATAGAAATGCCCCTGTAACGGATTTTGGTTTGGATTATGTATCGGCGTCTCTGATCTGAATAATTATCCATTTCAATGTTTTTTTTCTCCATTTATCCCTTTTATGAATGAAAGCTATTATATACAAACATCCCATGTTTCCCTATATGGTGTATTCATAGAATATAGTTAATAGTTAGCTGTATGTAGCTGTATACTGTATATAGCTAACGTATACACTACCCGTACTGGCTTATATACTGTATATAGCTAACGCTACCCATGACAATACTGTGATGTGTACCATAGAACGCTTCGCTTTGCTGATTGAGGATTTTGTTTAGAACCCAATCGCAGACCCATAGCGGAGGCGAGGATGTAGTCGAGATCAACTTTCCTGTCAGAGTGCGCCTCACCAGGCCCGTCCAGCGCAACAGCACCGCCACCGTTCGGATTGTGGTGGTCGATAAAGATTTCACTTTTAACGATGATATCGGAAACTTTTTCTTTGATTTTAGTATTCCAGGAGGACCTGGCAATTATATCCCCACCACGGTGACGAAGCATTTGTCGAATGGTGCACGAATGTCCGTTGAGTTTAGCGTGCGCTTTTAACCTACTCATCAGCATGCCATTCACTGCTCTTACTATACTTTATAATAAATTTTGGTATCACATTTTTGGTACCACATTTTTGGTTGCACGGTTGCACCTTATGATGTATATCGACGGTATTTTCCGTAAGTTACAAGCTTATGTTTCTTGAGCGTTAGAAATATTCATGGTGCTGTAAACAGGCTCGATCTTAGCTACTATTGGTAATACATCTATAATTCTATCATTTATGCACTCACTATTCGGCTGATATCGCAACGCAACACGCATCCAATACGCCGTTAAGTAATTTGTGCATGAAGTGTAACTTATGCAGCCTCATATAAACGCATCGACATACTGTTATGTAAGTATTGCATTATATGTAAGTATTTATACGGTACAACCAAAACCCTTTTCAATGTTCACACAACGCTCCGGTTTCATTGATGTCAAACGAGCCGGCATTAGTGCTAGCGATTAAGGATGATTCGGTGTACCTTGAATATCCGTGAATACGGCATTATTGTCCGCACTGCAACGATTATCAGCAATACTTGACGTTAAGATACGATTGTAGTCTTACAAAGTTTAATCAAATTTTTAAGCACGCTCGCTTAACTGTCAAGTAACCGCAAAAGTTATGTCGATCATCACCTTTGTCTGTTCGATATTGCCACCGAGACCCTCAACACATGCAGCAGTTCAACCGCTAGAAGCTAGCTCAAGTTTTTCTTAAAACTCATGTCGTCTTTAAGGTATCTCGAAAGAATCAGTTTGTGCATGCATTGCATTTATTACCGTGCACAGAAAGTGCCGCTCTGATTTGAATAAACTGGTCGAATGGATTTCGTTTCGCCTTTTTGGAGGACTGCGGTAACGATTTTATTGATAGGTATGGCGTCTACGTACAACAGGGCTAGATCTCACACTACTATGCGCTATTACAAAATTTGAATTTCTGAAAATTTTTGAATTTGGTTTTTTGATTTGTTTTAATACTCGTACCAGACCTGAGACGATTTGTCGGCACCGACAAAAATCTGGCCCTGGCTGGCCTGGCTTCCAATTACCATTCCAGAGCCATCACTGACGTCTCGGTATAGCGGTGATTCAAGAAGTGATCGCGTTTACCAGCCTCTTGTTAGATGTCAATCCAAGGTCTGCTATGGAGGTTGAGCGAATACTGTAACTTAAAATTAATGAGCCTACCGTAAATCCGTGCCGGTCCATCCGAAAGCTAAATAAATAAAGTGCAACCCAAAATATTGCCTTCTGAAGTTTGGTCGGCAGTATTGGCCCAGGCCCGTCGTATTCCTTTCGCGTAGGCGCAGGAAACAAGTGGAAGACGAGAAACAAAACAAGAAGCCAAAAATTTGCAGAAAAGCTGCTCACCTTTCCTTTTCTCATATAATTTCAAGCTATTCGCAAAGTGCCAGGAGGAGCGCGAGGTCACACAGCCCTCTTAGGGCTTCCGGCGGCCCGGGGTCGCGGCATGCGAATTGGGTATGCTGGTTTACGGAACAGTACAGCACGCTTCGCCGTCGCGAGCTGTTCAGTTAAACTCCATTGTCGTACAGTATGTGTTTTCCTAGCGCAAACACTACTAACTTTAAGAACAATTATCTATATTCTTTGGAATCACAAACCAGTTTCGGTGTCAACGAATTTGTTCCGGAACGGTTTTTATCACTCATGAAGCGCAAAGGCTGATTGGGACATCGCCCATCGTACGTTAACCGGGCCGTGTATTGAACTGTGTGGCGACATTTACCTGCTATTAACAAGCACGAACTTGCTTTCTAAGCGATTCATTAAATTATTACAATAGTGACGGTCTCTCCCTTGCAGGCGCAAGTGCAGCACGGCTCTTTCCTGCATTGGTTAAAGGAAGTGAACGGACGGTATGCTCTCTTCCAGCACCGTGTTACAGGTCGGAACCCCTTCATACACTTTAGATTTTCGAAATCTTCTGTATATACTGTCTGTACCTGTAATTGGATGAATTTCACATGTGTTACAGTTGGGAGACTTTTATCCAGTGTAGTTTGGGAACAGAAATTCAGCCAGACAACACCGGCATATCTATCATCGCCTGCGCAAACTGGTACCGCGGCTATAAATATTATCAATATCAGTTCGATTTGGTGGAAAATGACGAATATTCGGGAGGAAAAGCTAGTGAATTATGTATGTACAGTAACTAAATGAATTATCCATAGAAGCTATGGTTATCATACGGAACCAGTCACAAGTCATTGCAAGCTTACACTTACGGCAAATCTATAATATTCAACTTATGTACGGAACAATAACGGTCGGGGTGTCTGAAACTAATTTTGCTCTTCTAAAATGATCGATACTTTGAAGTTTCTCGTATATACGAGAGATGATTGAATGTGATAGCTCTCTCAAGCGACTGCTGTTAATGTGTGGGTACAGCTGAGTGTCCGGTTCGCGAACCATAACAATAGCGGACTTACATATATATTATAGAGCCACTATAGCGTGCGAGATATGCCGAAACGCTGAAGTTGTGCGTATATCTATATCTTGATTAAAACGCTTTCTTTGGTATGAACTGCAGCTGATGTGATCGCGTTATCACGTTGCACCAGACGACCTTTCGGTGTTGCGCCGGAGCGAAACAACTCCGTGGCTGTCCTGCGGAGTCAGGATATTGCGCCGGGATCTTGTACCGTGTGGCGTGTGAAATTTTGGTATCGGTTGTCTGACTACCCGGTTTTCGCTTCTGCCGACCCACAAAACCAGTTTTATCTCGAAGTGTTTGTCGAGAATAGCGGAGAAACATTCCCCACGGAAGTGGTTTGGGGCAGAGAGGAGGACTATGACGGTTTTGCACCGAATGTTTGGAATATTGGTGAGGCAATTTTTCACCGTGAAAGCGAGGCATTTGCGGTATACTGGTTCGCCTATCACAATAACGACTGTGAAGTTGATTTAAAATCGATCGCTGTGGACGCCATGGGGATTCAATACGGTGAGTACGCGGTCCCACTCAGTCATTAAATTTTGTTGCACTAAAACATGAGAATAAATTATTCGTTTTGAAACTTTTGTGGCTAACCGAACACAGCACATGGTCCTAACCGAACACAACACATGGTCCTAACCGAACACATCACATGGTCCCCGTGTTCGATTAAGCGCCTAGCGCACGTTGAGTTGTACAATGGGACATCATACAGTACAATGAGGAAAGAAACTTAATAAGCAAACGTTTTTGAGTGTTTGACTAATCTGGGTACTGTTAAACTGTCTGGCCGTCGATATACGCTGCTGACGGGCAAAAACAAGTCAAATAAATGCTGTTTAATACGCGGTCGCCTTTTGGTTCATCGACCGGAGATCAGGCTTTCTACCTCAGCCGATACGCAGGCATATGAAGTCCGCCTGGTGCGGAAGCTCGTCGATGGCATCATGCAGATTATACGACGTTCACTTTGCTCTCTACCGACGATCTGGGTCTGACAGCTACGGAAATTTTGGCTATCCCAGTATGAGAGATTATTTGCTTATTTTCCAAAAAAATCATGCGTTTTAGTGCAATTAGAGGGGTTGATGGCACTAAAACTGACCGTGCAAAATCGACCTTCAGCGTGACTTTCGTCCGAAGCTTCTGCGCTCCGGTCAGCCAGTGCAAGCCAGTCACTGCCGGGCTGAATTTTTCTTTTTATCTCCTACTTACCTAGCAGTAACAACAGAGTGCATTAGCTAAGGCCTACGGGCGGCGCAACAGGTCGCCGGGGAACATTTGGTGGTGGTGCAATGAGTCATATGTATATGGACAGTCTGCCGTGAGATCAAATTATTCGTCGTGAGATATTAACGTAAATTAAGAAAACCGGCTGATTTTATAGAGCGGTACGAAATGCGAGGCTATTTAGTGGTATGAGGGGTCATAGCTGTAGATCTAGATCAGATCGCTCGAGATCTTTTGACTTCAAACAGTCTAGCGGTCAGATGTGGGGTTACGCAACGCGTCGCGGGATGTGCAAAGGGGATGTGCAACGCGTTGTCCCATAACGAATTGTCGCTGCCACAAAGCATGTGCGGTGAAAATGTACGAAATGTACAAAATTTCCCACGACCAGTTAGGCTGTCACGGACTTGTGTCCTCGGTGGCTGGTGAACTGAATCAAACAGCACCCGCCGTCCGGGGCAATCTATACAATGAAAATAAAGCCATTGAAAAGCTTACATCGTGCCTGCCACTACGTGGTGTCACTGTCTACGAGTGTTAATAGCGATGATATTGATTCTTATTTCTCACTGCAGCCGCGCCCGCTACCCTGGCCACCGGAATATGTACAGGTCCATCGACGGTACTCACGATTTCAACGACAATTACACCAGTGGAAGGAAGTCCTTTTACTTCGGCTCCATCGCAACCATTTGCAGTGTCCGGGTTTACTTCGTCGGAACCCACGACGACAGAACCCACGACGTCCCCGACATTCGCAGCTATGATAGCAGCAACGATTCCGACGACGCCGGGTAGTTCGGAACGTCTACAAACTAACAAAAACAACCAGACTACGAATTTCAAAATCAGAATATGAACCAGAATTCGTTAATCTGATAGCGTTAGATTACGGTTGCTTTGCTACTCGTATGTATTTTAATTTTTACACATGTAAAAATGATTTGATTTGCCTCTTTTTTAATCTCTCTCGTTCCGAGTGCCACTAGTATCCTATCAGCATAATTTTGTTACAGCAGCCACTACGCTGTTATCCCCATTCTCTCTGGAGCTGCAGAATGCTGTCAACAAGGAGAATTATCCGAACAACACTTCTTACTATGTGCAGTCGACACACAATGTGCTGCACACGATTCAAAGCGGACTGAACGATGCGAATACGGAGCTCAGCTTTAGTGACATCGTGACAATCGCAAACTTCTTCCAAGAATTTTCAGGAACGGACATTCCCACTAATTTATCAGAGGGTGCTCAGGAAGACTCCATTAACACGCTGCTGCAGATCACAAGCCAGATTTTCACTGCGGAAAACTCGGGGAAAATAGCCGCACCAACGGCAAACGACGAGGGGCACAGCGCCGCAGTTAGTATTTATCAGGCGCTGGAAGACATGTTCAACAGGCTGCAACCAACGGAGGAACCTTACGTGTTTAATGATGCGTCTTTCGCGGTGTATGCTAATGTTGCAAAGGTCAACGCTTCCGCGCAGTTTGACGATCTGCATCTCTACACAAAAATGGAAATCGCCGGTTTTAACCACGGGAAATTGATTTTGACTGGCTCCAACGAGAGCATCCCTTCTTTAGCCACGATTGCTTTAAAGGACGACGTCCTGCGGGAAGCTTTTAAAGCACTAAGTGTGTCCAAGTCAGCTTCGAAGCTCCGCTTTTACTGGAATTAAACCGTCTTTCATTGTCTGGAGTCGACGTCCAATGAAGCGGGAGCACGGTTCGCATTTTCTTTGTCCGCGATGCCGGTATTCAAATTCGCTAGATATACCCCAATTAGCGAACTGCGGGAGAGGTCAAGTCCTTTAATTTTACTGGCATCTGCAGGATTCAGCCTTAGCCGAAAAGATGTTATCACCATTCGCCACAACATAGATCAGGTTTTCAATGTAAATACAAACACAAAATTTCAAAAATTATTTAGGCAACATAGTCGGTAATACTGCTCCGTGTTTACAGCATCCCAGCGGGGCTAGAAGGCAGCACCAGTGCATCTTCCTGGACTATACCTCCAAACAATGGTCAACAGACGGATGCAGAGTATCAGCTAAATACCCTAAATGGGATAATACGGTCGTTGAATGCACATGTGATCACTTGACGCCGTTCTCTCTTTTACTAACATTATGTGGCAGCCTGTCCAACTCTTTCGCGTCGAAGGATAAACCGTTTACATTGGACTTAGCCATCGTGACCACAGTGACAGCGGTTGTATCTACTGTGTGTTGCCTCACTGCTTTAATTATTATAATGTAAGTACCCTGTAGTACCATTACCTGATGGAGGGGGCTCTTTGGTAAGCTTGTGTTTTCCAGAGCAAAAGCTTGGCGGAAAAGAATTGTTTTCGACGAAAAAAATTTTATTCGGACGGGTTTGTGGATCACGCTGTTCGGCATGTACTGCTTCATAGTCACCTCTCAGATGATGGTGTCCTTCCCTGAAATGTGTGGACAGAGGTTTTGTTTAGCCAATGCGGTTATAGTACATTGGTTTGCACTAATGAGTGTGGCTTGGACAGCCGTGGAAACGGTGCGCCTCGTCCAGGTCATACGACAGCCATTTAAGTACGGAAGAGAGGGCCTTCTTCCTTACCACAGTTATCACGGATTCAGGATAAAAACTTGGCTGATAGCGACACGTTAGTTGCTGCATTGCTTTACTGAAATTACCTAAATATTTCTCCTTTTCTTGTTTATCAAAACAGCAGACAGATTTTCTAGGATTTGGTTTCAGTAATCCCTTGTGCGTTTCCTTTCCTTGCCTCGATGCCGGAATTTTCCGACAGCTTAGCGCCGCTTCTGGGTGGCTATGGTTACGCTAGCCATGAAAAATGGTAATCAATAAAACCTCTGGTAATGAGTATCAGGCTCAGGAACATAAGCTTGTCTGTGCCGTAGGTGCTGGTTGGGTGATGATAGCGCCTGGATCCCATGGGTGACCTTTATTGTACCTGTATCGCTTGTGGCCTTACTTAACATTTCGACAGTGGTATTCTACTTCGTCTGTAAGTTGTATTTCTACAGCTTTTCATCGCTAATGTGAAGCCGCATGGATCTTGTGTTGCCAGCAACCAATGCGCGCCAAAATAAACTTACGGCTCTGGACAAGCGTAGCGGCGTCGACCGGGAGCGTGTTAAAGTACGACTTCATGGTGTTATCATAAACACTGGCCTGATGGGATTGATATGGTTGAGCATGTGGTTGGCGCTCTTCTCATGTGTAATTGACGAAACGGAAACTCTGCCATACGTTTTCGTTATACTGCTCACAGCCGCTTGCGGATCGCAGGCAGTTTACCTTATCCTCTTCGAAGCTATTATTCCCGGAAAACAACGGAAACGAAGGAAAGATTGCCATAATCTAATAAAGGAAAGCGATACTTCCGCAACCACACGGACGTAATCGTGCGTAGCCGGCTCAATTCGTTAATAAACGTTAGTGAAAACACCTTTTTGTCATTTACGTCCACGTTAGCAATTTACAGAGTGGTAAACACCCACTCGAACTGTTCGAAGCGAGGGATCCACGCTGTAACATCAATTATATACGCTTGATTCTTGTGCAGCCTTGGCTTAACAAATGCTCAGTGCTTTGTAAAGGGACAACAATCCAGCATTTAAAAAAGAATTATTGCGATACTTATTCCATATCATACAATGCTTTGATAACAGACATTTTATTTGTATTAAAAAATGCCTTTCATCAAGCACCAGCAACAAAAACCGATAACATTAATGTTTCCATTCAGCTAACTTAAAGGCAACATACAAATACATCCTCCTTCTCAACCATGTCGCTAAATGTACCGAGAACAGAAATTGCATCCCTCGCTGAATCTCGATACCGATTCTTTGGCAGCTAATCTTCCAGAGCGGGGGTTGCTGTGCATTCACTAATCTTTCTCTACAGTTCTTTAAAGAACGTCTTGGTCAATGGTCTTGGACTCTTGGTCAATGGTCTTGGTCAATGGTTCCGAAGTTTCGAATGCCAGCGGTTGTGGTTGAGTCTTATGTAAAATTCTGCCAGGCCGCTATATGTTCCCGGCTTCCGGTTTTCGCATATATCCGCTGCACTTCCGGGCACCATGGATGTCTGGAAATTATGGTGTCTGCCCACGGTTATCTCCCATACTAGCGGCCTTCCATTTTCATTAGGGAATGCTGTTACACCGACTGGTTACTATCCATCGTCTCTGTCTAAGTTGCCCGGCTCAAGATGACACTCTTGCCGAACACGAAGATATTGTACTAACCACATAGGCAGCGGTTGCAGCCGCGGAAGGCACATAGGACTGGTTTCGCGGAAGAAAACAGCACTGCTATTAAATTCCTACGTTTTAGAAATATCTTCTTATCGACCTTACCGCTTTACAGATTAATCGGTCTGTTATTCGGTCCGATTAAAAAAATTTGCCAATTTCGCAAATCGGCAATTTCTTAATCGGCACGAATAGTGATTAACTTCACTAGGAGGTGGCTTAAAATCGACCAGCAGCCAACAACAAAATCGACTACTCTTAATCGGTCGTGCTCTTAATAGGATTTTTAATTCGTTTTGGTGCTTAGTGCACGTTTAAAAACAAATTTGCAGAGCAGGATCAGTTATCCATTTGGCGGTAATTGATTTGTTCTTCGCTAAACTGACTTGGCTTCCACATTCAACGGCCACAATTTTCAATTTGTTTCTTCCAAGCATGTTGTGATCAAGAACTGAACTCGTAACTCTCTATGTATGAACAATGGAAGTTTTGATACGAAACTGCAAAACGGTGAAGTCTGTATGTTTAAGACGATGAGGTAAACCCGTTAAGTATAGCATGTGACTTCAAGGAACTGTTGAATGCGCTTTGTAAAATCCAAGAAGACTAATAAGTGAGTAAATACGCAGCGGCTAACCGGTAAGATGCGACAAAACAGCAGAAAAATCGCAAAATGAATGAACATTTCCGCTCTCGCAGTGGTGGTTAAATCGCTACAAAGTATCTTACTTAAGTACATATGACACAAGTGGAAGCGAATAAGGGTACAAATTTACGGAGTCGTGCGGAATTTGCTATAGTTGTAAAGAGTCCAGTAATATTTTACTTTCTTAAGAAATAACGTAAAATTAATGAGAAAACGACCCAAGATAAGCAGATCAACGCTCCTTCAGTAGAAGTGCTGCAGGTTTTTTTATTTTTTATTTTATTTTTTTATATTGTCTATCATCGTCGCTCGTCGGTGGGTACGCTAGAACCTCCAAACCGTCGCACTGATTGTGAATATTTCACATGGCAAAATTAGGCAAGAATTTTTATTATTCTTTTCAGGTTATTGTTACAAGCTGCCAGTATAGCTTCTCCTCATAAAACACGAGGTGACATGACGCACAGTTTATTCGCCGATTACAGTGATTCATCTCATGGTTTTAATGGGCAAGCGTAATTAGCTCTGGAAATGTGAAAAAAACCATTTTCTAAAAACGGTTTGTATTATGTACATAATGCTTTCCTACTTAGCATAACCTTAATTCCACAATGTCCATTGTAAAAGATACAGAACTATTCGGAGTATATTAGTTTAGTTTAGTTTATTCAAGAGCAGACAAACCCTGAGGGACTCGCTAGTCTGGTCAGATAATAATAGAAAAATAACAAATACATAACCTTATTAAGATGGTAGAACAGTCGAGGTCACATAATATTACAGAAAATTATTTGAACGTAAAGTAGCCAGGTAAAATTCAATAGAACCACAACCGAGCACCTCTTCCGCACGTAGTTTTTTAGTCTTACCATCAACAATTTTAGTAAACATTTTCCCGTTATTTATCATACAACTGTTTCAGCCTCATCTGCAGGGTTGTCTTCCCGATGCACAGCCGCCTGGTGGCATCGATCCGCTCTGTACGGCGAAGCTCGTACCTCGCACTCGTTTTCTTGAATGGCAGCAGGTTGGTCATGTAAGACGGCACATTAAAACTGCTCCGGTTACGTATCTTGTACAGCCATACCGCTTCCTTTTGCCGCCATCAGTCGGTTGCTGGTGTGATGCCCAGCTGCACGTACAGTTGCGGTGTTATCCGACAACTGCCGCCGGTGATGGTCCGCAAGGCCGCGTCTTGCCGTTTCTTCAGCTCCTTCTGCTCTACCGAAGACGCCGTTGACCAAGCCAGTGCACAGTAATTTATGTACGGCTTGACGAAGGCGTGGTGAAGGGTGGCTCGCTGAGGGATGCTGAGACCGGTTCTGACTCGCTTGATCTTCTGGATACCGAAATTAATGTTTCGTTTCACTTTCTGGAACTGTTTATCCCGTTTCAGCTGATGGTCGACTTCAACTCCCAGGTACGTTACACGCTGTTTTACGGTCAGCGCTTGACCGTTCAGCATTACCACTGGGTCACTTTCTTTGGATTGGTATTGATGCATACAAACATTGCGGCGCATTTTTTCACGTTCAGTGCCAGACTGTTGTCATTAAACCAGGTTGCGACTTCCTCCAATGCGGTATTCAATTTCTCAGCCGCTATAGCTTTTGTTTTCCCGCGGCAATAGACGATGGTATCATCGGCGAACGCGTCGATTTCAAACCACATGCCGCTGTTTCGTAACAAATCATTCAGGTAAATTATGCAAAATTGGACCAAACACAGTACCTTGCGGTACATCGGAAATTACCGGTAAGTACTTCGAGGTCCTTCTGTTTGTCTTCACACGCTGCTGACGGCCAGCGAGATAAGAGTAACACCAATGCAGTGCACGCCATTAATGCCGGCTTTTTCCAACATTAGCATTAGCCGCTGGTGGTTGACCAAGTCAAAGGCTTTCTTAAGGTCAAAAAAGGCTACTGCAATCACATCAGCGTCGTCCATCGCACACTTCCACGTTTCTGTTACTTTTACCAGCAGCGTCTCGCATGAATGCTCTTTGCGAAAGCCGGACTGGCGATGGGATAAATACTCACACGCTTGCAAGTGATTATTCAGTTGAATTTGGGCACAACGTTCAAAAACTTTGGACATATTGCACAACAACGATATTGGGCGGAAGTCATCTGGGTGCTGTGCGTTGGTCACTTTCGGGTTCGGGCAAATATCTGCCATCTTGGAAACTGAGGGAAAAATGCCTGACCGTAACGAGTTGTTGATCATGCAGGTCAATGGTGGAACAAGAATCGACGCCACTGAGCCGAGTAAGCCCGCTGGGATGCCAAAAGGACCAGATGCTTTCTTTCCTGCTCTTATGCTCTGAATTACGGACATCACGACTTCAGGTGTGACTACGCTGAACCTACAAAACAAACTATTAGCGTTCCGTCACCCGACAGGAGTACGCTTCCGGTGGGTGGTGGTGGTACGACATGCGGAAATCCATGCTGGCCCATGGATGCAAAGTGCTGATTAAGGGCGTCTAGGTTTACTGCGCATTCGGAAGAGTCTTTCGTTTTTCGTAAAAGTATACATTCGTTTGAAACGAATGTATATAAAGTATACATTCGTTTGAAATTGTGGAGAGTGAAAGGGATCCGCCAATTCTGGAAACAACTGAGCCAGTAAAGTTAAAGAAATGTGCTATACCGAGTCATTACCGACTAAATATTTAAGATCACAACGCTGTTGCGCAAATTTTCTTTAATTTGATACGACGTTGGTCGTTTGCTAAAACCTTCGTTTTAAAGGTTTTATTAGTCAAAACATTCTCACGTTCAAATGTTCGGCAACGACACGTGTCGTTGCTTTCTTTGCCTTTTGTTTACACAATTAATCAGTTGTCGGGTCTCAATGAAGCCATAACATTATGGACTGATACCTACCATTGGGAACTGCCAGTGGAACATGTTCGGAAATCTCAGAAAAGCTGGGACTGGCCGGTGGTGGAATTGTCTTACTCGAGATGGAGACTGAAAACCATGTAAAGCGGAAGCGACAAGGAAATGGCACTCTTGCTGGCTGCTTCACTGAAGCAGAAAAGGAATCTGCAGCATGGTTGTATGCGTTGCCGGCGGCTAGTTTGGGCACCCTGCTTTCCGATGATCAAGTAAGAATCGCCATTTAAATGAGGTTTGGCTTACCCGTGGTAGCTAATCAAGACTGCCAAGCATGCAAGTTTCCGGAACCCTGGACGGTCACCATGGCTTGTCTTGTTTGTACAACAAAGGCAGATGGAGCTTACATTCCGAGTTAAACAGCATTCTTCACCGTGGATTTTTTGGGGCGGGTATTCCTAGTGAACTAGAGCCCAAGGGAATGTCGGGAGAGAATGGCCTGCGGCCGGATGGAGTTACTCTGGTACCCGTCCGTGATGGAAAACAGCTGGCATGGGATGCCACATGCGCAGATACAATGGTACAGTCGTACCTTAAAGGAACTGCAAAAGCGGCTGGTGCAGCAGCTCGGCAAGCGGAAAGTCGGAAGCGACAAAAGTACCGTTCCCTCGGAGAACAGTATCTGCTCTATCCATTCGCGGTGGAAACGCTTGGCGCGCTTGGAGAAGCCGCGAATGATATAGTCAGCTTCGTTGGACGCCTGATTCGGAGAAAGACAGGAGAAAGCCGATATACCGCCTTCTTGAAACAACGCATCAGTCTGGCGATAATGAAGGGAAACGCTGCCGCAGTTTTAGGCACTT